TTGTATCAAAGGGACAAATTAAAATATAAAGTGGAAGAAAAACAGACAATACTGATGATTATAGAATCAATAATCCAAGCAATCAAATATAGAAAAATATTCAAATGAGGGACAAAACATTAATTGATGAATGTGCATAGTGCATGTGTGGTTAACATTTATCATAAAACAGCAAAGACCAAAAGAGCTACAAATCCACACCTGGTTTAGTGGTCCAACAGTCTAAACACGTATATTTTGATGAAACATAAAGTCTAATCTTCTTCTTTTTTCCACAATATCCAAAACAGTTACTCTTATTCATTAATTGACAACCTTGTTGAGACTTACTGTAAGTAAAGACGAGACAATATTGCAGCGCATGCTTCTTCAGTTTAGTAAATAGCATCAATTTGTTTGATATGACAAACTGACACCCATTTTAGTCCTTTACTCTGAAGATTATTGATTCTCCTTTCTCTATCTGTATGGTATCACGGTAATTTTGTGACAAACTGTCTATTAATGGATAACCATGATAGGCGTTATAAGTTGTAGTTGTTTTTGTGTTGTCCTTATTCAGGTTTCAGTCAGACTTTGTACATAGTTATCACTTAATTATACTAATTCTACTTGACATTGTAAATCTTATAAGTATATTTACCATTAGTATCATTTTAAGGTTACGGTCCATCTTCAAATTTGCTTATCAAATATTTTTTGGGACTTTTATGCTACACAGATGTTTTATCAGAAACCAAATTTACTTTGTAATGATTTTTCTATACTTTCATATGTGGAAGTGCTCTTTTTTCAGACATCTAATCCCTGAACAAATTTGCATAGTTATATATATATATTCACAACAGTATTTGGCCATGTTTACCACAGTAAGTTTATTTACTGATCAAACATGCTGTGATTACCATATGAAAGGCTCACAATCATGAAACTCATTCTATGCTCAGAGAATACATTATAATATTGAATAGATGTCAATATATTCTCACACATACTTTAGCAGGAATCCTTTTGTATGAATTTGTGGGAAAAACTTGATGGGTATCTATAAAGGTTTACTGAGGTGAAACATAAAAGAGATCACCGCTATACCTTTTCTAATGTAATTGACCTTTTATAATGTTAAATTGTGGATGGTCTTACACTTTAATATCTATAAAGTAATTTGATACCACATAAAAGTAGTTCTCAGGGTTGTTTTCCAACTTTGCTATAAATTTTCAGAGTATCATTGCTTTTAAGGACAATTTATCGATAAATAATTTGAATCTTAACAATATCAAAAGTTTTATAGGAAGTATCCTGTCTTGACCTGAATTATTGACCAATTTATTGGCTCTCAAAACTTTCATTGAACTTTCTCAAAGAGGTAATGAGAGAAAGAATTGATCTTGACCCTTAGTTTGACCTTCTAAACCTCACCAGCAGAGTAACCCTTGATATAAATAAAAAAAATAATGTTGGGTAAACATCAGAGGGACAGCAACCTATAACACAAGAAGACGAAAAAAGGCATCTGAAGGTTAGCATATTGCCTTCACAAACACCAATACCCTAAATCTAGCTCCTTACTCTCTCAGTTAAGTTAATAAGTTTGTAAACAATTTCTGGTTATCTATTGTTATCCTTTGATAGTACATTTATGCATAATTAGTTTAAAGTACAATATTAGGTTATTTCTGCTGTTTATACTTTTTCTACACTACCAATCAATCTAAAGTTGGAATGAAATCAAGTTGGCAATTAAAAAACATAATTCAAAGAAAGACCGAACACCATGAAACAAAAAAAAAACAGAAAGAGACCAAACAATACTTCATAGAAAACTATAAATCAACACAAATCTCATGTTAATGAATGCTCTGGAGGATTTACCAGAATACCATAGATTGTTATATTTAATTTATGTTGTTGAAGCCTGTGTAAGCAGTACTGCTGTGTACTTAACTATCAGAAAAAATTTAAGTTGAAAAAATAAAAAGTACTTTCTGCTTTTTTAAAGTAAAATAAGATGTGTCTCTACAAGCCATTCCACTCCATTATTTTAAATGTAAGGAAAAAGTTACAACAAATCTCAAAAATGTTTCTACAAGTAAACAACATTTAATTCCTATAATAAAAAAAATTGCTTTCCTTATAATAACAAGATTAAAGAGACAGATACAATGGATTTAGTTTAAAAGTTTCATTTAAATTTAATTTTATCACAAATATCTATTTAAGAAGGCGTGGATGAATCATCTTTCTAAGATTTGACAATTGAAAATCGTACAATTCAGCTGGAAATAATAACAGGGTTTGGGTTCGCACTTTAAATGTGAATAACTTTGCTTGAATAAACTGTCCTTTCTGCCAATTGTTCCATAAAACCATCTCTGGTAAAGTCCATTTCAGATTGTTTTTTATTCAGGTTTCAGAAAATGTGGAGTAGCTTCGGATATGGATATTAAAATTTTCACCTTATGTCTAATACCATTTTGTAAAAATATACATTAGATACCAAATTGTTTAAACTATTTTCCTTAATGGTAATATTTATTTTTGTTTACCTGTGAAGGAAATCATTTATCACAATAATATTTTAAATCAGTAAACAGATTATTTACCTGTCATTTCAAGTTATTGATGATTGTCATCTTTACGAAATAGACTATAAATCAGAGGAATGTTAGAAATATTTTATAAAAAATGTGGATGACCTGTAACAACAGGTACATTACCTGTCAGTCTGTCATCTGGACACCTCCAAGTGACATCTCTAATCACCTGTAACATTAAGTGATCTGTATTGTTTTGACACTTGATTGGAATACATCATTTGTTCATCATTGTTCTAATGTGGATATAAATACCAGTAGTACTATGGATGAGTAAGTTGCTTTCATTTTCATAGTAAATTTTTTTAAATGTTCTGAATGAACATGTGTTTTCAATCACTATGTTTTAATGCACAAATTTTCATGCACGCTTAAGTGAAATTAAATGTTAACTATAGCACAATCCCCAAAAAACAAATTATGTATTTTTTTTCATTTCTATATATCTATACAGAGACATATAAACATGAAATGTATTTTATGTCTCTGGTAAACACAATGATCAAAACCATGTTTTGGCTGTACAAATGTGTTTAAGATTTTATTGATTTTAAATTTTCTAGATTTTGTGAAATATTAACACAGCATAGTGGTTGAGATTAATGCACTTCTGAGAGATGCATATTATTTTTTTGTAGGTTCTTGTTACTTAAAAAATAACCGCTTGGATTGTTTATTTTATTAGTGTAATTTAAAGGCTAGATTATGGCCCTTTTTATTCCCTTGAAAAAAATCTTTGGTAGCACAATACAATTTCAACCATAACCTACATTTTGTACCAAACATTCATTGTTTAATCATAAATGAAGCTTAAAACCATTCGGTTTAAGTGTCATAGATCAAAGGTCGAGGTCAGATTACAACATCACAGCATAGTTACCAGCATAAACCTCCAATCTTCTCCAATTTTTGTGTTTAACTGCTTCTTTGGTTTGCTAACCTTGAGTTTGGAGTTTGTGGGTTTGATCCCTGGCAGGGTCAAAGAAAAGACAGGAAAATGAATAATTCCTGCCTCTTAGCTAAGCTTGCAGCATTTTGGACTGCAAAGACTGGTTGGCTTGAGGTCAGAATAAACGTATTTACACTTTTGGTATTTAGCTATATTTTGCCTCCGAATGACCTTAGATCTACTCCGAATCACCTTTTGACGTCAGGCAACAATCACTTTTTAATTGTGACGTCAAATGTTTGGAATTATGATGTCAAAGTTTACGGGAACCTGTGTGATTTTACGTAATGGCGGACAAATTTGCATACAAGTGTAAATACGTCTATAATGTGTCTTGTTAGAGTGACATGTCTTCCTGCAGACTGTGAACTAGCCTGTTGAAAACCTCTGCATGATTGTCTAGTACTAAGGAAAATTTATATACATCATCAACTTATTTTCCTTATATGGATGTAATATTTACCACTGGACAATTAACACAAATCCATCCATCTAATTTTGGTGTGATACCTGTATATCCAAATGAAAGATTTTGGTGTGATACCTGTATATCCAAATGAAAGATTTTGGTGTGATACCTGTATATCCAAATGAAAGATTTTGGTGTGATACCTGTATATCCAAATGAAAGATTTTGGTGTGATACCTGTATATCCAAATGAAAGATTTTGGTGTGATACCTGTATATCCAAATGAAAGATTTTGGTGTGATACCTGTATATCCAAATGAAAGATTTTGGTGTGATACCTGTATATCCAAATGAAAGATTTTGGTGTGATACCTGTATATCCAAATGAAAGTGTGATGGAAAAGATTAAGGTAGCATTGTGCTTGTCCACAATGTACATCTTGCATTATCCTTTAGACCATGCAGATCAAACACTCATTTTTCAATTACATTTATGGTCAGCTTGACTGGAATACTAATATCAAGATAACATTTGTGGTTAAATCAAAATTATGAGCTTTTACTACACGTACTAGTGTTAAAATTAAATTTAGATTTTTGCATTGCTATTTTTATTACCACCATTGATATTAAAAAATAAACCACTTGCTACTTTAAAATTTCAACTAAAAATTAGACTATAGGCTAGAATTATTTTATGCCTTGTCTCTTGCCCAAAGTCTTTAGTATGGTGAGCATTGTTATTTGGACAGATATTTGGTGTTATTTAGAAAAAAATTAAAAGAAGTATTATTTTAATATTTGAAGAAGCTGGGGAATTTATTCTTGTGTGTGTAAAGAGTTAGCTTGAATGATGTAAAAAAATTTTAATATCAAGAGATATATTTCAAGATATTGTTTTTAAAAATAAACACTGATATTGAATAAAGTATACAGGATCATCAAACATCTTAATGTTTTGGCATCCTCTCTTACAAGTACTTCCTTGATTACTGACTAAAGAAGAACCACATCATAAGATTATTGTAATTTCGGAGGACTTACTTTGATAAGTACTTATGTCAGTCAGTTTATATATTCAGTTTGCTTAGTGGCAAGTGCTCAGATGGACTTTTATAAATTAAGAAAAAACTACACCCAATAGTGAGTCCAGAATTTTTGTCATCATTTTCTATACATAGACCACAATGCATGTAGGAGTTGCACATATTTAAAGTCCAACCCCACTTATTGCACAGCATTATTTCATTTAGCATTATCATTAGATGATCAAGTTATTTTCTTGTATTTGAATATAAATTCTGACCTATAACCTAACATACAGTGACATAGGGATAGGATCCATTGATATGCTGCCAGAATTATTTAATAAATTGGTAAGATCTTGATCTTTTTTGTTGTTTAAACAATTTATATTGTTCTTTTTAGATTTTTGGCAGAGAACATTAAAAATTATGAAATTTAATAACATATTTGTATTTTTTCAGTCTTCTAGAAGCCAGCCAGCGATAGGATTGAAACAGACTTCCAAATCAAGGGTAAGCTAACTTTTTAATGAAAATATTATTAACAGTAGAAATCGGTCTACAACTTGAAATATAACCTTTTAATCAGCAAGTTGACATTTATGCACAAAAAATACTATCTGTGTCTTGCCACCTAGGGATCCTATCATCCAAGCATCCATGTCACAACTTACGTTTACTCACCACTACCTGAAAACAGCTTGACAATATGATAAAAAAAAGAGTGAATACATGTTTTCAAATCCTGTTAGGCTGTCCAAACAATAAACCTTACTACCATACATGTATAACTAGCAAATCCTAGGCTGATGTTCATTATAATAAACGGATCAGTATCAAATATAGAACCAGTAGCAAAGTCCCTGGTTAAGGTGGCCAGAACTGCCCTTATAGGTAAAGTTTTCTTTTTGTTTAGTTTAAAGTTTAAACATATTTTATTTGCTCAAAGCAAAAAAAGATCATACACAAGTAAAACATACTTATGAAGTCTTCTCTTCTTTTTGTTGGATATTGCACAGAGAAAACTCACTGGTTTACTCATGGTACAGAATTGTCCACATGGTTTAAAAGAAATAACAAGATATACATTGTCAAGATATACATTGTCAAGATATACATTGTTGTCAAGATATACATTGTTGTCAAGATATACATTGTCAAAGATAAAACTTGTCAAGATATACATTGTCAAGATATACAATGTCAAGATATACAATGCCAAGATATAAATTGTCAAGATATTCATTGTCAAGACATTTATTATCAAGATCCCCCTTGAGAGTAGCAATCATACAGTAAACAGTATTACAATTTCATTTCTGATATGTGCATGCCCAAATATTGACAGCGTATTTCTTCACATGAAAGTAAAAACTATTAAATCACTCCCAAGTTTTACAAAACACTTTTAATTGTGTCAGAATGTTTATCAATTTAAATGCCACCAAAGATTTTTTGTCAGGAAATTCATTTACCAAATTTACACTGATCAAGAAACCTGTTTTGTATTTGCAACCTTATTCATTATCCATCCCTGTTCTATTCTGTCAAAGTATGGAGTTTCACAAAAGGCAGTACACCTTCTTAAATATATTGTAATAAAAACAATATTCACATTCTAAGTAATTTGTTATTATATACCTTGATATGTGACAGAAACAATATTAATTCTAGGTCTTTCAAGTGTAAATGAATTATCAGTGTTTATGACTTTTGACATGCAAGGTGTCATTTTACAAAGAATTAAAAGCAGCTTATTTATTAATATATTGTTTTTCTTTTATGCCCCCACCGTAGTGGAGGGGGGCATTAAGGTTTTACCCTTGTCCGTCTATCCTTAAGTACGTCCCGAAATTGGCTTCTATTCTCTAACTTTAATTTGCCTCAACCAAATGTTATGAAATATACACAATGCTTATTACCACAAAACTCAGACCAAGATCGAATTTGGGTGGCGTCACTTTTACGGTTCTTTAGTTATGTACATTTATAATGTTATATGCAAGCGGGGGCATCATCTGAGACCAATGGACACATTCTCTATTTATTTACTACAATGCATTTCCAAATTTGGAAATATGCAAAAAGAAATTTGAACAGTTACACAGAACATCAATGAAGGTGATTCTTTTCTTTCATGAACATTTTTAGACTTTTTACAAATACTTGGGAAAGAAACTTCTGTTTATCATACTTATAAGATAGAAAAAAAGTTTTTTTGAGTTGGTGATAATGTTTACAAGTATTAAAGTTGTGCTAAAAGTGTGTTGTTTTTTTTAAAATAAAAAGCTATGTGAAGATTTTGTCTGAATTTATAGTCTTTATCCAGTCACTTTGAAGTACTTGTAAATAACTTATTACATCATTTTAGAATTATCAGTTTATTCTGTCACTATATATTTTATCTCCTTAAAAAATAAAGCTGGTCTTAACTTTATCCAGTCACACCAGGGGAGATAATCCAAACATATGATTATCTCTGTTAAGTATTCTGTAATGTAGATAATCATCAAGTTAAGACTCCTTAAGATAATTTTGAACACTGGAGGTTGCTGGGCTGAACTTAGGGGTCCAATACCACATCAGATGTGATACTGTTGTTTAGAAGATAGGTGTAAGTAGAGTCTGAGACAACAGTCTGAATACCTTTCTATTTATCATCATTATTGTCATTCTTAGCATTTGTCAGCCAAAATAAAGTGGTGTTCAGCTAATTTAAAGGACTTACAATTTGTATTCCTCTTCATTGAGAAGAATCTGTTTAATTATGCCAATTTTTACTTTACTTTAATTTTCATAATTCCAATTTCAAATTTTTTAATTGTTTGCAACTTTTTGATTACAAAACTGATAGATAACAAACATAATACATGTTACCTACATGAGTTTGTTCAAATTAAAAAAAATCTTAATACATGGCTTTTTACAAACGATCTATTATATCAAAGGATTTTATGTTTTGTTTATGTCAAGATAATTTTTTTATTTTTTTTTGTACCTTGGTTTTCCTGATATAAATGTCTGTATGATGTCATGTCATTAATTTAAGTCTAAATTTTTATATTAAAAGTCCGAAGTTTTTTTCCCAAAAGGTTATGTAACTGTGATTATGCAGGTCTATACTTTAGAAACACCTGTAATTTTTTTGTCCTTTCTATTATATAACTGTCAGGCTATATAGATAATCTTCCTATGAAATCTTAAACCTGTTCTTTGTCACAAAAGAAAACCATGAACATATGACAACTGTCATTTATATTGTGTATAATCTACCTGGATTTAAAATATTATTTAATGGGTTAGAAATTATATGGCATACTTGGTTACTTAGGTCAACTGATCTGCTTATCAATATTACCTTAAAACTGTCATTTATAAATAGACTGATTATGTACTTGAGACTTAATTTCAAAAGATGTTTATATCATTTATAAAAAAGTATATATTTGTTGTGGTGATGTAAGACTTAGGAAAATTTATATTTTCTGTAAATTACAAAAATAGGAAATCCCCTCTTCAGTCAGATGTTTGTTAATAAATCACATGCGGTATATTGAAAGTTATAATTAGGAGTTTTGTACAAATTTAAAATGAATCATGGTAATAATTTAAAGATTTTTTCCTGTGAATGATAAAAGAGGGTTCTCCTGTTTTTATTTAAAAACAGGAACCCTTTGGTGGTACAGAAGGTATGGAAATGAAATGTTACTATATTTTTGGAAAGTATGCTGAAGACTATTTTTGCTTCTTTTAAATCCTCATATAAAGTAATGGGAAATCATATAATTTTAAAGTAGAAAGTATGGAAAATGTTGTTTTTCTTTTCTGTCCTAAGATTCAACTATTAACATTTTTTTTGGAACTGTATTAATTTTTTTTCTTAACTAAAATACATTAGTTTTTTATTTGTTTCCTGGGACAAACTTCGCATATAAGAAAATCACCTTTTCCTTAAATCTGTGACCAAGGAGGTAATATAACCTTTCTGCTGTGACCTTATATATGATCATTTATGCTCCAGCTGAAATAATCAAATATTAGCTTTTCCCTTTTTAACCTATTTGTACTCCAGAAAAAATAAGAGCTACTATTGACCACTTTATTTTGATACATCTAACAGGTTGGTGAACTGTCTATAAATAACTTATTACAACCTTGATATTTTTTAGCTCAAGATTTTGTTTTGAAAGATAATGCACATGATTAAGTTCATTTAGTTAAAGTGTAAAATTAGGCATTGGTGCCAAACATCTCACTGCAAATCAGGCAGAAAATTAGGGAAAAAGAAAAACTAATTCAGAGCATCCCTACATAATAAAGTTAGATACTCAAATTTCAAAACATTATATACATTGGATAATTGTTAAAAGTATTGTTTAAGATGATAACATACAAGGTGTGTATGGTTTTACTTTCAAGTTATATAACATCAAAGAAAACTATCTTATTAGAACATATATTTGTATCTAATGCAGGCATATTGCCATTTCTTATATAACTACAATATTTTTAGGCACAAATTGTCTTGTACTTTCTTATATAACTCAATCTTGAATCCTAAATCACCATATTTCTGAATCAGTTTCAAATTCAGGTACAAATGGAAAAGAGTATTCTAACTTTTAAGATTTAAATACCTTTTAGGAATTGACCAAGTTTAGCTTTTTATTTCATGATTGTTCATAACATTATGATGAATTGAGGAGGTTTAAATTAAAAAAGGTTTTCTTATAATGAAATTTACTCTTTTTAATATGAAAGCAGACTGCTTCGAATTAAACAATAGTAAATACTTGTATAAGGGGAACTTACTGGAATTTTGCAATCAGAAACTTGTTTCCAATATATAAGTGTGTTTTGCACTGGTTATTAAAGAAATCAATATTGTTTTTGTTAAGGATATACATTCTTATTCCTTATAATTTCATGTTGTTGTGTCTTGTCATAGAGTAATGATGACTAAGGGTTCAATATGTGTACCTCTTTTTCTCATCAAAATCAAAGTTAGACAATTTACTGATTAAAAAGCATTGAATGACATTATATAGGAATATATGTATATAATTTATGCAAAAGTGGAGGAGGGGATGTAAATTTTTTTGGGGAAATACTTAATTTAAAGTGGTCATCTAAGGATTTGTACAGTCTTACCCAAACGGGTGTTTACATTGCATAATTTAATTAATGAGTGAGTCAAAGACATATGCTGCTGAATCATTGATAACTAAATTATCTACATTGTATCACTGTTTACGTTATAGATGCTTCATTGACAGTAAATCATATTTAGACATAAAGTTGTAGATTACTCCCATATGTATTGGCAAGTTCTCTACTAATTTAGATATTGAGGTGTCTTATTTTTTTTCTGATTTTAGATCTTCTTTACAACTGGGACTAATACATTTAAATATTGGTCCCATTTTACATGGAATAGTAAAGCTGAATATATAATTCTCAGTTTCATCATGGAAGTATTATATTGAATATAATATGGAAGTTTTAATTGAATATAATACTTCCACGGTTTTATATAAGACACAAGATATTACTGATAAGATCAGCAGGATCTGAAAGATCTTAAGAATTTTTCTTCATCTTATTTATCATGTCGCCAGGAAAACTGCATTTGCAAATATTAAATCAGCAACTTTTTAACTACAGTACTGTTATTCCTTAATTGACAATAATTCATATTTAGACAAAGTTGTAGAGAACTCCCAAATGTATTGGCAAATCAGATATTGAGATGTCTAAATTTTTTCGATTATATCTGCTTTGCATCTTGGACTAAAACATTTGAATATTGGTTCCAGTTTACATGGAATAATAAAGCTGAATATACAATTCTCAGTTTCAAAATGGAAGTATTATATTCAATATAATACTTCCATGTTTTCATTTAGGACACAAGTTATCATTGATAAGATCACCAGGATATAAATGAAAAATACTGAGGTCTTTGACTTTTTTCCACTTTTTGCATATTTTTGGAAAACATGTTTACCTAGAAATCAAGGTAAATAAAAAGAAATTAATTGCTAACCTAAAACACACTGACATGATAAACTTGCCAGAAGTCATTTCCTCTGCCAGTGGTATCAGTGCCAGCTGCTGTAACACCCCTATTATAATCATGGTACAGTCTAAATTCAAAATGTGGAATCTTCTGTTATTTTCCCTCCCCCTCAGTGGAAACATTGGAATTTTTTTACTTATGTCAATGTGTGTGATATTATTCCTGTGAAAATGGACTTTTAACCAAAAAATACAGCATTTGGAATTATTGAACATGAATAACGTAGTTATAGTGTTAAATTGTGACACCAGTTTTGATAATTAAGGTAAGAAATTCAGATGCTGTTCCACAGTGCTTGTGTTGTTTACATTAGTTTATATGATTTACTTTATTCTGACCTAAGCATGCTAAGTGTTTATAGACATGATAGAAGTGTGATCTGGAATATAGTTGGTAGCTCATGTTTTCCTGTCCTAGTAAGTAAATGTGTCATTATAGGGTCATAAGTTTAAAGTATTTCTAATTTCTAATGGTAAAATTTTAATTTCATTTTATATAAACAGAGATTTATAAACCAGAGACATATATATGTGTATATATGTCTCTGTATAAACCATACATATTTATGTCTCTGATATAAACATCTACAAAACATGATTTATAAATGAAGGTCTCTGAAAGGATTTATTTTGGACAATTAAAATCCTTGGTTTCAATAGTTGACACTGATATGTTTTTATATATATTAAAAATTTTGGATTTAACATAAGCTCGTTTTCTGATGCTTCCATAGACTATTTTATACTTTAAAAAATGATTGATTGGAATTAAATAAAACTGTGGTAATACGTTTTTGTGTTTTTGAGCAGCTTTATTTAATTAAATTGATATGATAATACAAACAAACATTTCACATTGTCTTTTGTTATCTTTAATATGCAAACTTGTTAATTGAGACCAGATGTAAATTTTAAAGATGGGGTCAATTAGATTACAATAATTAAGGTAAATCTCACATCTGTTAATTGCCTTTGATGTCTATGTTTGTTTGTTTATATAATCACTCCAAGAGAAAGTCATACCTGGTTAATATCTACCTGTAATCTATAGATCTCTATAATTATTATACAAATTTATTACCTTTGGACAAACAAACCTGTATTTAAAGTTTACCAATAGAATTGCAAGATTTGATAAAATTTGACTGTAAGAGGAACAAATTTGATTTAAATCACTGTAAAGTTGGTCTTTTGGAAATACATTGTATAAGCTGTCTGTTGCACTCCTTTTAATTGGGTATGTATTATAATTTTACAACACACTTCCTTCAGATTATAGGTATACATTTATCAATTGGTTTCTTTTTGGTTTAAAAAAGGAACATATCTATTGCTTTATAGTAAGTTTAAGATTCTTTATATCTTGAAGATTCTTGTATTATTTGTGTAAAGAAGAAGAATATCTCACATACGTTTCGGTAGTACCAGAAACCAGAAAAGGGGTCACTTATGATCATTTCTTGTGTTGTGTGTTGAATATTTGATCTTATATTATAATTTTTTTATGATTAATATTTATTTTAAAGTAATCAGTACAAATTGTTATTGTTAGGGAGAAATTTTATCCTAATACAGAGGTTATACATCAAAGATGATGTTTGGTTGTTTTTTAACAATACAAGTATAGATTACTGATATAAAATCCATAGAGGATAAGACTGAATAACAATGAGTGATGTTTCTCCTTTATGACCAGGAATAAAGTTACTTCTTAATTGATATCGGTACTAAATGTTATAGTTTGTTTGGAACACTTTGGTTCTAGGAATCAATTTGGTAAAGTCTGCCAGACTAACAGAAATACTTTTGATTTATATCATAATAAAACTTGACAGATAATACTTAGCCATATAAGTAATATCGTTTTTCTGAAGTTTACATTGCCATTGAATATGGAATGCCTTCTCAGTTCCTATTCGTGAATGTGCTTTCAGTTCTCTGACAGAAGTTGTTTGAATACTAGTCTCAACTTTGTAAATCAGTTGAAATAAACATGTATACTAGTAATTTTCAAATTTTTTTGCATTTTGATTTCAAAAGGAAATACAGTCAAACATGTATAAAAAGATCATCCTCAGAACCAGAGAAAACTGACCTTACAAGAGAGGCGACCCTTTAATTGAGGTTAAAATCGAAAGTACACAAATGTATTACTACAGTGGGACAGGAAGAGGGTAACCTGATGATAAGACAGGTTTTTTGAGATGACCTTTAAAACAATCTAAATTATAAGAATGTTTATACTTCTTCTTCTCAGTAAAGACAGACTCGATCTGAAGTAATGCTGTAAGAAAAGACCCCTGTGTCAGAAAGTCTTGACAGACAGATATATTTGTATTAAATTTGAATACATTTGAAATGTCATGTTTTATATATTTTATATTGTTTTCTTTTTTCAGCCTTCAATATTTGGTACTATTGCTAAAGAAAAACCAAAGAAAAAAGAACATAGACTTGTAAGTGTTAAGTTTCTTCCTGTACAGCAAAGAATTTGGTAGGCTTAGCTTAGGTTTAAGCTTAACTAGAGGGAAGATCAAACAGGACCTCTTTGATGAATGTTTAGGGAATCCTTTGCAAATCTGTGGCTATTTTAAGAAATATTCTTATGATTAGAATAGATGATAAGACTTAAAGTTATACTGAAATATCCAGGACATACAAATATTTTTCTTGTTTTATATTTTGTCAAAATATATAGTCAATGTTTGCCCTTTCTGCTCAAAAACCTGGTAAATTCTCACAGTAAATTTAGGAGTCAATGACCTAGGTGCCATTAGTAGGAAGTCATTACTTATGATTCTCAAGCTAAGATGAGTGAAGTATATTAACTAAGTACTAGGAATAACAATAGTATGTCCAAACTTGGCCAGGATCCCCTACAGTAAATAAGGTCATATTGAGAACATGACTGTAAAACTCAAGGTTAAGTTTGTTTGGTTGACAATAGTTTTTTCATATCTAAAGATAACTTTTTGGATAAAACCCAACAGTCACACTGAAGACATCGTTATCAAGTATAAAAAAGTCATTGATCCTTTTGGATCACATTCAAAATACATGCTTTTGATCAAGGTTAACACTTATTTTTATGTCTTCTCATCATCAAGTGTTTGTGACCACATGCTTTTTATAACAACTTTTCATGCATCATGTTGTACATGTATATATTTTAGCCAAAACCTAACTGAATATAATTTAAGAAAAGTATAACAAAACTACTTTTAAATAGGGTACTCCATCATGTCCATGCTAAATGGCTAAAACAAACCTGTTCTATAGAAGAGAGGCGAAAGATACCAGAGAGACATTCAAACTCATAAGTCGAAAATAAAAAGTACACAAAACACAATACAGAAAACTAAAGACTGAGCAACACGAATAGTTCTCTCATCTAGTCATTTTTGTGGTACATATATACATCCCCGGCTTTCACCATGTGCACCAGATCTACTCATACATGAGTCCTTTACAATAATGGCTTCTCCGATTTTCTCCACCAATATATATTATGTACTCCTTCACATCAATGGAGTTAAGTGTTCTCCATAATTTTTTTAAATAGCACCATCATAGCACTGTTTCCAAAAAATATACCACCACATTTGTAAAACAGTCTGTTAAAATATTCAGAAGGCACCATGGTACCAAGGGGAGAACACTTGGGTCAGTTCAGCACCATGGGACCAAAGATCAGTTCAAATCTCACAAAGAAAACCATACATGTACCAACATTTTTCATTTCCAGGCCACCTTCACATTAGGGAAATACTACTTTATTTACAATTTGCATTAATATCTGAATATTCAATATAATAAATTTTTGAATATTAACCTCATGTTGTTGAATAAAGATTCTTGCCTGTTTTTACTTATAAAAGAAGTACATGTAGATGTGCATGATTAGAATGTGATAGTTGAGTCATCATGGTTATATTAACTGACATTGTAATAGGATCTATCATTTGAAATAAGTAATTGTCACATTATGTATCTTTGTTAAGCAGTTCTGCAAAGAAAAGCTAACACATACAGAAAATGTCTTTGAAAGCACATCCAACTTGCGTCATTCATGAGTGAATTAATCCCAAGTGTCAAGTGTTACATGTATTATGTAAGATGTAAATTAGTTAAAAATATGACTGATATCTCTTTTTTTTTGCATTGTGTGAATCTAAATGTTCAGAGTTTTTTCGACTATAATCGGTATATCATACTATTGCCCAATTATGTAGACGACTGTAAGAGGTAAATTTAAAGTGTATATTTTGGCATATTAATTAAAAAGAAACTCAAAAATTTTAAATTTCATATAAGTCATGTTAGAATTGCAAAGGATTTGTAAGAGACTGACAGTCATTACATGTATAAAGCAAATTGCCAAGTTTCAAATCAATTTTGAGTTCACATGATACATGAGAAAGTTGTTTTCGGATGAAAACTGGCCTTGGATGACAGCCTGAAAGGAAATAACTTGTTGAGGTATAGGGCCAACAGGAAAAGAGTTGTACATCATTGTCAACACCTTCCGTAATTTAACAGTCTTTAACTTGAATCTCCTTTGATAATGTTTCTGACTTCTGAGCAAAGGATCTTTCATTTTGCATTAAGGAACATCTTTTTGTTATTCTGTTGCTAATGGATAACCGTGTGGATTATAATTCTAACATAAGAGATTCTAGAATGGAGGTCAATCTCATCTATTTGCTGCAACAATTAAGGGTAGGTGGCAGTTATAAATTTGCCAACATTTAATTGTTATTTGATTACTGTTGTCAAATCGCATATGACGTAAATGCAATCTAAAGACAGAACTGACACCTTTGTTAAGATAGGAAATTAAATGTTGAACAAGAGATCAATATCAAGCACTGATTTTTCAAATACAGGTTGACTAAAATCAATAAAATATTGCATAATTGTAAACATTTCAATGATTCTGGCTATAATATGCTGCAGATTTATGATCCGATACCCAGTTGTCAATATTGTTGCGTGGCATTTTGTTTTTTAAAGGGGACAAGATTATCACCTGCATTTTCATTTTGGTGAGTGTTATAAAGTGGAAATTTTGTGTTGTAATTTCCTAATCATTTATATATTTTAAAACATCGAAAAAAAAAATGTTCATTAATGTTTGCATCAATAGGATTTAGATTTAAGGTCAAACAAAAACGTATGTGCTTTGAGGGCTTCCTCCTCAAGAAAAATAGAGTAGGTAGGTATTTTTATGGCCCGCAACAAAGTTGTCGTGGCCATAAAGTTTTACCCTTGTCCATCATTTCGTCTTTCCGTCATTCCGTCATTCCGTCATTCCGCAACAAACCATTATACACAATTTTTTCTAAACGCCTTCAGATATTGGGTTGATTTTTGGTATGTGAGTTAACCATGATGAGTCACAGATCAAGTTTAAGTTTTGTTCCGCTATGCTAATTTTTGCTGAAATTACAGGCTTTTGACTTTGATAAATTGTTGAAAATCACAGTTATACAGCCTTTTTTTCAAAACGCTATCAGATATTGGGCTGATTTTTGGTATAATAGTTAACCATGATGTATTTTAGTTCAAGTTTAAATTTTGTTCTGCTCTGCTAATTTTTGCCGAAATTACAGACTTTGGACTTTGATAAATTGTTGAAAATCACATTTTTACGGAATTTTTTTCTAAACCCCTTCAGATATTGGGCTGAATTTTGGTATGTGAGTTAACCATGATGAGTTACAGATCAAGTTTAAGTTTCCTTCCGTTCTGCTAATTTTTGTCGAAATTACGGGTTTTGGACTTTGATAAATTGTTGAAAATCACAGTTATACGGATTTTTTTTCTATACCCCTTCAGATATTGGGCGGATTTTTTGGTAAGTGAGTTTAACATGATGAGTTACAGATCAAGTTTAAGTTTCGTTCCGCTCTGCTAATTTTTAATGAAATTACGGACTTTGGACTTTGATAAATTGTTAAAAAATAACAGTTATCCCGACTTTTTTTTCTAAACACCTTCAGACATTGGGCTTATTTTTGGTATGTGAGTTAACCATGATGTGTTACAGATCAAGTTTAAGTTTTGTTCCGCTCTGCTTATTTTTGCCGAAATTACATGTTTTGGACTATGAAAATTATTAAAAATCACAGTTATACGGACTTTTTTTCTATACTCCTTCAGATTTTTCGCTGATTTTTTATATGTGAGTCTACCATGATTAGTTACAGATCAAGTTTATGTTTCGTTCCACTATGCTGATTTTCATGTCGTTTCAACACATCTTGTTAGAAGTACATCCACTTCCTGTTTGCTGATAGTTTGAAATTTAACTTCTCATTGATCAAGGAAATTTTTCATCAAACAAGAATTGGTCTTGAGAGCTGGATACTATCCATGCATGTTTGTGTCCACATGTGTTGTTGAAATTGCAACTTTTTGAGACGGGGCCATTCATGTCGTTCCAACACATCTAGTTTTTATATTGCTATTTTGTTTACCTTGAGTATATAGGGAAATTGCAAATTTTGTTACTATTCATTACCAAAACTGCCAGATAATTGGGTAAATTACCCGATTCAATGGTAACTAAATTATTTAATTTTGTGTGAGAATAATTTCTAGTATATGAGGGTCTGGATGAGGTTTATAGAAAACAGAAAAATGCCCTGAAATTAATTTAAACTTAAAAGAATAGAGATTTAAAATGGTGCTTAAATATTAGAGAAAGGAAAATCAAATTATGGGCGAAAATCATGATTAAAAATAAATATTTGAAAACCCCATTCTTAGACTTCAAGCCCTCATTTATAACCGTGACGTCTAAATTGAAACATCGTTGTGTGTTGACATTTCCCCTACGCGTAGAACTTCAAATACACAGAGTTTCATTGACTTTGGTAACAATCAAAATAAAATATGCATCAATCAACATGCACAGAAAATAATTTATATGTTGCGGTTCTCAAGTTTTATTCTCACTATTTTAAATTTATAGTTTTCACTAGCAGGGAATTTAAAATATTTAAAGGAGTCACTTAAATTCCAGAGAAATATTTATTATATGTCTGTTAGTTAATACATAATGTCAGTTTATATATATATAAAAATTTCAACCATATACTGTTTTCATTTATCATGAAGACTTCAGAATAACGTAAATGTTAGTACTTCGCCAGTTGTCATTTTCATCGTGAATGTAAAAAAGTTCAAAACCATTTAATAATTTGAAGACCTTCCAAGGAATACCAGGACGAAACACAACCAATACAAGTGCCGTGGTGCACTTAACATGTAGCATGTGTTTATCTCCTAGTTTATCAAGAAATTCTGCTGTTCAATCCAACCGTCGTTTTGGGATGATTATCTATTATGATAATTCGTTGATTCGTGACCCACGACCAAGCGAGTAAATGATCATCACAAAAATTATTTCAAACAAACCTAAATCGTTGCGTTTGTTTTTCTGTTTTGAAAATTCTGTACAGGTTTCTTCTGTCCATCGAACAAGGTCATAATTTCTTTTGATATGATGTTAAATCATATGTCACAGTGAGATAAAGCCACCTATATTAGAGTGTACAACGCCTTGGAAATATATTGGGAGATTAAGCTTTTGCGCTGGCTTTCAGCTACTGCTAGCAAGTCAGGAAACTGACTTGTCAGTGGTTGTCTTATGTGATATCTTCACGTGTTTTGTTGTTTTTATAACTTTGAGTTGACCGTAGATTAGATAGTATCGGTTTAAATCATACACAACTTTCTATAGAATCAGGACAATTTTTAACTTAACAGATCAATCTCCTGTATCCGTAAAAAAATTTAAATCTGGGAAGTTCACTGAAAGGATTTGATTTGAAAAAGTGGTAAATGCTTTTGATTTATGTATTCATCTGAACACTGAAAATGATGCAGGTACCAGAAATCAACTAATAAATCGGTAGTATCTTAGTGTAAGGTATATAAACATTGTTTTGATGAAATAAAATTAAACAACAACTATTATTTTTAATTGATTCTTCTTGTTCAAATTGTAAAAACCTCGATAGCGTCTGACCCCCTGCCTCGGTAAAAACAGAAGGCAAGCTACGCCACTGGTTGTACTTGTGTTTTCCCTATAGATTAAGAATAAGTTCCTTTTTCCACTATAATATTAAAAGTATACATGTTTTGGATTAAAAATAGTCACTATACATAAAAGAGTTAAAAGCTGCATTTCTCAAATTTACTTAAAAAAAAGGGGGTTTTTGCTGATGCTTCTTTTATAGTTAATTATGTTCATGTACATATGAGTGAAAGTGATACTGCAATGTGATTTGTTGTATTGATTCAAATTGTCAAGTACATATAAAGAGCGCTTTTGAAAAGTCTATATAGGGGAAGTCAAACATAACTATGATGTTGTAACAATTTAAAATTTCCTCAACTTCTATATTTGTTAAAAATTACCACAAGTTAAAAATAGAATAAAGAATGTAAAAATTTATATAAAACAGGTTGTGCACATTGATCAACCAGAATTTGATATATCAGCAAGCATCTGTCATACAGCTCATTAGTGGTGGGTTTTCTTTTTGACTTTTACGAAAATGTATGTGATAATCATACTTACCTACATGTATCTTTAAATCCTTATTGTGTTGTAATGCATTCAGAATCATTTTATATACAAGAAATAATGATATATTTTGCAGAGTGTTGGGCCACAGATGATAAGTCTCTCTCGCATGTTTGATCTAAGACCATCAGGATACGACAGCCAGGTACCAAGTCATTACACCGAAGACGAGGTATGTGTTACTTACTTAAAAAACAAGGCATAAAAAAGATATAGTATTAAATTTTTGTTGAGATTAAATTTTTTAAAAGCTGAGAAAAATATGAGAAAACTTAGTCTCATTTGATTAGAGAGGAAAATAGAAACCTGATGATGACCTGCTAATAGAAAGGCTTGTAGTAAAATGAAATTTCTAAATAAAAACTTTCTGTTATGGTTCTAAATGACCAAAACTTTCTGCAGAACTTTGTGTTGTATAGATTTATTGTTTTTTTTTTTTAAGAATAAAGGAATTTAATTAAAAGAATGTCTCCACTCGTGTTTTTAAGCTAAAAATTTTCAAACTTTATATGAATTGTATTGGAAAAGTGCAAAATTGTGACGGTAGTTAAGAAGTAGCTTTTATCAAAAAGCAAGACTGTCATTCTTTGTACCATAAATTCTATAAATTTGATAATATAGAGTTACTTCCCTTGAAATATAACAAAGTCTCAATTAAAATCTTTCCATATTTAAAAAAAATATTATTGCACATGTCTCAATGAAAATTTAAAATGAAAGTTTTGAAATTGTGTTTTTTTTTATTAAAGTTTTCCATATTAAGAAAAAAATGATCTTCACCGAACATTTGTTATGGTTGACAATGTGTTTGTTGAACATTATTGATCTCATTTATCATGTATGCTTGATTGTTCTGTGTATTTTGGGGTAGCAGAGCATGAAATATTATAATTACTCCTTGTTGCCTACTATTTTATGTCATTTTAATGCATTTTTACTACTGTTAAGTTGTTATTGAATCAATGATTCTGATTACTGGTTAATCTATTTTTCAGTCATATTTATGCCAGTAAATCTTGACGGTATTTTTACCTGCCCATCATAATTCTATAGATTAGCACTAATTCAGTTTACAAAAATAGTATATAATTTTGTTATAATTATAGATATGGAGAAATTCTTTGGCAGCACTTTTGATATAGAATGTTAGATTATTGTTAATTAAAGCTTTTTTATGAATAAATAATATCCATCAATTTGTAAGAGGCGGACATTGATTCTTAAAACTCCTCAGGAAGATTGTTCTTCAGTAAGGGAAAACGTTGGATGATTTCCTTTCAGTAATTGCCAGGTTTCACATGCAGGAGGAAAAACAAAGTTCATATCTTTTAAGATGTGTTGGATTACATCAAAACAATTTAATTAGGGCATCATTCATATATATATATATATATATATATATATCAGAGAGAGCCTGCCAAGTTTCATAAGTATTTACCGTGTTGATGAAGTAAACAGCCGCTTTAGGAATCTATTGCTCTGTATGTTGTTGAAGTAATGTTGACAGTTATAACACATTGTTTATGGAAAATAGACTGCCGTTTATAGCCAAGTATTTTATAAAATCGGATAATTTTTAATGGCATATTGACTTTATTGAGCTGTGATCAGTCATGTTGTTATTAATCCATATTGCTGACTCGGTTTAATCACCTCTGATTCATCAGTTATCGTAAAAGTGTGTAAAACGTAATTTAGAATTTAAAATTTTCAACAGGCGTTAATCTTTGAAGAGGGGAACCTAATGGCTGGCTCATTGGAAGCCCTGATACAACACCTTGTACCAACCACAAACTACCATCCTGATGTAAGTATATTTATACATAATCCGATGGGGGAGGGAAAGGAAGGGGCCAATATGTAGGAGGTATGGAAGAGATAAATGGGGGATAGAAATTAGGGGGTCAATAAGTAGGAGTTATGGAGGTGATGGATGGGGAGGGAAAGGAGGGGTCAATATGTAGGAGATATGGCGGTGATGGATGGAGACGGAACAGGAAGATCTAAGATGGGCAGCAGATAGAATATTTTACATTTGCACAGTTACATCCAAATCAGAGGGATCTTTTCATCAGCCAAACATAAGGACTAGAGATGAATCTACTGGATAAATGAATATATTTTCTTTTCAAGAACTATCCGTCTGTCTGTTCTTAGAGTTAGTTATTATACTATGTAATATTTGTTTAATTCATATTTGTATATGTGTGTGTCTATGTGTGAAGGAAGGGGGTGTCTATGTAATATGAAAAAAAAAACAATTGGTTGTCATTTACGAAAATGTCACTAAAATGTCAATTCTTAAAGGAAATGTCAGATGTTCTTCTTATGAAAGTCGTCTGATAAAACAAAATGTTAAATGTCAACAGGGGCATGTTTTCTTTTTAAGCTTATTAATCTGTAGCAAAATATTAGTCCTGTGGTATAGTATTGTGGTTTTCTCATTACTGAGGTCTGGGAAACATATTAGATATGGTAATTCTTTAAAATGTCTTTTCTTAGAGAAAAACCATTTGGATGGAGTATATGTATGGATTAGAAATGATTTGTGAGGATATAATTGGTCTGTCTGCCAGATATTTTCAGATTTTATTGATTAATTGTCAGCCTGTGCCATGAAATATTTCCAAAAAGAAAATAAGAAACTGATAGTACATTCTGGTTGATGGTGCATGGAGACCATGTTACATTCAACATATTAATCATTTAAGATGGCATGAAAATCTGCCCTAAATTTGTAAATTGTTGGATACAAGACCAGGCACACATATTGTGTATTGATGTGAGTGCCAGCTGTTCCATAAAGATTAATGGAGATTTTATAGTTATGATGAGATGTAATTACAGAGGACTTTTCATTGATTACTAATGAAGCCTTCAGGTTTTGATTACATTTTATTGCATTTTATTGATAAACAATCTACTTTTATCTACTTTAAAATCATTGGGCAGGTAACAGCTGTTTGTTGGTAACCTAATGTATTTTACTTCCTGTTTTTCAGAGAACCTATGTTTTTGCCTTCTTGTTGAGTTCAAGGCTTTACATCAAACCTCATATACTTCTGAAAGAAGTCTGCCAGGTTAGTTTTATAAACAAAATAAACATGGCTCAAAGTTCATTCTGAAGACGTCTGATTTTTAAAAATATATGACAGATGTACTGGTAGAAGACTAGTACATGAATCTAGTTGTCACTAAAAACATGATAATATTCAAACAGATAACATATGATTATTGTTAAAAAATTCTCCAATCTTTAATAATAACTAGTATGTTTAGAAACGATCAGGGAGGCAAGTGAATGATGGAAATAGCCAATCCTTCTACAAATGTAATAGGTCATAGAAAAGTCACCAGAACCAAATTCTAGACATTGGTCAACACCAATCCTAAATGTAAGGGTTAACAAAACAAAATTCTAAACAGCAGTCAACACCACTCCTGATTGTAAGGGTTTACAAAACCGAATTCTAGACATTGGTCAACACCAATCCTACTTGTAAAGGGTTTACATATGTTTTAATTTTCCTTTAATTTTTTCCTGGCAAGAGACAGAACCTCATTACTAGACAATACATCCTATTGGAGAAAATTGTTATTGTATACCTATTAAAATGGTCAGTGGAAACAAATGTCTGGCATCTTATCAACCAAACTTTCCACCACAATTATTTGATAAGGTGGCATTTTTGTGTATGTTTTCTAGTTGTATGCTAAACACCTACTTACATTTTTTTAGTTTCTACATATAGAGAGCTTGTACAATTTCAGATTTGTGTATTCCAACAGAATTTGGCTGAAGATGAAATAAAACGAGAACAACTAGGAACATTTGGTCCAAATATACTACAGTTGTTAGGGTAAATACAACTTTATTTTATCAAATAGATCACCAATTTAAAAATCTTTAATTATATTTAATTTTGAATTGTTTTGATTTGCTGTTTCCAGATTTAGAAAAAGTTATGACATGCATATTTTAAAAATAGATCAATCATTTATACTCCTCTTCTGACAAAGGTCACATTTTCGCTTTTATTTTTTTTTTTGCCTCTAGAGGAAATAAACATCCTTATCCCATGAGCATCACAAGTTGGAATGTCCTTTGTGGAGGTGGTTTTTAAGAAAAAAAAATTCTCCTGCAAAGATTACCGTATTTATTTTTATCCTGAACACTTGTCAGACAGGAGATTGGTACTTGAGAAAAAGTGACAATTTCTACCACATAATAAAACAGCGTTTGATCATGCATTGTATGTGTGGTTGTGGCTTCCATTGACAATTTCTTGATTTACACCAAGATGTGTTAAATGCGTTTGGATACCCTGCATTTTTCATGCTTTTCAATAACACATGGTCAGATGCTGAAAGACCCCTCCTAAATTATTGAAAACTATCATTCTGCATTGACAATAATAGCTTGGTGTTTATTTGATACACCCTTTTGTGCTAACGCCCTCAATGTGTATCTTGTTCTTGATAAGTCAAATGATGAGATTATGTATGTGTGCAAGATTCACAACAGGCACCTGTCACGCTTATAGATAACTGTAGACAATGCTATACCTCCATGACAATATCATGGTGTTCTGTCAGTCTCTCATATTATGTTAGACACTAATTACAGGTACATGTCTACATTGATTATTAAGTTGATATCAGAGAAAAAATAAAAAGTATCTGACAGTCAGTGTGAGGTACGAAAGAGAGGAAAAAATGTTTAAAGCAATTGATAGGTTGGCAGATTTTTTCTTTTTTTTTGCAAAATGAGAGAAAATTGAATTCTGATTAATAAAGTTAAGATTGTATAGAAGAAGAAGAAGAATTTTATTAATCTAATCAAGAACCCATAAAGGGCATCATTTACAACAATATTAAGCACAATATGATTGGAAAAAAGAAAAACTATATCCTAATATAATACTATCATATATTGGACAGGATCAGAGCCTAACACATCATGTGTCTTACATAACATTAACAATAATTGCATAATAATTTTATATATTTTGTATCCACCTGGATCTTATTTCTAAACACTTAATTATATAATTGCCTAGGCACATAAGAGTTGGTAAATGCTCATTTGTGAACAGCCAGAAATATTTTTTATCCTTGGGTAATTCTTTAAAATTATTACAAAAACTGTTTACTTTATCCCATAATAATTTTCTCTGTTCGTTATATAAAGGACAACTTACTGTGAAATGGGTCTCATCTTCAATAGAATTTGATCCATGTGATAGGCAGTGATGACATAGACGCTGACTTCTCTCTATGTATTTTTTACTATACCTATCTTTCTCAATTTTAAGATCATGTGCACTTATTCTCAATTTACATATAGCTCTTCTTATATTAAAATCTTTAATTGATAAATAAGCCTCCTTTACGAAGTCAGTCTTGAGGTTGAAATAATTTTCTAATTTACTATTACCTTGTGATAAGGTATCAGATCTTTTGACCCCCCAAAATGTTTTAAAACTGTTACAAAGTTTACATTTTACAAATTTAATTAATCTATTGAGCTTTGTATTCAAATTTTGTATATCAAGTGATTGAAGGACATATCATACTGTATATATACAGTTAGACAGACTAAACAGGTGTTTGAAGTGAAACAAGTTATATATGTTCTGTCAGTCAAACTATGTAGTTGAGGCACATCATATTTTCCAATTCATTTATTGCTTTTCAAACATTGCAAGAATAACAAGACTCCAACTGTTGTGTAAAGTTTAATTTAAAGGCAACACCAATGTCAGCCCACCTAATCCAAGTCAGTTACACTTAAGACCAAAGGAAGCTAAATGCATAAACATTTTAAAAGTCGTAATAAAGTATTCAAATGGGTAATGCATTCAAAGAGGTAATGCATTCAAAAATGAAAATATGTTTATTGGAAAACATTGAAAGTAAATAAAACATTTTTTTTACAGGGAATGGACAGAAATGTTTCCCTACGATTTCCGAGATGACAGAATGATGAAACAGTTAAAAGAAATCACCCAAAGAATCATTAGTATTTATCCAGAACTCCAAACAGAATTTGCTAGTCTTACTCATAACTTAATTAATAAGGTAAGCAATGGTAAAGATGGTCAGCTGCACCCAGGCCTGTACTTAGTACAACAAAAAGATAAAAAATAATTGGATTTTGTGATTATCCATTTGAAAAGAAAGAACCATCTGTATACAAATATTGTGGTTATTAGAAAGTGTGTACAGCTCAGCGTGCACTAAATTTGCATTATACAATAAAACCACAGAGTACAAACCACAAGCATTTTCCTTTTGAAATAAACACAGGATTCATTGATGAATATTTTTGTAAACATATTAGCCACATTATTCTTATCAGTTAACACAAAGTTTTCATTCATAAAAAGTTTAAATACAGAAGGTTTTATGTTTATTTTATCAGACTGATGAGTAACATTGGCAGTCTAAAATTTAGGTCAAAGATATTACTAATGTTTACGATTGTAAAAAATATACTAAAGTTAATTTATGTAGTGCTAGGTCATATGTTGTAATGGACCACACCTTCAACAACTTTTGTGGAAGCCATCACATAAAAGTGTCACATGTTGCACTTTAACCTGAGTTATCCCTCCATGAAAGGTTATTAAACTTTCAACAATGGTTGTCTCCCTTTAACCTTGGAAATAATCCAGTATTTGGGAATTTTGAGATAAAACATTGGGATAAGCAAAGATCAGCTGTTAAATAAACTTGTGACTTCCTGTAATGTTTTATTGATAAAATCATTAAGAAGCACTTGATTACTTCAGTAAATATAATTGATTGTATAATACAGATGTTTTGGGGTAAGAGGATGCTGTTAGTGGTTAATAGTGAAAGTTTGGCACTTTTACTAGTATGGACATTTATTTGAACATGTTCCAATAATGAATGTGTTTTGCAAGAAAAGGATGTTCAATTTTGATATAAAAGTCACAGATATTTGAAAATGTTCCAAATTCCTTAAAGTAGAATCAAAAACATTTGCACATCTTGCAAGTTCATTCATTAAAATGATAGATTGGATGCTAATTAAATAATAAATACTGATTCACTTCCACAGAATTTATTTACAGTTTCTTGTCTACTTTAAATGCATAGCAATTTTAAAATTTTTCTTTATATTTTTTCAGTTGTCCTCATTACATAAATATGAAGAAGAGTTGTCCAAGATCAATACAGAAGCTGTCAGAAAATCTAGCATTCAGGAAGTTCCTACAGTAAGTTTTTTCTCTGATTTTACAGATTCAAAATTATTACAATGGAAAGACACCATTAATGATTCACAGCTTTCAATGGAAGGTCGAAGGGATTAGATATTAAAGAGTCTACAATACAACTTGTACACCTGTTGTTTTTTTCCTCTTTTTTTCCCCTTTTATTCATTTGCAACTTCAGTTCATGTTTTTCAGTTTCATGCCCCTCAGGTTTGTAACTTACCTTCAGAGAGAAGATGACAGTTAATCACATACCAATAGATTATCATAAATGCTTATAGGGATTGAGAAAAGGCCGAAAGTCAACTCTTTTTTGGTATCAAAACATTAAGCTTGTTTGTTTTAAGTTTGTTAATTTTTTTTATGTAAACCTATACAGCTTGACATTAAGATGTTACTACTTTAACTTTTCCACTGATTGATTTAGTCGATTACAAAGTGTATCAAAAGCACATTCATTTAAATATTTATAGTTTATATAATGCTTTTTTTGACATTTAATATGTCACTTTCTTTTATATTGTAGACTGACATTACTGAAATCTGTCCAAGTCCATTAGAATGTGCACAACAACTCACTCATATAGAATTAGTAAGTATAATTCATAAGAAGTGATCAAGTAAAAGATTGTAAAAATCTGTACATTTTGATCTCTTATGTGGTATGATATTCTGAAAAGTACTTATAATATATTATGTAACAGATGTTTAGTATATTTAAACCTAAATTGATATATGCAAGAAATTGTAAAATTATAACCATCTGGATTATGCATCACTGAGTTCAAAGTATTTTTTTACATTTTGTTTTTACATGCTTCACCTCTTATTTACGTTTTATAATAGAAATGAATAAATCTAGAATTTTGTTAAATGTCAACATTTTGTAATATTTATTTCAGGAACGACTTGGACAGATTGGTCCAGAAGAGTTTGTTCAAGCCTTTGCCAAAGAAACTGTCAGTTCAGAGGTATGAGGTTTTGATAAATAAGAAGGTTGTAACTGAGCAAACATTTATGATTAACAAAGAGTGTAGTTAAATTATAATGTTTTTTTTAAAGTTATATTATGTTTCTGTCTACTAAAACATTAAGTTAGTTGCCAAAATGAAAGTAATGTATACAAACTATTTGTTAGGTAATTATCAATACCTCAAGGAAATCTCAGACAAGTTATTTCATGGATATTAAATTTTGTGGTTTGCCAATATCTTCTTGCAAACCTATAGAAAACTTGAACTTCGTTGAACATTTAAATTCATGGTTTGAATATACCCACCAAATCCACGTAAATTGATATCCACCGGATAATAATGAATCCACAGTATGTATTGTAAAAGATATTTATTTGATTACACTGTGTTATTTTATTTCAGACATCCTTTAAAGATATGAAGAAAACCTCCAATTTAGAAGCTTATGTTAATTGGTTTAATAGATTAAGTTACCTAATCACAACAGAAATATGTTCAGTAAGTATAAATGATATCACAAATAAGTAGTATATTTTGTTTTCATTCAAAATATAAAAATAAGAAGATGTGGTATGATTGCCAATGAGACAACCCTCCACCAGAGACCAAATGATGTAGAAGTTAACAACTATAGGCCACTGTACTGCCTTCAAACATGAGCAAAACCCATATGTATAGAAAGCTTTAAAGGCCCTTAAATGACAAATAGTTCATTTAAGTGCTCAATGTCATGAAAATATAAGGGACACTTAATATACAGGTAATAAAAGCACCAGAAATTTAATATTTAAATATTTTGTTGTGAATTCAATGGTTTTTAATAATTACATGGTATGATCTCTTAATTCACATTTAAAAATCTTATGTTAAAACAAATACTTGAGTTCATTTTGTTTTCAATTTCAGCATTTAAAGAAGAAAAATAGGGTAAAAGTGATAGAATATTTCTTAGATGTTGGGAAGGAATGCATCAACATTGGAAACTTTAATTCTCTTATAGCCATTATAGCTGGTCTTAATATGAGCCAAGTGTCCAGATTAAAGAAAACAGTAAGTAGATATAGAAGATATGCTTGTCTATTTCTCAGACTATTAAACAAAGATTTTAATATCAATCTTTCATAAAACGATCAGTTCAAATTGTTGCAGTTTGAAAAGGGTGTTTTGTTCTAAACTAATCAGGTTTTGTGTTATTTGTCTTTATGGAATGATTTCTTAACTTGAAGGATATGGTTAGCATGACCAGATTAAAGAACTGCATTATCATTTTTCAGTCTATGCAAAGGGAGACAATTCATTTCTTTTCCGTAAATTGCAATTTGAAGGGTAGAATAAGTTTGATATTCACTTTATTCAGATCTGGTTTAGTCATACCATTACTTCTTGTTTTTATGCTAATCATTAATATGTTTTGTTTTTCAGTGGGCTAAAGTAAATACAGCAAAATTTGAAATCTTGGAACATCAGATGGACCCATCTAACAACTTTGGTAGCTATAGGTCCTGTCTGAAGGCAGCTATGTGGAGGTCAGAGGGTGCTACCAATGAACGAGAAAAGGTACTTTTTAAAGAAAATTTTTAAAAAATATTGTCAAAGTAATAAATGAATGATATAATTAAGATGTATTACGTCTATGTAAAATACATTATTATTCAATTATGTGTCCATAAGGAGTATAAACATACATGAGACTTTTTCTGGGGGGTGGAGGGCTTTATTCCTGCTCCCAAGCTAATATAATTTGTATAAAATCACATTTACGATTACAGAAAATAATATATATATATAGAATTGTTTCATGAAATTGATCAATGATGAATATGTGAACTAATGTATAAGTATTAGTAATAGTTTTTTCATGTCATTTACATGATTTTTTTTCAACCTGTACTATACATCATTAATTTATTTTTTCCTGGCTTGAGCAATGAACCATGAAAATCCACTGTGTCTAAAGCAGAAGGGCTAGAAAATTGTATAAAAACACTTCCTTTATACCATGTTTTAGGAACAATGTAAGGACCAACTAGATTTAAGCTCATACAGCCAACACCATACAAAGAAATAATAAATAAAAAGGGAGATAATTTGTGCAATTTTATTTAATTCTGACATGTTGAAATGCTAATTTCATTTAAAGTTTATATATTGATTTTATTTTCAGATTGTCATTCCTTTCTTTAGTCTGTTTGTAAAAGATCTGTATTTCCTAAATGAAGGCCATTCTAGCAAGTAAGTTTCTGTTTTTAGGGTGTGATTTTAACCTCAGAAATTGAAAGATATCTAGGAGAAATATAATTGAAGTGAACAAAGTGACTATAGTTTGTAGTGATGAAACAAAATGCAATTAGAGATAAGAATTAAATATTCAGCTTAAATTAAAAAGATGCTATGAACTCTTGTTATATCTAATTGATTGATATGTTAAGATAAAGATCATTGTTTAATTTCTTCAACTTTGAAAGCCTTTAAAAAACATGTACAATGCTTCAAAAATATCTGCGTAATGTTGTTTTTGTTGTTGAAATTTTGTGTATACAATTTTTTCTACATGACATTCATGTTTTCTGTATTCATTTGTTTTCCCTCCAATTCATAATTCTATGTGAAATTTGTCATTTTAAATACATATTATGAAATATGTAGAAAAACTGATATTGCATATATGTCAATGAGACAGCTACACAACAACGTAAAAAAAATCCCTGTATGAACATTTTGTATTAGAGAAGACCTATTAAATTTGTAAATTGCGTTTTATACCTGTAAGTTTTTCAAGTTTTTTTTAAGTGATTTATAATCTTTTTACATTTAATTACTGTCTTTCAGATTAGAAAATGGTAATATCAATTTTGAAAAGTTCTGGCAGCTAGCCAAACAGATTTCAGGACTAGTCACCTGGCAACAAGTTCAGGTAAGAAGTCAATTTAACATTTATTTATTTTTAAAAATTCCTAGATTTTGTATGATTAAATGAAACATTTTATATCAGTTTTAGGCTAATGTATTATATAAACAGTATCTAAATAAATAATGATTTTAAATTGCAAAGAAATATTTGGCTGAAATGGTCTTTGTAAATTTTTCGTAAAGCAGATCATAAAAGCACCAAAGTAAATATTGGAATATGTAACTAGGGAAAATAAATGTAAGTGTATGTAGCCAAATTAAATGTACTGGTTCATTGTAAGATTTAACACAATGCTAATTGTCAGTTTTATCTGTTTCAGTGTCCATTTGAGAAGAAAGCAGATGTTTTGCATTATATTCTTACAAATCCAGTTTTTTCAGAGTCCAGTAAGTATAAGATAATATTTGCTTGTGCTTAATTATCTCTTTTGTATTTGTATAAAAGGCTAAATTTATGAGAAAATGTATTACAGTGAAGGAGTTTTTTTTTATTCAAACTCAAATGAATTTATGACTTGACTGAATTCTATTTTAAACAGAAATGTACGAATTAATTTGTGTATTTAACCCATAATAGACATAAGATCAAAAATTTCAGAGGATACATATTTATATATTTTGTTTTTCAGATTTAAGTTTAGCATCATTTGAATGTGAAGCACCATTCTCAAAAAACGAAAAAGAGAGACACAAAGACTTAAAGTAAGTAACAACATTTGAATAAATTTCTTAACTACAGGTACACCATGATACCATGTACATGGTTCTTTGGAATTCCAAGTTAAACAAGATAATCATAATATATAATGTAAAGTTTACATGACTGAATGCATTATCATTATTTTTATTTATTCAAATGTTTCAGTTTTTGATTGTTTTTGAAAATATAAGCACTTGAAATAAATACTTTAGATCTATAGTATCACTTTATTCTTTGTTTTTTTTTTAGATCAAAAGTTGGCATTTCATGACGAAGATGAAGCAATTGTAAATAAAAGCATGGTACCTATTACCTGGTGTTAACTGCAGATGACCTTGACATTTGTACAGTTGTTGGTGCACCTGTGTACAGACTTGAAATGGTTTATGATTTTTTTAAATCTTGACCAGTCCAAGGATAGAAGTTGTAGTTCTAAGGATGGTATTTTTGCATTAGCTGTTGGATGCAAAATTGACTTGGTGATTAAAAAAACTGATGACTGTGTTCCTTTGACATTCCAGCCATAGATAATCACATGATAACCATGTGTTTGTCATATTTGTTAGTGCTATATCTTTGTCTAGTGCAATGTTTTCATTGATTTATCATGCCTCATCACAACGAAGTATTCAGGACATATTTTGTAGACTTATATTTTAATTAAATGTTGTTAAATATTTGTAGTCAAATTTAATGAATATATTTAATTGATATGCTTCATTAGATTTTGTTAGTTCTTTAATATCTTTATTTAATTAACTCCTATCTGAATATATATGTACTTACTTAACCACACCCTATTACCTGCTATTGGTACTACAAATGAAATTGGTAACACAGATTCAAATATGCTGTACATGATTGCAAAGTTTAATGTATTGCAATGTCAATAGGAACGGCAGTCAAAGATCTGCTGTACACAATAGCAAAAACAATTGTTTTGAATAGCAATAGGGAACACAGATCCTGTTGTATCTGCTGTAGTGATAACTGGTAATAGGGTGTGATCACTGGCTGCTTTATTGTATAGGAAGTCAGGGTAATTGACAGGTATTCACGTAGCAATGTCATCTTTCTATATAAACAACATTTTTATTGAAAGGTTACAGGGTTTTTGTGAATTGGTGCTTATTTTATTGCAAAAACAAATGATTATTTTAGCAAATATGAGAATAATACTTTGGCCTATAAATAAGTTAAATAAAATCAAACTGAACAGAAGAAAGAGTAATTCACTTTTCAACCAAAAAAAAATGCAGAATAAGATTATTGCCAAATTAATCTTGTTAAAAAATTTACCTCAAATTATTTGACCATTCCATTCATTCAATTTAACATTGTTCATCCCTGCTAGTCAGTGACTCATCATGGTTATGTGAACTCTTGAAATAGACTTAAAGTATTGAAGCTTTTGCTTTAGATGTTTGACTTTAAATGGCATTTACTTAGGAAGAGGTTTGGTTCAGATTAAAGTTTCTAATTTAAAGATACTTTTGTATATGTGCTTTGTCAAAACTAGACCTAGATTTATCCATTTCAATCTTAGTTGAATTATGAGGATTATTTTTGGCTTGCTTGTCAAATCTAGTTTTGCAAATCAGTAATACTAAAATTTATTATACTGAGAGTTATTTTTATATTTTTATTTTTTCTAGAATTGGTAGATTAATTGTTATCTTCATAGCTTAAGATTCTTGTTACATTTTATGGAAAGTTATGATAATTAATTTACTTTTATATTTGAAATTCGTATGATAAATGACACACAACAAAAAAGATATTTGTACAAAAATTACAATTGGCCAATTTGAAGACATAATGCATTTACAGTGTTAATTTTAATGGATGTGTAGTAATTAGACTAATGGCCTTAACCTCTTCTTTTTATTGTGATATCATTGAGGCATCGAATTAAATTATTCAACCAATGTTATAAATGCTTAACAGTTTGAATTGTATGTTGAAAAATGGGTATAATACTAGAAAGAAATCAAAGGACATTTTTCACCCATTTTCTGAATGTATGCATCATTTTTAGAATTTGATTAATTATTCATTTTATATTCTAAAAGTTTTCATTCATATTCATTCTCTATAAAATTTAAAGGAAAGAATTTCAAGTAAATGTATTTGAAGTTTTAAACCATATATAGCGTTTCCTACAACAATTTACTATTGAAACTCTAAATTTCTGAATTCAATAAACGCGAAGAGGATACTTTTTGTACTATTTTAAACCTAAAGAGACCTATGCTCTTATCCTTTGATTTTTAATTTTCTTATTCATCCATTAACAAAAATTGGTTTCATTTTATATACAGAGCTCTACTTGTTGTTGATCACATTCATTGAGATTATTCTGTTATGGTGCTTTTACATTATTTAAATTTTTCACATCACATACATCTGAAATTTACACATGGTTTTGTGATTATCGATTTTACACTTGTTAATTAAATTTCATATTGTTCTGGAAACTTTAATTGTTTCTGAAATATTATGTTGTTTCGGAAATTTCCTATGAATTTTTGTCAAACTTTTATTGTTATATTTCATGTCAGCTATCAGTAGAAGTTCCAGAATTGATTTGGATATTTTATATACTGATTTTTTTTCCTTGCTTGTTTTACATCTGTTAGTCTATACAAAATCAATGATTCAAAAAAATTTGATTTTAAATTGTTACAAGTTTTAAAATTTCATGGATAGTTTGTTAGTGACATATTCAGACTGGGAAATTGTATGGTTTTGATAAAAAAAATCTTGTACCTTTCCTTTCTTAGCTTTTTTGTTCAAGTCAAAAATAAATCTTTTATAACCCATCTTTCAGAAATACTGCAAATACCAAAATTAATTTGAAGTTTTTATTAATGCAAAAAAATGTTGAGGATGAAAATCTTATATATGACTTAGTATTGTTGCATAAGTGACAGTTGTCATAGATTATCAATGATAAATACATACTTAAAATTTGGGATTAATACTAACTTATAAGGGAGATAACTCCTAGTCATACTTATAAGAGAGATAACTCCTAGTCATTATGAAATCTACATACTACATTTATCATACATAGTGTAAAGCTTTGAATGTTTGTTTTACATCTTGTTACAGTGAGAATGATTTAAATTGTGGAACAGAACATGTTATTTCTAAACTTCATTTTACATGGTACATTTTGTTTTACTGTGTATTTGTTACTGCTCATTCAAAAGGTTGAGAAAGTTATTTGTTATTACCTACTATGTAAATATTTGATGATTTATATGGACTTGTTGAATCTCTCAATGAAATTAAAATAAATTAAAAAAAATATTTATAAATGAAGCCAGGTGTTTTTGTTATTGAGCCTTCATAAATTTTCAACACTACAGATTATCAGCATTTAAAATCATTTATGAAATATTTTTTATTCCTTTCCAGAATGTGAAAACATGAGAGTGCAGTAAACCCCTAGTTAACACATTTTTAGCTCACCTGGCCCAAAGGGCCAAGTGAGCTTTTCTCATCACTTGGTGTTCGTCGTCGTTAACTTTTACAAAAATCTTCTCCTCTGAAACTACTTGGCCAAATTTAACCAAACTTGGCCACAATCATCATTGGGGTATCTAGTTTAAAAAAATGTGTCTGATGACCCCACCTGCCAACCAAGATGGCCGACATGGCTATAAATAGAACATAGGGGTAAAATGCAGATTTTGGCTTATATCTCTGAAACTAAAGCATAAAGAGCAAATTTGACGGGGTAAAAATGTTAATCAGAATTAGATCTATCTGCCCTGAAATTTTCAGACAAATCAGACAACCCGTAGTTGGGTTGCTGCCCCTAAATTGGTAATTTTAAGGAAATATTGCAGTTTTGGGTTATTATATGGAATATTATTATAGATAGAGATAAACTGTAAACAGCAATAATGTTCAGCAAAGTAAGATCTACAAATAAATCAACATGACCAAAATGGTCAATTGACCCCTTAAGGAGTTATTGCCTTCTATAGTCAATGTTTAACAATTTTTTGTAAGTTTTTGTAATCTTTTACAAAAATCTTCTCCTGAAACAACTGAGACAAATTTAACCAAACTTGGCCTAAATCATCATTAGGGTATCTAGTTTAGAAATGTGTCCGATGACCCCACCTACCAACCAACATGGCCGACATGGCAAAAATAGAACATAGGGGTAAAATGCAAGTTTTGTCTATTATTTTTTGAATCGTTATAAATAGAGAAAATCTGAAAGGAGCAAAAATGTTCAGAATAATGAGCTCTTCCAATTGTCCATATATGTCAAAACTGTTAGACAAATTCTTATAGGAGTAATTGCCCATAAATGACAAATTTTACCATTTTTAGCTCACCAGGCCCGAAGGGCCCCGTGTTAGCTTATGCCATCACTTTGCGTCCGTCGTAGTCCTTCGTCTGTCGTTGTCGTCTGTCGTCGTAAACTATTTGAAAAATCTTCTCCTCTGAAACTACTGGGCCAAATACATTCAAACTTTAAATATATGTTCCTTAGTGTATCTAGGTTAAAATTGTATCCGAAGTTTTGATCCATCAACAAACATGGCCGCCATGGCTAAAAATAAAACATAGGGGTCAAATGCAGTTTTTGGCTTACATCTCAAAAACTAAAGCAGTTAGAGCAAACGTGAAAGAGAGTTAGAGTGATGATTAGGTAAATATTTATCTATTATGAAATTTTCATGCCAATTGGAGAATTTGGAGAATTTATTGTTGGGTTACTGTTAGAAGTAGTTGTTTATTAGGAAATTTTAGATTTTGATTATTTTCTTGAAAATTATAGTAGATAAGAAGAAAGTGTAAATGAGAAAAATAGTATTGATCTATCTGCATGAACATGTTCAGAACAAATTGCCAATCTGTTGTTGGGTTACTGTAGTAAATTTTTTTTTTGGGAGAAATTATAGTTTTGGTTATTTCCCTTTGAATCATTACTTTTTCTCTGAAACTACAAGACTTAATTCAACTCCTTTTCACCAGGTTTACTTATAGATAATAGATCAACTTAGAATTTTGTTCCAATACAATGATTTTTAACCAATAGGGGATTATGTATTGCCATGCAATACTCACAGAATTCTTGTTATATTTCATCTCTTAAGCACTAAGAACATACCGGTAACTTAGATATTTATTTTGAGGCATATATGACCCCCCACCCCCACCCCCAAAAAAAAGGTGCTTTTTTAAGCAAACACCGATATACATTATTACTCAAAAATATAAATCATGATTGATAAATGAATTAAGCTTTAACAAATCAGGTGAGCGATTCAGGCTCTTGAGAGCTTCTTGTTTTTCATATTTGCCTATTAACATGAAAACTATGATATTTAGAGAGAAACATTTTTTTCCGCTATGCCTTATATGATTTAAATAATAATCGATAAATAGACACTTTTAAATCACAAAAATGATCAGCAAGGCAAGATCTATTAAAAAGTCAAATTTTGTCGATATAGTTAGTAGATTGTCACTCTTCATAAGAGTGATTGCCCTTAAATGAGGATTTTTTTTACCCTCTTTTGTGTTTTGAGCAAAAAACAAACAGACTAAAAGATCAACAAGATAGAGATTTTTGTCATGAAGTCTATTCTCGTCTACAATGTTGGAAAGTGTCCTTTGTTTGGTATGCACATAGACCAAGGTGAGCGACACAGGCTCTTTAGAACTTTTAGTTTTCATTTCCCAGGTTAAAAAATAGTCTTATAGCACATTAAAGACAAATGACTTGAAGTTAGTGAAAACTTCAAATAATAGGTTCAAGGCTTGTGGCAGGGTCAAACTGGTTATAATATAAAGGACTCAACACTTCCATAACCATTGACATTATCATAAAAGCAATTACAAAGTAAATAGTACAACAGTATACAAAGACCCAGCTTATCAGAATGGTTGATTGTTGTATGTTTATGTCCAGTGGCATTTTGCATTTTCAGGATGAACATAATTTAAAAAATGTATGATAGGATTACTGTGCACACAACATATGTTTGGTAAATAACCATCAGGACAATTTAGACCTGTAACTGGGATCCTACTCCACTTGAATGAATTAAAGAGAATGTTTGTTTGTTCCAGAATGACAAGTACCAGTGCATCTAATATTGTTATAAAAAATAAAAATAAGAAGATGTGGTATGATTGCCAATGAGACAACTCTCCACCAGATACCAAGTGACATATAATTTAACAACTATAGGTCACTGTACAGCCTTCAACATTGAGCAAAACCCATTGCAGCTTTGTTGTTAATATTCAAAGGTAGATAACTCAGATTCATATTAGAAACAGCTTTTGTATTTCTCCAACCATTTGGTAAGTCCAAGCATCTTGTCCTTCAGGATGATGTTGAGAAAGGAATTAACATAAATGGACAATAGTGAGAATGTGCAAAATATGTAACTCTAACCCATCACAAAAAGGCTTGTTAATCAAGCATCCATGCAAATATGTTCACAGGATTGCTAACCTTGCTTCATAGCTAGTTTATATATTTTATCTTTTCTCTTGTTCTAAAAAGAGCAATTATAGTTTTGATAAAAATTAAAAGTGTCATTATTTCAATTTTTCCAGATGCAGTAACACTTTCAGAAAATGTTTTTTAGTTGTTGATTCAGAATGAAATCTTAATTGCGTCTATCTTTATGTCATCAAATTGATACTTGATCACTGCTTTTGTGTGGCAAATTGGCCATATGAATATTGCTGTACTATCTTGTCTTTTCTTGTTTAATTGCCAAAATCTGAACTTTTTGCTGATAAATTATAACTATGTAAATGTTTATGCAGTTTTTAAGGTATTTTAGAAAGAGTAGAAATATAGTATTCTGCTCTTTGAAGCTTAACCCTTTGAGCGCCGGGATGTTGTTTTTCACATGGTGACGTTGCCATACATATGTGAATGACGTTACTATAAACTATACGTAACGTAACGTCAACATGCGACGTACAGGCACATGCACGTTGTTTACGTTAATTGAATAATTAGACCACACATGAGACATGACACGCATATGAAAAATTATATATCATATGTATTAAGAGCAGAATGTTTTTTTTTATTGTTATGGTGAGAAGCCATTTAAATCAAGAAAACATTTCATCATGAAGTTACCAATCATTGTATTTTTTTATGCATGAAAACGATAATGAAATTATTCAAATATTTTATTGCATGATGATCAATCAAACATGTTGACACATCACTGAGTTATCGGTGAATAGCAGTGTTCTTATTCTTCAAAGTTAATGCGGGTGTGGTATCTCCTGAAACATCCGTCGATGCAGAGTCCGACTTTACAAGTTGCACACCACCACTGAATCCGGGATTTTCTGAATCTTTCCGTGCCAGCACAAACTACACATTTCTTTCGTTTCTCATCCGGTATTTTCTCCGGGAAGTGCCTCTCTGTGATTCTGGCTAACTGCCGATGTACCGGTCTTACGGTTCTAATTTGTTGATTTCTTGTCCTATCTCTGTGATTGCCTAAAAGGTCCTGACATAACTGTTGGTGAAACTTTAGGTGGTCGAGCTTTGTTTCCACGACGAATGTTCTTTTGTAGCAGATGAAAGCATTAACTGAAAACGAGGAATAAAAAATAACACATAGTACGAATGTCTTCCTCAAGTAAATCAAGAGAAGAAAACAAAATAAAATACGAAATGAATTTAGATTTGTGCAATTAAGATACATGCCAAATTTGCGAAAATATAAAAATATTGAATGCAAAAACATTTAAACAAATTTATTTAGGTATTTAGTTTCAACAATTTGTCTTACTTTTGTTCCTGCCTACACACATTTAGGAATTGAAATAATCACGAATAAATAAATGCTTTTCGAAAAAAAATAAATAATTCCGAGGTGAATAAAAGGGAAACGGGGTGGGTGTCCATCTATGAGGAAAGAAAACTAGTGGCTGATACAAAAATATATATAAAGGTTATGTCATGTATTGAACAACTATGAACAACTATACAAGTTATGTAGCGTTCCCATAATTTTTAATCCATTTCAATATAAAAAATGTGAATTAATCCATTTCATTTGAACTTTTGTGGATAGTTGTCTCATTGTCAATCCACAATCTCCTTATTTTTATAAAGCAATATTTTAATGTCTTTCGACGAAAATTTATGTATTCTAAACTTGCAAATTGTCATTTACCTGCAGCTGTAACTAGTTGATGGAATAGTAGCTTTCTCCACATTTTCACACTTTTGAAATTCGGCTCAAATTGTAAAATAAGCTGATCCCCGAGATCTACTCCACCCATAGTATAGTTGTAACGCTTAACAGGGGATGGAATGGCCACATCTGTTCCTCTACTGTTTGTTGTGTTAATCTTGCTACAATTTATAAACATACATTAAGAAGTTTTCTCCATGAACATGTAAATCTTTTCAAGAAGGCCGAAAATGCATATAAAAAAAGTATACTCAATATACAGATTTTATTTTTAAACATTCCATCAAGTGTTCTTAAATTACATTAATTCAATTAAACTAAGTTTCTGTGGTTGCAAAGAAACTCAAATTATCGGCATTTTTAACTTGAACAACAATAAGTATGTTACAGTATTGATTTTTTCGTTCGCAGTATATTTGATCAAATTATCATTTAAGAACAGTAATATTATAGTGACTATAATTTTAACATTACTTTGCTTAAAAATTGTGTACTTCATTTGGTCTCTTGTGGATAGTTGTCTCATAGGCGATCATATCCCATCTCCTTATTTTATATTAAAAATGCATATATGTAATATACGTTTTAATTTACCATGCAGAGCCAGTTGTTGTAAGAATGGTAACCAGTCTGCGATCTGCCCATAAAACTGCCATGAGTTGTCCCTGATATTTCACTGTCATGTCTCCTTTTTGAAGTTTTACATTTCTGTAGCTTTTTGGCATGCCACGTCTGGTTTTGATTACAGTTCCTGTGCAGAATGTACCATTATCTTTCAAATCATGTACCAATTTGGGACTTGTGAAAAAACTATCAACTGTAACATGATGCTCTTTGTTGAAATGAGGTGTCATCAACTCTGTCACTACTTGGTACCCCTGAAAAAGCAATGCTTTGGGTTGATATGTGTTTATTCGTGAAGTCCTTGCGTGTAAGTAAAATTGAGAATGGAAATGGGGAATGTGTCAAAGAGACAATAACCCGACCAAAGAGCAGAAAACAGCCGAAGGCCACAAATGGGTCTTCAATACAGCGAGAAAATCCCACGAGAATATTTAAGTTTTAAGCATTTAATTTTATTCAATAATTCCTGAAAATATATATTGAAAATAACAGGGGGTAAACACGAACTAGTGATTCTATTAAACCAAACGAAGACTGGTTTACCGAAAAATGTTTCAAGGTGACGGGCTGTTAGATTACTAAAAAGATAACGTATGAAATATGGCGTGAATCCAAGAATTTTGTTTGAAAAAGGATGTAGATTCCTTCTATAAACATGACTATATGCCCTGACTATGCCTCATTATGCCCGTTTATTGCAGTTAATCTAATTTTTTTTTATAATTTTTTAATAAAGGAACTATATATTTTTAAATAGTTACAACATGGACATGTACATTTTCAAATGCAATATTTGACCTTACCTGCCCATTTTCACTTCTTGCTTCGTTTCTTCTACCCGTATATACTTTAATCTGGTGGGTGTAGCCAGTGTAGGATTCCGCTAAAACCCACAATTTAATCCCCCATTTATGAGCCTTTTTGTTGGACAAATATTGCTTTAGCTGATGTCGGCCTTTAAATCCCACAACTCTCTCATCTACACAAACATCCTGGTTAAGTCTGTAAAAATATAAGGATAATAACATTAGGTGAATTTTTTGTACGGCTACAGTTTAAAAATATTCAAAGCAAATTTACGTTTTTGAATAAAAAAATTTCGTCGTTATAGATGCACGTAGAGTGTATATAAATTGAAAAATAGGTATACAGATATATCTTTTAGATTTTATTTCTAGTCCGCTTTCATTTTTTTCATCACAGTAATGACAACATTGTAATTAACTTTGGATAAGTTTTATATACAAAGTCAATGTTAATGTATTATGTGTCTCTGGTTACACAATGTAATAAAATGTGAAAAATGTGTAAACTTGAAGTAAATGTCTTTTTTGTTTATTTACTATGTAATACAATTTGTATTCTTTATATATAATATCTTCACTCTCCTAATAGCTTAAAATGTATTGTATTCTCTTGAACAAAAAACGTGCTATTGGACACTTTATTTATCAGTACATGTACCTGTAGTTTTCTGCAAATGTCTGATTTAAAATGTCTATGACAGGACTGATCTTGTGGAGTGGGTCGTAGCCTGGTTGGTCACGTGGCACTGCTGTCTCATTGTTGTTGCAATGCAAAAACTGCATAATAGCCTGGAATCTATTTCTAGAAATAACTTGGGCAAAATTTGGTGTTTCCATAGACCATGATCTAGGATTGTTCTCCCAGTATGACTCATATGTAGGTTTCTTTACAACACCCATAGAAAGAACAAGTCCAACAAATGCCAGAATTTCCTGACGTGTCACAGGAGTCCAGTTTTTCAATCGTGCATACTCTGGCACTACTCGTGGGGGTCGACTTCTTTCAGCAATACATTGGGTGGCATAACGATTTGTTTCATTAACTAAAATGTCGATAATATACTTCTCCCCGGCATGTCTATAAATTTCAAAAAGTAATCTAAAATTGTTGAATTTGGCAGAAAGTTTACCGGCCCAGTTTGTTCATGAAAATTTGGTTCCGGCAATGAAAACGTCCCTGGATCTACAACAGGGAACCACGGTCCCCTATTCATTGGTATACCTTCATCTAGTTCTTCATCTTCCTCTGAATCAGTGTCTGATATGTTTATGTCTGATTCATATTCGGAACCCGAATCGCCGTCGTCCATCATTAACTATACGCCCAGAAAAAATGACGTCATGGTTGACCATGACGTCATCAGTGGATGATGTTTTTTTTTTTGAAACTTGTTCCGTTATTTTTCTTTAAAACTATATAGGTTTAGAGCATCAAACTGCTGCTGTTGATATGCTTTTTTTGTTTTATTTAATTGGGATAAAAAACGACAAAAATGTCGTTTTGGCGTGCTAGCGGTAAACGACATTTTTGTCGGTTTGGCGCCGAAAGGGTTAACTGTTGTAAAGAAGACTACTAATGTTGGTAGCAAATTCCATTGTACTATAGTGCATGGATCGTTCTTGTTATAGAATGAAATTTTAAATGGATCCTTGATATTTGTTTGTAGTGGTCAGTATATTTAATGAAAAAGATGCGATTGATTGCCTATATGAGACAACTATCCACCAGAGATTAAAAAAAAATTGATGTAAGCAACTATAGGTCAACAATGTAAAAAAAAATATAAAATACCAAAAGAATAGTTTTTATGTGTCTTATTTGAGGTGTAAAAAGCTCATTAGATCTTAAATTCAAATTTTGTCAACTTTTTATCTTTTTAAATTTCTCGCGTTAAAACTTTTGAAGCACCTTGGGCACATTGCTTTCTACTAATCACTTTTACGTTTTTTAAAAGGTTTCATCCAATCAAAAGGTTCTATTTTCCTAGCAACAAATACCCCGGATGCTGCTTATGAAAATGGAGGACATAGCAAAGAAACCGATTCGGAGTTAGGCATGGATCTAAATATTGTATAACGACCTCATTTTTATATAGTGTAGCTCAACGCTTATTAGCCATTACTGAGGACACACGAAGAATTGCGTTCTACTTTGAAATTGTTACTAGTGAACTGCTGAAATGGCTATGGAAAGGGCCAAGGTAAATAAGTCGTGTAAACAAACACTTTGATTGAATACAAAGTACTCGGTAAATGATTAAAATATCTGATGAAGATAATTTGGGTGTTAAAATTCATATGAACCACTTCCCATGACCTGAGGTTTTTGTTTTCCTATCCGACATGTCCAAATTGTAGTAGCTTGTCCATGTTGCTGAAATTTGACTTTCAGAGTAATATAGTGTAACACAGTCACAGGAATAGATTACCTTAGGCTTAGCCGTTTTTGGCACAACTTTTTGGAATTTTGGGTCCTCAATGCTCTTCAACTTTGTACTTGTTTGGCTTTATAACTATTTTGATCTGAGCGTCACTGATGAGTCTTATGTAGACGAAACACGCTTCTGGCGTATTAGATTATAATCCTGGTACCTTTGATAACTATTTACCCCACTGGGTCGATGCCACTGCTGGTGGACGTTTCCGTCCCCGAGGGTCTCACCAGCCCAGTAGTCAGCACTTCTGTGTTGACATGAATATCAACTATATGGTCATTTTTATAAATTTCCTGTTACAAAACTTTGAATATTTCGAAAAACTAAGGATTTTCTTATCCCAGGAATAGATTACCTTAGCTGTTTTTGGCACAACTTTTTGGAATTTTGGGTCCTCAATGCTCTTCAACTTTGTACTTGTTTGGCTTTATAACTATTTTGATCTGAGCGTCACTGATGAGTCTTATGTAGACGAAACGTGCATCTGGCGTATTAAATTATAATCCTGGTACCTTTGATAACTATTATAAGGCTACTATAAAGTGAAGATTACAACTTTAAAATTATATTCTTGGAGACAAATCTCTCAAACCATTTGTTTTAAAAATATTTGAGAGCCTGACAGGTGCTACTTGATGCCATTTATAAGGCTACCATTTAGAGAAGATTACAACTTTTAAAATTATATTCAGGGAGACAAATCTCTCGAACCAAGTGATTTAATATTACATCCTGACAGGTGCTACATTTGTACCTGATGAGCTCCCAAAGGTTTATTTCTGATCTACAATATAGGGGGAATCATATGCTCATTCATGATGTTTTATGAGAATTCCTTAAAAGGAGCTAAAACCTTGAAAAAAGTTTTCCTTCATGTATATAATCTTACACCTTAGTCATCACTATTTTCCCCCTGTAACATTTTGACGTCACTATAGAGAAAATGTCGGACGCCACAACAGAAATGTGAGTGTTGTATGACCTCTAAACACGTTGTTCAGATGCTGCAAATTAATATTATCAAATAGGACATTAAGGTCTATTATGATTATGATAGTAATTAGTGTTTTCTGCAGGAGGTTTTGGTGTGTTTTCTTGACGCCCTGCCCTTTTTAGGAAAACAATTTGGCACCATGCCCCTTTTCCATTGTATTTTAGAACGCCCCGCCATAATTTGATATCAGTTCTGCCATTCATCTTTTAGCAAGATCATTTCGAGTTATTTCCCGTGGAATGAAATCAAAATTTTAATGGCGGACATTATATTGAATTTCGTAATTATGTATGAACAGTTTTAAAGCGACAGAGTACAAATACGATTCATGATTGATTGAATCTAATAGGGACAACATCGATTTGTACCTCTACAAATTTAAAATGTAGACAATTTAAAAGGGAACCAGGCGATCATTTGACTTATAATTTTACGAGGCATGGGATGAAAATTACCACTGATTACGTAAACAATCCGATGTTTGTTTATATTTTCTATTTATACTATTCTGTTGGTAGAGATATCGGATTGGATGTGAATTTATGACGGCTTTCATACTGTTGTTATCTTAATAAAATCAAAGTTAAGAATATAGCTGATATAGTTTTGAATCGTACGAAAAATCAACAACGTTTCAATAAAAAAAAAACACAGATGGAAAAAAGACGAAAAGCAGAATAATATATGTATAGTAAGTCTTGCTATACAAATCTTTGAATATCCTAAAACTTTTTGTACAGTTATTAGCCTATTTCATTGAGAAGTTATGCAGTCAGATGTATTTTTATCAACTAGTAAAGAAGTAACCCCTCACCCCACCCTAAGTTCAGCAACTACACAAGTATGCTCTCTTCTGTCTCCTGGTCACAATAAGACTACTCCCTAATGCCCTATTGGTATCTGAATGACAATTTCTAAGACTATCTCCATCAACACAAATTTACTTAGCCAAACTAAATGTGTTACTTGCACCTGAATGCAGGGATCTGGTTTGGAGGTAAGACTGTTGTTTAGGTTCTAGCTGGAGTTGGGTTAGGTCAGAGTCAATTAATGTGGATTAATGGGTTCAGGCAGTGTGATTAACATATCAGACTTAACTGATCATCATATGATTCCTCCAATTAAATGAGTTCTTTTTCAGTGTTTGGGCCCAGGCTCAGACTTAGTGAGCCTTTAGTACTCTGCATCTATATGATGTACATGTACGCTTCACTACTTCGACTCTGTATCTTTATGATGTATGCTTCACTACTCTGAGTATGATGTATGCTTCACTTCTCTGCATTAGTATGATGTAGGCTTCACTTCTCTACATCAGTATGATGTATGCTTCACTTCTCTTCATCTATATGATGTACATGTATGCTTCACTACTCTGCATCAATATGATGTATGCTTCACTACTCTGCATCAGTATGATGTATGCTTCACGACTCTGCATCAATATGATGTATGCTTCACTACTCTGCATCAGTATGATGTATGCTTCACTTCTCTACATCAGTATGATGTATGCTTCACTACTCTGCATCAGTATGATGTTTGCTTCACTACTCTGCATCAGTATGATGTATGCTTCACTTCTCTGCATTAGTATGATGTATGCTTCACTACTCTGCATCAGTATGATGTATGCTTCACTTCTCTGCATCAGTATGACGTATGATTCACTACTCTGCATCAGTTTGATGTATGCTTCACTACTCTGCATCAGTATGATGTATGCTTCACTACTCTGCATCAGTATGATGTATGCTTCACTTCTCTGCATTAGTATGATGTATGCTTCACTTCTCTGCATCAGTATGATGTATGCTTCACTTCTCTACATCAGTATGATGTATGCTTCACTACTCTGCATCAGTATGATGTATGCTTCACTTCTCTTCATCAGTATGATGTATGCTTCACTACTCTTCATCAGTATGATGTATGCATCACTTCTCTGCATCAGTATGATGTTTGCTTCACTACTCTGTTTCAGTATGATGTATACTTCACTTCTCTACATTTATATGATGCATCTGTGTGACTCAGCCTAAAAATTTCCCAGTGAGAAAACTGACTAAGGAGATGTGATATGATTGCCAATGAGACAACAATACATAAAGACCATAGGACAAAGATGTGAACAATTAAGAATCACTCTATGGCCTTCAATAATGAGCAAAACATCTACCATAAAGTAAGTTATAAAAAGCCTAAGTTTGACAAAACGTGAAACAATTCAAAAGAGAAAACCTATGGCCTGATTTATGCTACACTAATGAACAAAAAAATAAATATGGAAGGCAGTGAACAATTACAACCCCTGGATAACAGGTTCATGGCTTAGGACAGGCACAAAGGGAATATGGAAGGCAGCGACCAATTACAACCCCTGGATAAGAGGTTCATGGCTTAGGACAGGCACAAAGGGAATATGGAAGGCAGCGACCAATTACAACTCCTGGATAACAGGTTCATGACTTAGGATAGACACAAAGGGAATATGGAAGGCAGCGACCAATTACAATGCCTGGATAACAGGTTCATGGCTTAGGACAGACACAAAGGGAATATTATATGGAAGGCAGCGCCCAATTACAATGCCTGGATAACAGGTTCATGGCTTAGGACAGACACAAAGGGAATATGGAAGGCAGCGACCAATTACAATGCCTGGATAACAGGTTCATGGCTTAGGACAGACACAAAGGGAATATGGGGAGGTTTAACATGTTTGTGAGCTCTCAACAACAACATGAAGTAGTTACACTGAAAGGCCTCTTGATCATCTAACAGCTCTTGTTACAGTTGCTTTGGGTTACATGCATTGTACATTTTGTATAGATCTGAAGATTTTTCTTCTAAATTTATCAAGGACTCATTTAATTAGAATGTTGGAATGTTATTACTAGTACTTTTATTGAATTATAAGAATCTTGTATAGAAATAAACGGGGATTTTTGTAAAAAAGAATAAACCAACCGATTATAATTATATGTTTAGTAAAGTTAAGCAGGATTTATAACTCTTCAATATTTTGGTTTAATAATGTAATTAACATATAAATAAGCCATCAATAGGACTTGAAGATTTTCTAAGGGGATATATTTGCAATAATCCAAAGTAATTTATTTATTCTTTTTCTTAACAAACAACACAAATATGTAAAGTGAAAGATTGAGTCTACCTCAGTAATAAATTTATGTTGACAGTGTAAAATTTATGTAAACAGTGCTAAAAGAGGAATTCATATATACACATGAATAGATGAAGCACAAATAAGCAGTTAACTAATGTTAGTTTTAAAAGTGTATAATCATTGCTCATTTATAATTTAATATTTCTAATTTGTTAGGTAACAGTTAATTCTATATAAATTCAGTGCATGTAAATATTTTATTTGGTTTATTGTGAAATCTGGTTACTGAAAGAAATCCAAATAAGATAAAATAACAATTGAAATGTTTTGGCATGGTTCCAAATCCGTCTTTACAATACAGGCATTTACTTGGCATTCATTGGATATTTAATGTGTATCTTATAAAACATGCTTGTTAAGTAATTGATTTCCAATCAGGATATTTTGCCAGTTTTATAATTTTTTATATATATAATATTTAAGTTTGAGCACAATGGCCTCATGGCTCATTTAATCAGAAATATGTATTTTTTCTATATTATTGGTTTTTGATACGTTTGATTAACAATTGAGTGAAAAAATAGGTGATATACCAACCAAAGATGATCCCCTCACAGACAATAGAAAATTATTACAGAAATCCACATTGTACAGCAAACATTAAAATATACAAAATATCTTATTAACAGCCTTAAGATGTAGTAATTGAATTTTAGATATCCAGTTAAAGTGTGTCTACAGTATTTTACTTGACAGAATAATTTATAAGTTGAAACATTCCTTTTATTTTTTTTTTTATCTACATCATGGTTCAAGTATACATATATGTATATACCCCTGAATTGCCTGAAAAGGGCAGTCTGCTGTTTTACATGAATGTGATGTATCAAAATTTTCAACCAGCATTGATAGAGTTCCATTGTTTAAGCATGAAAAAGACCACTACATTTATTTAGAGGATGTTCAGTTTTCAAAACCTACCAAATTATTCATATATTTATTTGTTCCCCCATTGAAATCTAATCTCCACTTAAATCCAGTTAATGAAAATTTGTGTGGAAATTGTTTATATTTAGACAGTACTATTTGACTTTGATCTTATTTTTGTTTTCCATTAGTACGGTTAAGTTTTAGGATTGAACCTGTCCTAAAGTTGAATAAGTAACTATATATGTATGTGCGTTACATACAACATCATACCACATCTTCTTATGATTTGCAATGTAATTGTTTTAGAATACATGCTGTTGTATTAATAAAGAATTTATTTGACTATTTTTTAAATTTTAGTATGTTGAAACTCCAGTGCAGAGCTGCAGTAAGACCAGAGGGTTGCCTGGCTTGCCGCCTCTTCCAACACATTCCAAGGAACAATCAGATCTATACAAGGTATCATATTTCAGCATAACTTAATGGCAAAACACACACACTCAAACAGAAACATCAATCTACATGTATGTAGTATGACACGGTTTAGAAAAGGCAGAAAGATAAATCTTTAGTATTTATTTTTCAAACTGAAATGATTAGATGGGTTATTATTTGGTCAATGTTTTCACTTTCAGGGTTCAGGTTAATGTTATTGATTAAAAAACAACACATATAGAAAATAGGGGAACATAAATTAAAAAACAATAGATTTAGAAAATAGGGGAACATGAATTAACTTTCTTTTTATTGCATTTCTTTTGTGTATACATGTATCTAGTTTGTTGTTTAAACCTGATCCGAGAGGTTTGTTGTGGACAAGTTTTTATTCCATGACTGTATTAATGGTTTAATACTGATACATGTCCTTTTAGACAGTGATTTACCAGGATAGCTGCCAATTATATGTGTGCATCTTGATTTCTAATGTTTCTTAGGATTTCAATAATCTACTATGTGGTTATAGAAAAACTTTTTATAAGATTTTTTGGCTGATGCAGTTCAGACATTTTTGCATGTCTACCATTAATTTGGCATTTATCTTACTATTAAAATGCATTTTGCTGAGTATGTGTCCATCTTTACATCCAAGTAGAAATTCTATTAATAACAATGATTGTTTCTTGTGTATAGATTGTTTTGCGGAACAGTGAGCACCCACCTATAATGAAGGGTACTTCATGGACTCTAGCAGCTCCATTCAAAGAAGAGCGATATCATCGAACTCCAAGTGAATCAATAGCTAATAATTACACCCCGTCAGCATGTGATTTAAAGATGAGAGATCTTCCCAAACTGCAAAGACAAAAAACAAAATGTAAGTTTATGTTCTTTAAATTATAAATAAATTGTCAGTGATTTATATTCATATGAAAACAATATAAGATATGCTGTGTACGGCAGATGTATAAGATAATAGGTTTCTGAATCTGAAGGTATGGAATTTTCTTAAATGTTTTCTATAATCCACTTTGACCTACTACTGTACTTAAAATTTATTTAAATGAAATTAAGATTGACACGTTTTAACTGAATTGACTGGATTTCAGACCTGGAAGATCAGATTTATTCTGGTATATATACCAAGAAAGAGCTGCCACCTATCAATGATGGTAAAGTGTAGACATAGTTGTGTGAAGCGTGTGGTGTAGTAGCTATTGTGTTTATTTGCTATATATGACCAAAATCCTCTCTGGCTGGAAATCTTGTACATCGTATTTACAAACATTTTGTTTCCTCTACCAAGAGGAACTGTCTGTTAAATGTATGGATGTCACCAGGTTTGTTCACCAGAGGGGATTTTTATAAAGAAATATTTTATTTGCACATTAAGTTATATTGTTATTATTTGCCAAAATTTTAAGGATTTACTTTTTGTCAGATAGAAGGGAGATTAATATATTTCAATTTAAAGGTATTTTAATGTGTATTACTTTGTTTTTAAGCATATAAAGGGAAAATTATTGTATTCAGTTAGATTGCTTAATCCCTGGTATGATGTTATTGAAGAATTTTGAAAGGTGATGGTAGCAAGTGCTTGTTTTGTGTGCTGTGTATAGACATTATTTAAAAGAAACCTATTCAGAATACAGGGAGAATTCTATAACCATGAGATTTTTGTATTTTGAATTCAAAATATAGCTATCTTAATCAGATATATATCTTTTTACATTTGTCATAATATTTTAAGTTTTCAAAATTTTGTAATTAAAACTTTTACTCAGAGTATGGTTTCCAAACATTTAAAGAACAATCTTTTTCGTCACTCATAAAAAGAAACTTTTGTTCTAAAGCAGGAGGTTAAACAGAGTTTAAAGATAATTACTTTGAATTAATTGTATAATGAAGTTTTTCTATTTTAAATTTTCAGTACTAGGGAAGAAAAGTCCAAGAAAATCACCAAGAAGTCCTACATTTGTAAATGGGTAAGTTTATCAAAAACCATCCAAACTTGTGAAAACTATTCAGAACACATTCCTTTTGCTCATTTTGTTGTTGGTATTAAAGTTTATAAATAAAAACAATATTTTCAGTAATCAATTAGCATTTTTTTTCTTAAATAAGTCATTTGTCTGTGGCAATTTTAGATTTTTTCGAGAAAATTTAAATTCTTACATTGGTACCAGTGGGTTATCAGATTTATCCAATTGAGATAGTTAAATTATCAGATTTAAAAGTATTAGCCTCGACAAGGACTTTAAAATTCAATAAATTAACAATCAAGATTGCATAAATCCAATAATCGATACTTAACTTTGAAAGAATTTGTTTCTCTAATGATTATCAAATCGATATTCATTTTTGTCGAGCCTGCGACTTTTGTAGCAAAAGCGAAACATAACAATCCTACATTCTGTCGGCGGCGTCCACAAATATTCACTCTGTGGTTAAAGTTTTTCAAATCTTAATAACTTTCTTAAACTATCCTGGATTTCTACCAAACTTGGACAGAAGCTTGTTTATGATCGTAAGATAGTATCCAGAAGTAAATTTTGTAAAAAAAAAAATCCTGTTTATCCTTAGTTTACTCATAAATGGACTTAGTTTTTCCGCCAGTTAACATTACATTCACTCTGTGGTTAAAGTTTTCAAAATTTTAATAACTTTCTTAAACTATCCTGGATTTGTACCAAACTTGGACAGAAGCTTATTTATGATCAAATGCTAGTATCTCTGTTTTTCCGTATATTACTTATAAATGGACTTAGTTTTTCTTCCAGTTAACATTACATACAGTCTGCAATTAAAGTTTTTAAAACATTTATTAGATTCATAAACCATCCTGGATTCTTACCAAACTTGAACAGAAGCTTCTTACATTCGAAAGATAGTATCTAGAGGAAAATTTTAATAATTATTTCCCCATTTTTGTTGAGCATGCGACTAACAGCAAAAGTAGGCGAGACACTGGGTTCCACGGAACCCTTACACATTTTTGATAAACGAAAATCACCTTCTAGTGCCTTCCACATTCTTAATTTCTAGGTCATACAAAAATTATGTTGTCAATTTCTCTAACACCTGTTCATCCAGAGAGCTGATAAAGGTTATGACCTAAGAATTTTAACTAAGCCAATCATCTACTGAGATCATTGGCAACCACACATTGGTTAAATTTTTTAAACAATGAGTCCAAAAAGGGTTAAATTGTCAAAGAATTAGAGAAATTAATTTATTATGTAGCAGCAAAAAAGAATAATGGCAAGTCACCATGAACAAAGTGAGGTCAAATAACAAAACTTGTAGTAAAATAAAGTAAAGTAAAATTGCTAAAGATGATACCATTTAAAAAAATAACATTCTAATCTAAATGTTCTTGGAAATGCATATAACTGTTGAGCTTACATTTTTAGAGGCCAATGCATAATCAACATTAACCTAATTTGTACTCAATATAAATGTTTTGATATTGTTTTGATTTTAGGAATGCCAATGGTGTTAATGGAACAAATGGAGTAAATGGCCATGATGTGTTACCAGACATTGGAACAGAAATACCACCTAGTAGACCATTCACACCTAATGAACAACTAGACATAATGAGAGCTTTCGAGGATCATGAAATAACAGAAACAGGAGAACCATCAAACAGAGATGAGGAAGTTAGTTTTTCTTATATTTGACCATTTCTATTGTACAGATTTTATTACTGATTTTAACTGATTAAATTTATTATCTTTGAGGCCTAGTTCAATGTTACAGGTTGGTTTAATGCCATCTACCAATAACCAACTCTCGGTCTAGGGTTCAATATTTTAGTCAGCAATCAATTAAAAACCCTGTAATAATAACAAAATATCATTTTTGAAGTATCCAAAATACATATAGTTACTTTCTTTACAAGGTTAAACATGTATGATAACAGACCAAGTAAAATACATTACATATAATTTAGTAATAACTTTAACTGGTAAACAATTAGTCCTTATTTAAAAAAAACCTGCCGTAAATGTATTCTGAATTATATAATGTATTTGAGAGCTGCAGTAAATGTATTCTAAATTATTTTATGTTTTTGAGAGCTAACAAATTTTGGCTTTAAACCAAAAGACATACTTTCATTAGCTTTCTGTGATAATACAGTAAATTACTACTTATTTTTTTAAATTAATAGTTATACTTTATTTTGAATATTTTTGTTTTTACAGAGATATTACTATTACATACAGAAAGGTGTAAAGAGGCAGATGTTAGCTCCTCCTCATCCTGACACAATGAAGAATATAAGATCTCTAGTCCCTCCAACACTCCTGTCTAGTACTTCTCTAACACCTATGGTACGGGACCTGTCTGAGGAAGTGCAGAAGGATTATGAGTTCAGTTTGAGAAAAACCATTGGTATAACAATTTTCATGTTAATTATGATATTATTAGAGCTATTTTCCTAATGCTTGTAGTTTAAAAGTTTGTTTGGCTTGCTTGCTTTGTTTTTATAAATGTTTGTTTAAGCATTGTAATTAAGATTGACATCTGCAATTAATAGATAGGCGGGCTTCAGCTTGTATACATTATACTGAAATATTATTGGATGTTAAGTATTATGCTGAATATAATGTAAACAAGCTGAAGCCTGCCTATCTATTGATTGCAGATGTCAATCTTCATAACAGTGCTAGAGCAAACATTTATACAAACAAAACAAGCAAGCCACCAAACCTTTAAACTACAAACATTAGGAAAATAGCTCTAAGTATTTGGCAATCTAGAAATCATCCATGAAGAAAAACATAACACCTACACATTTATTTTGATATCTTCTGTCGAATACAGGAATTCAAAAATTCATACAGAATTTGCCATGAAGGCCATACAAAAGGTAAATTTTGTAGAATGCTTTGTCATAAGTCTAAAAAGGGATACAACTCTGCAACATTGTGTAGAAAATACAGGGTAATATATAAGATATCAGATGTTGTTTTTCTCCCAGGAACAGACTGATTAAGAATTTTGATTGTCCATTTCAGTAATTACACACCAATTATGCATCTGAAAAACAAAAGTAAATATTTGCAGCTTCTTTTTACCATTGTATTACATTTTTTAATAACATAAACGGTACCAATTTTACTGCACCAGATGCGCATTTCGACAATCAATGTCTCTTCAGTGATGCTCGAGGCCAAAATATTTGAAAATCCAAAGCTTATTAAAAAGATGAAGAGCTATAAACCAAAAAGGACAAAAAAGTAAAGCCAAAGCCGGGCAGGAACCAGAGCTTTGCATGAGGGAGATATATTTCTGAATTTAAAATAATTTCCAAAATTTTTTAACAGCAAATTTTGATAGCACAAATCCGAATTTTCATGCCAGTACCGAAGTACTGGCTACAGGGCTGGTGATACCATCGGGAACTATCAGTCCACCAGCAGAGGCATCGACCCAGTGGTAGTAATAACATTAATGGTACCAATTTTACTGCACCAGATGCGCATTTTAAATTGTGTGGTTCTTATATACACTAGTAATGAGCTTTTAAATAGTACCAAACTCATTTTACATTCTTTGGGTAAACAGAATCATTTGTTGTATTTTACAAACACAAAGTCTGTGTCACTTTTGATGATGTGTTTTGCATTTCTTTCACATAAAAATTATTTGATAATTTCAGTTGACTACATTTTAAAAGATCCAACAGAAAAAGAAAGACTGCACATTGCTTGGACACCAAAGCCTTTCCCTCACAGGTAAATGAAGTATAAGATATTTTGACTGATTTCTTATGAGTGAAAAAATATTGTTGTCCTCGTCAATTAGATGTAGATGTTTCAGATAGAGGACTATTTTTCTCTTTTATTTAATACGAAAGCACCTAAACCTAGTCTACATTTTTTTACCTGTTCATTTATTAAGACAAGTTAAGAATTTGTACATAGATTTTATTCAAGTTTGAATTAAACTGACCAGATCAAGGAAATATGGATTAGATGTTATAACACATTCCCCTTTCCATGGTAAAAATAAACAATGTTTCCCTAAATGTATTACTTTCAAAAGGCTAAAATTAATTTCATTTTGAAGATAACTTTTGTGTACTTCAAATATATAATGATAGTTCTAGATGGATGTACAGAGCAAATAATGTATACATAATTCATTGTGTGATACTTTTCTTTATTCATAGAGTCATTAGAGCTCCAGTTCCATGGCATGATAGCTATAGAAACATGAAAGACACAAACAGAATCCATCTGTTTATTACAAATCCTATAATGTTAAAATTGCAGGATATTTGGTTTGACCAGTAAGTATTCATTAGAATTTTTTAAGTTCAGTATTTTGAATGTAGACATATTTATGATGGTCCAATGGTATTGATGTACTATTGCAGTAGCATTCATAAAAGAGTTCAGCAGTCACTAATAATTGTTTAATGTTGAGATTGTTATTGTAAGGAAAAGCTGATATGATTCTTTCAATTTTGATGCAAACAAGCAAGAACCATGTTGTGATGAATTGAACTAGGAATGTAAAAAGCCTGTGATTTATATAATAAGTGAGTGGAAAGTTATAGAAATTGAAAATATAGTAAGATAGAAAATTATTGCATAGTAGCTTTGAATTATCAATCAACTCCATTTTTTAATTATATGTAAGTACATGTTGTACTAAAAATTCAAGGGCATTTTTTTCTTTTCAAAAACATTTTTAGAATAAAAAATGACTGCTCTATTATGTAAATTTCAACACCTGTTTAACAGCCAATTGATTTTTACAGATTCAATGAACTGAGATTTGTAAACCTGAAAGAACTAAATGAAGCAGATTTACCTTTATTACCATCAGAGTTTGAATCCTTGGTAAAGAAACAATGTTGGGAAGCACATGAAGTTCTGAGAAAAAGGTAAAATAGTATTTATCTTAGAAAAAGTTAAAACTGGGTTAAATCATTGATCACCAGCATGTATACAGTACCATAGAATGACGCATAGATATTCATTGCAGGGTGCTATGTATTTTCTGGTTACAGTCATAAATGGTTGGCCCATATGCCTTTTTCACCATATACAAATAATAAAAGCCTGATAACTGTACTTTGGTATGTTATAAATAAATTTGAAAAAAGGTATTTAACATTTATTTGGTTTCTGTTAAAAGAAATGAAAATTTTGATTTCAGTAAACTATTTTTTTTCTCTATTTTAGCTGGATACCAAACTGTGCCAAGTTATTTGTTGAGCACAATGAATTATGGGAAGACCTTGTCCCTCCAGAAGATGATGACTCCACAGAACTTGTTGAGGAATTCTTTGCCTGTGTTGCAGGTCTCATGTCTATACAACTGAGAGGAATGGTCATCAATTCTCTTGCTGACTTCCTCAAATTCTTTGAAACTCATAAAGTAAGGCTATTTGACATTTAAAACCGTAAATAATACAAGGTGACTGAATTTTGTTGTTATGATTCAATATAAGATATTTAGTAATTAAAGCTCATCATCAGTGCTCATGCTGCGATATAACCTTTTTGTGCTGATGCGGCGTAAAGCAATCACCAATCAATCAATCATCAGTGCTCTAAGTTTTTTTTTATAAATAAAAATATATTTACGTCTTTCTGCAGTTCAATTTTGGACAGAAAATTACAATTTTTCCTAGTCCTGTCAAAGGTGGTAATGAAGTTGTATACATCATCTTTTCATATTCTTTTTTTCTAAGAAGGACAAGTTATATTACAGTTAAAGAGTTATCATTTTGTAGAGTTTTCTATATAAAAAATCTTTATAGTCTGTAGGATTAAATTATTGTTATCCTTTTGTATTTTAGGCAGGAAATGATTTTGAAGAACCATTTGATGAACTGAAATACTTAGAGACATCAATGATGATAATAAAACTGAAAGTAGAAGAACCTAAGATTGTATTTGATCCTGCTTTCAAAGAAATAAGAGACATTATACTTAGATGTTTCTCTGAAATTGTGGCTAGCGGAGATGGATTAACAAGGGTAAGCACTTCTCATTGCTCTGTAAACTATCATTGTGAATGAATTTGTGTGTTTGGTCTGATTGGTCAGTAGTAAAACAGAGATTATTACTTGATTTATTTCACTTGACTTGGCGGAGTTTAACCCGTTCGCTCATTATAGACAAGTCCATCTATAGACAGGTGTTTTGGGATAAACTCATCAATGAAGTGTCCAGTTATGGTCATTGATCCAGTTAAAATATGTAAACATTATATATGTATTCGCAAAATAAATAATGAGACACAGCCGTTGATTTTCTTGTAAAGCAGAGTTTAAAAAACATGTAAAAATTGTCACATTTTGGAATTTGTGGATATGAAAGTAAAACTATAACGATAGCAGTTGCAAAATCTGCATATGTTGCTATTCTATAAATGTTTTGGTGACACTGATAGGTGATTAGAAATCAGTAATAATTATAACGGCAATCATCCTTATCACACACATTTTCAAATAGACTGTCCTTATGCAAATTGAAAAGCAAGCTCCGCCCGATCAGTTGAAAAAACATTGGTAATACGCACAAAACATTTGAGGATGTGGACAATTTTACATTGTAAAGACTTTATGCATAAATCGTCAGTGAAGTTTGATTTTATTGTTATAAATTCTTGGGGGGGAATTTATGTTTGTTATTTTAATTTACAACTTTGACTTTATTTGATATTGTTTATTTTCAAATTGTGACATGTAACATTTCAGGTTGAATGTGAGTTGTTTCCAGACATGAGAAGTAAGAAGTTACTGTTGAGAACTGTCAAGATAGAGGAATCTTTAGTTGTAGAATATGTAGACAAAGCTATGGATATATTTAAAAATAACACAGTTGGACCACAAAAGTAAGTCAACATTTCTGTAGTACATTTAATGGACAGTATTACTGCTAAGCCCTTTAGCATGTTTAGGCTTGTGCAGTAATAATACTAACTTAAAATTTCAAACACTATGTATAAGAGTTTTGACTATTAAATTGAATGCAAAGATTGTGCTGTCTGTTTCCAGAGTCGCAATATGCATTTTTTTTTTCACTTAGAGAAATACTACTGCTGATGCCAACATTTTACCCAAATTGTTAAGAGGGTAATAAATCAAAATTTGTTCTTGCCTAATTAAATTCTGCCAAGTAAGTAGACTTACACTGAGGTACAATAGACAAGGCTCTGAAAGATTAAGTTATGCACCTTAGAATCTTTTACTTTTTTTGTTCACCTGTGATTAACAGTTTTAAATATCAATGAATTAGAGCAAGCTATAATACATTGGTCAGTGTGCTATGTGGTGAGCTATGGATCAGCTTGTGTCAAAAACTTGTATACCTACTTAGTCTGAAAGATCATCTCAAGTAAATACTTCTATTTGTCTAAATAATTTTCCGAATGTTTTCTACAGACCAAACCAATTTTTACTAGTCATGGGCTTAGACCTAGTGGTACTTTGTACATAGTGGTGTGTTTTTCACTTGTTGGTTATGACATGAAGATATTTTGTGCATTTCTAGGTACTTAAACACATACAAGAAGTATGCTAACTTGCTGAACAATGAAGCAGAGCAAGAAGTTGCTGCCTTCCTCAGAGAAGATCACTCAATTGAAGCTTATAAACAGGTATGTTTCATATCAATTATATAATACCTTGCTTGAGATTTAAATATTTTTATATGCATGGGAATAAAAAAAAAAAATGGAATTCATTTGTAAACAGTTTACAAATACAGTCATAATTTGTGTTACAGAAAATCATAGCCTTTAACAAATTAAGAGAAGAAATAGCTTTATTGAGGATAACAGTTCCACTGAGTATGTTCTGTCTGGACTGTGTAGCATTGAATGATGACCTGTGTGGCAGAGCAGAAAGACTGAAGGATAAACTGGTTACTAGACAAATTGATGACAATAGAGACATGAACAGAGCGTATGTATTTGTTGTCAAAACAAAAATAGAGTTGAGATGTCTTTCATTAATATGATATAGGTGGTCCACTTACAGAACTACCTAGTGTGTCCCTTTGTGTAGGGATATTGAAAATAGAGCATAGACCATAATAGATCTTCTGAGAATTCCATGCAGCCTGCATGTTACAGACAACTTTTAAAGATGTTAGAATTAAAATTCCCATTATGGGCTGTACAAAAGGTTGAATTTTCACTGTTATTTTATATTTTTCCAAAGTTAAATTGTCATAAATATTTGACTTCCAATGTTGCCCGTTCTTATAGCTTCGAATGAATGTCTCAAAATTGTGTAATGCATTAGCTATGATAAATTAAGCATAATTTAACTTTATGGTCAGTGATAGCTTTATGATGAAATGTTTTCCACTGGACATTGAACAAACAACAATCAGTCAGTGTATGGGGTATCTTTATTGTAGTTTGTGTGAGAAATATGACAAAATGGCTGATAAAGTAAATGAAACACCAAAAACAACACAAGAACTGGTGGAAATACAGGAATACTTGAAAACTGTAAGTAAAAACTGAAATGTATCATTTCACATTGCCCTGAAAAAGTAACACAGATAGTGTTTTTTTTCTTTTCTATAATATTTTCATTTAAGTTAAAATCTAGTGTTACAATTTTGAGGATTATGACAAAGTAAATACTTTATGAAAACTGTTCTAGTCTTTTTAAAACATGCAACTGCTATGGATGTTTTTAGCTAATAATTTTATTTACTGTTGTAGTCCCAGGAGGTGACAGTGTATAAGTTAAAAGATGATATAGAGGATGCCAAGGATCGCCTTATGTTTTTGCTGGATTATGCTATTTATCCAAGTAAGTTATCTTCATCTTTGTTTCAGGCCATCTGAACTAAATACTTCATTTTAAGGTTATGTACATGTCTCCCAAAAGGGAGAAAGAATATTATAGTTTTTTGGATTTCTTTTTTAAGTGATGTTAATTTTTGATTTTTGATAATGGAAACAACACACAAAATCTAAATTGGGTTTCTTTTTATTGTGCAAAAAAGGCATAGATATTCATCCATTACCTTCTGAATTAGGAAATGTAATTTTGAAAAATAAAATATCAAATTTTGCTGTCTGTATTTTTTTAAAGTAAAATTTCATGTGATAAATGATTACCTTATAATGTGCACTTTGAATACCTAAGTTCTTTCATTTAATTGTCAGTTTTGTTTACTCTTGTTATTATTAAAGAAATATGTTTGTACAATGGTACAGATTTCCAATCTGTTTTTAATTTAACGTTATTTTGACAAGGTATGTTAAATGTTTAAAGAATTTTTGGTTAGCTCTATAATTCATGATAATGTAGAGCTAGAAAAGTGCATAGTAGAAAACTTATTAATTGAACTACACAAACAACTTTTTAACAGCTGAAGACCAGAAGTTGAACACACATGTATTCCACTGGCCAGATCACATAAAGAACGTGTTCGAGATAGCTCAGAAGATTATTCTTAGTAAGAGAGATTCTATTGAAGATGAACTTAAGAGTAGGGTTGCCAAGTTTGAGGAGAAATTGAACGATATGATGAAAGAAGTTGAATCTTTCAAGAAGAAGGAAGTAAGTTTGGCTTTTCAAAATCAATAGTGGTATCTGGTAAAATTTGTTAACAACAACAACATACCTTATTTTAAGAGGGTTACACAGTTAACTATGTAACTAATCTTCCCTGGGGCCCTCCTCATAGTATCTAGTAAAATTTGTTAAGATTGTGTAAGGAGGGAAATATTAATGGTAATGTTATTTGTTGTATTTCATGGTAATAAATTACATAATGAGCAAGGTAATGGCACATTTTGAGGCTTATTTGACCCTTGTAAATTCACTGAAAAGGAAAAATTGGAGAACATAATGTCCCTAATTTTTTAGCCGATTTATATTATCCCTGATCTGTTAGTAACTTTTTATAACCAATTGTGTTGTTCAAATGTTCTCAATTCTTCTAATTCAATTATGACATAAAAAAAAATACAGGTTGTAGTTCAATGAATTTAATATACTTGCCTATAATTTAGTTCCTCAGTGAAGATGCTATGAGAAACAACACTGAACAGTTGGCTACACTAGATACAAACTTAGTAGCAGCACGTGATGAACTAGAGGGTATCAATGATGAGGAAACATTATTAGAATGGGAACAGAGTTTCTTCCCTCAGTTACAACAGATGTTTACCATGAAAGAACCATATGAAAAACTATGGAATACTGCTTATTCCTTCCACCAGAAACATGAGAAATGGCTTAATGGTAAGTTGTTATAACATAAAAAACCATATACAAACTATGGAATACTGCCTATTCCTTCCACCAGAAACATGAGAAATGGCTTAATGGTAAGTTGTTATAATAACATAAAGAACCATATAAAAAACTATGGAATAGATGGGATGACCCTTGCTTCATCTAGATTGACATGCTGAGACAGAATTTCAACATGCTAGTACACAAAGTAACAATCTGCAGGAAGACTTGTCTTACCCTGACTCATTATTCCGACTTGAGCCAACCAGTCTTTGCTCTTACTCCTGTTATGTTATGTTTTGCTTTATTTCTTCTCTAGTATTTTGAAATCTTAAATTTAGTAAATGAATATATTTCAGGTGCATTCCAGGATTTGAATGCTGAAGTAATAGAAAATGATGTGGGAGACATGTGGAGACAGATGTACAAGTTGACAAAGACATTCAATGATCAAGCTGGACCACGTAGAATTGCTGATAATGTCAGAGGGAAAATTGACAAGTTTAAACAGCATCTGCCAATCTTATCTACAATTTGCAATCCTGGAATAAGGGAGAGACATTGGCAGAGGGTGGGTTTAGTTTAACAATATCTATATTAGAGATGATATCTCACCTAAATTTTATGCCCTCAGTGCCCATTCCATCAGTGTAGGGAGTCGGATACATTATTTGTTTGTCAAAGTTTAGGGCCAGTTCTAGTAAGTATCTGCAAGTCAGAGATGTATGAAATTTGTCAGTATATTAACATGAACTGGGTGGTAAACAGGGGCCATACAAAAATAAGATGATTTGACCTATGTTTTATAGATGGTAGAAAAAATATTTTGTGAATGGTCCAAATCAAAGCAATTACAAGCAATCAAGCAATGATAGTTTGTCTTACCAAACATGTTTAGTAGTTTGGAAGTTAAATCCATACAAAAAGAAGATTACTTCAACCTATATTCTTAAAATGAATGAAATTCTATAATTGATTTGATTGTTAGTTGAAGAATATTTAAGCCTTTCTGATATATTAACTTGTATATTGGTTGTTTTACAGATGAGTGAAATAGTAGGGACAGATATCAGACCAGTAGAGGGAACTTCACTCAGTAATATGTTAGAGTTTGGTCTAACTAAATTTCTTGCACAGTAAGTATAAACATCATCACTCATAATATTGAACATGAGATAACATGCAAATTATATATAAAAAAAACAGTTTAAAACAACTTCAATAAACCTGATATTCTCTATACGGAGAACTGAAGAAGGCTACATAAGTCCAGGTGAAAAGATACATAAAAAAGTTCGTGATTTGTTAATAGTGCTAAAGATTTGTTTACTGGTAGATATTCAGACTATAACGTTTAAACCCGCTGTATATGTTTGCACCTGTCCTAAGTCAGGAATCTGATGTTCAGTAGTTGTCGTTTGTTGATGTGGTTCATAACTGTTTCTTGTTTCTCGTTTTTTATATAGATTAGACAGTTGGTTTTCCCGTTTGAATGGTTTTACACTAGTAATGTTTTGGGGCCCTTTATAGCTTACTGTTCGGTGTGAGCCAAGGCTCCGTGTTGAAGACCATACTTTGACCTATAAAGGTTTACTTTATAAATTTTGACTTGGATGGAGAGTTGTCTCATTGGCACTCATACCACATCTTCTTATATCTATATAACAATGGAGGTACTAGACAAATATAACAATGACAAACACAGAAGATCGGAACCTGGCTTTGGAAAACCATTTGAATTAAATACAGAAAAAAAATCATCAAATGTATTAGGCTTGAATTTTGTATGTGTTTTGTCTACAAAAGACTCATTAGTGACGCTTGAAATAAAAAATAAAAAATCCCAAATTAAGTACGATGTTGAAGAGCATTAAGGACCCAAAATTCCCAAAGTTTTTCCCAAATACAGCTAAGGTTATCTTAGTGATAACAGATTAACAACTTCTACCATCTTCCTTATTCAAAACTCACAAACAATACATACTTAGTCAAAATAATTTTGCTTAGCACTGTAATTGTAATATATATAAACACAAGGATGTTTTTATTTGGATGATGATAATTCAAATGATTGTTTTACATTGGAATAGTATTGCGATTGATATTACTGATGAGGGAATATTTTTAGAACCTCACTTGTGAATATACTTCAACCTTAAAACACTGTTGTTTTATGATACATGGAATTGAATGATTTTAAAGAATGTATAAAATGGATTTTCTGAGGGGAAAAACCTGAGTCTTTGTTTTTACAAAAACACTCTTGAAACTTTTAATATTGAAAAATTTTGATACACATATCTTCACTTAAAAATATGATAAAATTGAAATAATATATAAACTAAGAAATGATGATTTTCAGATTGGAAGACATTGGAGCATCTGCAGCCAAGGAGTTCTCTCTGGAAAAAGCTTTGGAGAAGATGAAGTTTGAATGGAAAGACATGGTCTTTGAGTTGCTGCCATACAGAGAAACAGTAAATTACATAATTTTATAACAGTTAAAAAAATTTTAAACATACAATGTCAAACATTTGATAACATTTTTAAGTCATTGTCCCATTTGTAAATCAAATAAAAGTAAAGGAATGACAGGGTAGACATTAAGCTCAAGTGTAGCATAACTATTGTTAAATTGGAGAGGAAAGAAAAGAAATAATTTTTTAAGATGCATTTGTATTTGCAATTTCAGGGCATTAGTATTATGGCTGCCCCAGATGACATACAAGTACTGTTGGATGATCATGTTGTGAAAGCTCAGACTATGAGGGGTTCTCCATTCATTAAACCATTTGAAGCTGAGATGAAAGAGTGGGAAGAAAAATTGGTATTGATGCAAGACATCCTGGATGAATGGCTCAAGGTAGAGATAATAACTCATTTCGAAACTTTTTTTTAAAGTTATGATAACTATGTTATACCTATGTTAATGCTTATAATTGTATGGTGCTGATCTAGTAACATTAAAACCAACACTTGTACTTGGATTCAATATTATTCGTGGGATACCACTTTTCATGGATTTCGTGGGTAAAGTTGAACAATGAATTAAAATGTTCAGCCAAGTACAAATTTCTTATAGGCTTGTATGTAGACTTTTGTAAAACCAGGAAATCATATATCCAGGAAAATACATTTTTTCATTAGCCATGAAAATTGATACCCACGAAAATAAATGAATCCATAGTAATTGAAAATTTGAAAATCATTAATTAGTTTTCAAGTTTTCATAATAGCTGAGTGTTATATTGCTAATTGAATTTGTGAAATAACCTGAATGATAAAACAAGAAAGCCTTAAAATTGATTGTATCATTTTACAGTGTCAAGCCACATGGTTATATCTGGAACCTATCTTCAGTTCGGAGGACATATTAGCGCAGATGCCTGAAGAGGGTCGTAAGTTTGGCATTGTAGACAGTGTATGGAGAGACATCATGACTGAGGCTATCAAAGATCCTAACTGTCTGGTAGCTACATCTCAGAATAACATGTTGGGACGTCTGAGAGATGCAAACAACCTGTTAGATGAAATCCAGAAAGGATTGAATGCATATCTAGAGAAAAAGAGATTGTACTTTCCAAGGTAAGATCAGTTGGCATACCTGCCAACTTCCCGATTTAGGTGTGAACTACACGACTTTGATCCCTTGTCACGATTGCACAATCGTGATTGTGTAAAAAGCTCTAAAACACGATTTTGTGAAGTTCTACATGAAAAAATTATTGTTCCTGATTTTAAACTTTTCCCAAGGGAGACAACCGTGATCAGCCAATCAAAATCGTTGTTTCTCCTGATCACAAACTTGCTATATTTTGAACTTGTTTGGAACATTTGTCTGTATGTCAGAATTGTAAAAATCGTGATTACACAGCTTAAGAAGAAAAGCATGACTGATTGACAAATTCAAAGATGCAGTACATGTACTACCATAAACATAATAAATAGTAGCTAATGGACATTACACTTATGGTAACAGATCATACATGTTGTCTTTCTTGTACTTAATTGTTTTAAATTACCAAATCAATTTAAGTACAATGTTCTATCTTTTATTTTTCACAAGGAATCAGATACATTTCCTTCTTTGTGCATATTTTTAAATTTGAAAAGTCAACAATCACTTTAATATTCCTGTGGCTATACAGTTGAACGGCAAACGCCTGAATCTGACAGATAGAGGTCAATTTGTCGACAAAAAAAGTACCCGTATGTAAAATGTTTACGCCCACAAACAGCGCCACCTATATTTTTTTCTACGGCGTCTTTGAGAACGATGTTCCGTTCTGTAGTAAATTAAAACATTAAATTAACTAAAACATAGAAAAGTAAGTGTATAAAACTAATTAAAAGATATATTTGCACATGACTGTTTATGCATGATACGCTGGCAATGTGCGCAATGTCCTTTAATCCAAGATTCAAAATTAGTTTGTTTCCTATGTCAAAATGGCGGATTCCAATGTTTATATTTTTCCATCGATTTGAGAGCTGACACAAATTCGTATCCAATCATTAATTTGCATATTATGTACTGTGTAGGGTAGCTTATCCAATGGGATTTACTGTTATAAAGTGGCTATACGTTACCATCCATCGTTACAAAAGTGCCATGTGTTTTGTGTGTATAGCTCAGGAATGATGTGTATTCAATATTTACGGTAAATAATCAATGTTATGTTCTATATTTCCATGCATACACAAGTCATAACAGCAAATGCATTTTTTATAGAACTTATTAGGTAAACAGACATGTTAAACTGTCTGCTTTAGCAAAAATTCGTGTAAATAAACCCGATGGGTCGTTTTGAATATTCAAGCACAGCAGACAAACACGTGGTAGATTATTGATGTTTGTTTACCTAAATTGCACGCTGTTGTTAATAAATACTTAGAAATAACCATTATCGTGTTATTATTGTTTAACAGCAGATAAAATTAATTTTACAATTGCATTTAACTACTTTCAAGAGTTATATAATACACCTTGAAGAAATAGGTCTAGCTAGGTCCAGGGACCTCCTTTACTAGGTCCTTAAAAAAAGAGGCTGTAATAATGTACATGATGTAAATTACCATATTTACATTCCAGCATTTTTTTGCATTTGATATATATATATATTTCATATACATGTACATGTATGTACATAGAGAACAATAGAGTAAATGAACATACATGGGTTTAATTCCCACCCTAGGTATTAATTTTAATACTCATTAGAGGTTGGAGCAAATAGGGCAGATTGCAATTGACCATAATGTAGTGTCTAAAAATGTTGATTGATGTGGCCAAGTCCTCAACATCCTTATTTCTAAGTATACAGCAGCTCCTTTAAGGATTAGTAAGGGAACACTTTACATATAGTCCAGTGGCTAAGTCCTGCCTTTTTTGTCTCTATTATTTCCTTATTTATATTATTATATTTCTTATATTCTCTTGTACATGTAGTAAGCTAAAAAGCTATCATTACTCTTTTTCCTCATCTGCCTGATAACAATGAAATGTATTCATTGTTGATGTCTGTAAAGTGACTTATAATTTAACTGCTAACAGACATTTGGACTCTGGTGGATAGTTTCTATACTGTTATCTCATTGGCAATCATACCACATCTCTTTATTTTAGTACAGGTTAAGTATTTAAAGTAAGTGACTAACAAACATTAAATCATTTGAAAGAAAAATTCTGCAATGATTTCAGTTTACATATATCAACAATAAAATTTGGTTGTATAAATTGTGTCATTATGTTTATAATGACCACTGTAATTGTGAACTGCCATGACTGTCTTGTACAAAATATATTTGAATAAGTTCCCTAATGAATAGTATATAGATGTTAAAAAAAACAAATGTATGTACTAGTTCCAGATCTATCAATTCAAAAATAATTGATGTTTTTTTAATTAATGTGAATAATAACAACTTATTGCAATAATCATGATATTAAAATACAAACGAGCATTCTTATATGTGATACATATATAACTTAATGCAGCTTATTCTGAAATTGTAAGGTATGTCATAAAAAAGAGATTTTTTGTAAAAGTTACCAAAATTGTCTGTATTTCAACCACATTGAGGCCTAGGAACCTTAAATTAAGTGTAGAGGTTGACAAGCTAAGTCATGACTGTAAATTCAGATATTATCATGAGGTTTTTATTAAAGTTAATAATGCGATTAAATTGATTATCTCAATAAAAAGAACTCTCATTCTGATTTGATACTATGAGATTTTTTCTGATATCAGAAAAATAAATATCTCATTGTTGTCCATTCTTCAAAAAATTTCTGAACATACTGTACATGTATTTAAGTCAGCTTTGTTTTTGTCTGAGACTACTATAACATGGGAAGTGACCAATCTCTATGTTAATTGTTATAGTAGTCTCAGGTTTTTGTTTTGTAGTTCAATTGACTATACATTTTAGAGCAGTTAAATATGAATTTGGATTAAATTTGAAGTTGATTCAGTATATTTTATGACATAATAACACTCTTTTATTTAAACAAAGCATTTTCAGACTTTATTTACAGACCAGCTTAGCTAATCATTCATTATTCAATCGATAATTTAATTAAAGGACTCAACAGTTGTTTGTAGGACTTATGAATTCAAATATAAGGAAAAAAAATCAAAACTAGAAGTAATACATGTAATAGGAATTATGAGAACTGCATGATATCAGATTGCAATACAGCTTTTTGTTCAGTTTTCTTTGTGTTGATTATAATGTTTTAAATCCCTTTCTGGCTTTTTGGATGTTCAGATTTTTTCTCTTGATTAAGAACAAGCAACGGAACTTGTACATCTTATATAGTTTCTTATCTCGGGGGTGGATCAAGCCAATTTTCAAAGAGGAGGGGGGCATGTATTGTCTACATTTTCTTTTTTTCCATATTGTATTTTAATGTAATGCAAAGTTAAATTCTATTATAACACAAGTTCTGCTGACAAATGGCTGATAAACCCCTCTTGTATGTAATTATTTGGCATGAAATGAAATATGTTTTTTCTGTATATGGAAATTAGGAATAATCCACCCTCTCTTTATAAAAGACCTGGATCTGCTTAAAAGTTCTTGCTTTTCTCAGAATTTTCCATTGTTACATCAGGAATAAAGGCTACCAATAATCATGCTTGACGATCATTGAGGTCACACATAAAGAACCCATCTCTTTGCAGATCATAGTAGAAAGACAAAGATGCAATGTAGTTGGTAACATAAATGTATTTAAAAATATCAAGAGAAACATTCCCATACAGAATCTCTGTCAATAAGTTATTTTTCCACTCTTAACAGTGAAATCTTAAATATGTAAATTGATCGGCAAGCCTCGCATCTCGAAAAAATAAAATGTCTGTAGGAAAGAACTATTGTTTCACAATTGATGCTGTGTTAGAATTTATAATATCACTCTTTTTTCCCCATATGATCAGCATAAAAAGTGACAAGTTCTTCAGTCTAAATAACTTTGTTAAATCTCATTTCCAATGGAACATTTAAAGTGCACCAGATTAACAACTTTCTATGTTAGATACTTATTTGAACATAAAAATTCAAGTCTAATTTTAGAGTGAAATTTTAATATATTTAAACAAACTGTTCTAAACAACCAACATGTACAAACACTGAGTTTATTTTCATATCCTTTCTAAGAATATTGATACAAAGAAAGTAAAACAAAGACTTGTATCATTCCATCTACCAAAAGGGTGTTTGAGAATATACAAATAAGTCCAAGTTTCAGAGAAAAGTCAGTTATCTATAATTTTCTTCTTTGGAAGTTTTCAAAAACCTGTTTTAGGGTACTTGAAAAAATGCCATATTCAAACATTCCATGACTATTTTAATGTTACAAGAGTAGAGGAACATTAAATATTGAATGGTTATTCAAGAAAGGGTCGAAATATAACTACAATCATTAATTTTACTCGAATTTACTGTTGTGAACTTGCAGTTTCCTACGACGCGTGTACGGAGTTATCTCCCGTTGATCTCCGCTTCGCCACGAATAAGCTGACACAATTGCGTATCCGGGGAATTTATGATATATAATTAATATATAAGATCCAGAAAATTGTTTTACTTCATATTTTATACCCCTCCATACGTTACCAAACCCATTTAAGAAATGATTTGGGATTTTCCGTAGACCTACGCAAATTTTCCAAAAAAAATTTCAACTTCCATCGTTGTTTTAGAATACTTTTATAACACCTTTCATAAATAAGTATACATAATAATGAACCTTATTCACTCAAGATTTGGACCCTACAAGTTTTATTTATGTACGAGTTACAATTAGACGATACGAGGTAAAAAACCAAGAGGTGTACACGTTCACAAGAAAACGGTAAACTCTGACCTTTTATCACGTGACCAATATCTTGAACTTAGACGCCATTAAATCGTTTGCCGTTCAACTGTATACAAGAAAATATATCCTGGTATTCTAGCTACATGTTCATTTTTTCTTCACAATAATATAAGTACTAGAATCATGCAAATAAAAAGAAGAAAAGCTTATAAGCTCATCATCATATACCATATAAAAAAAGATATGACCCTTTTTCTAGAGCACAAAACAGCGCATGCAAAAACGAAACGAAATTTGTAAACTTTGAAATTGTGGTCACGCACTAAAATCCCCATGGAGATTTTCAAAAGTTGGCAGGTATGAGTTGGGTGTTGAAGTTTGGTCAATTTGAATTATTGAAAGCTACTGTATCATATATATGTGTACTATGACCCTTAAAATTTTGGATAACATTATAATAAATTTTTATGACATAATATAACTAAATGAAAAGTCTGTTGGAGAACAGCAGTTGTTCCATGACTCATGTACTCATTCTGGGGTCAAAATTTAGAATCTTACCCCACCTCCAAATTTTCAATTGTTTCAATGATTCAATTAGAATTGTCATTAGATGTACAACATACAGATCATCTTTTCTTAATGATCACATGTAAATAACTTAATAGTTTTTGGGATAATTTTAGAAGTAGGATTGGTTTTTTTCTGTGTTTTATACAAGTTGAATTGATTTATCAGATATCTTCTTTGTTTTTCAGATTTTTCTTCTTGTCAAACGATGAGTTATTAGAAATCTTGTCTGAGACAAAAGATCCAATGCGTGTGCAACCTCATTTAAAGAAATGTTTTGAGGGAATCAGTAAACTGGAATTCACAGAAAACCAGGAAATTGTAGGCATGATCTCAGCAGAAAAGGAAACTGTACCTTTTTCAACAAAGATCATACCTGCTAAAGCAAATGTAAGTTTCTGGAGATTTTGCATTTTACCTCATGCATATTGTACAAATGTAATTGCATTTGCTGTAACTGCCTACAATGTTAGCATATAGATATATATATATATATTTTATTTTTTTTATTTTTTTTTAATTCAGTAATTTTTTGGTGGCTTCTAATGTGTGTATACTCATGTATCTGTCTCCATGATAGGGTATGGTAGAGAAATGGTTGTTACAAGTAGAAGATGTAATGATGAGCAGTTTACGTAAAGTTATAATGGACTCTAACGCTGCCTACAGTACAACACCTCGTAATCAATGGGTCGTAGACTGGCCAGGACAAGTTGCCATCTGTGTAGGCTCTATATGGTGGACATCAGAGGTGACAGAATCAATGAAGGAACCAGATGGAATAAAGGTTTGTACATTCTATATTCTTTGATATATTTATATCTAGTCACATAGTTTGTAAAGGATCCAGATGAATTGAAAGTTTGTTCATTTTGTTATGCTGTTGTTGATTCATTTGAATAAAAACAATAAAAAATTTTAGCTCTTCACATGAGCATACAAGCTATATATATATATAATAGTACACAGTGATAATGTCTGTTGTAAGTAAAAACAATTTTTTTTTCACAGAAATACCATTTAAAGTGTAACGGCCAGATCGACCAGATTGTCAAATTGGTGAGAGGTAAACTAGATCCTGGAATCAGAGTTACACTGGGAGCTTTGACTGTCATTGATGTGCATGGTAGGTTTTCATGTGATGATTTATCAATACATATGTTAATTTGGTTTAAAATATGAGTGTTGTATCATATAAATGCATGTCAAAGAGGCACAAGATTTATATAAATACAGGTAGCATGTTAAATTAAAGGGTTTGGGGGTTCATACAATTCATTTTCTGAGAGAAAAAATACTTTTGACATAAAGGATGTTTTATAAAAAAAATATAAGCATGGTTAAAATGAAATATGCACTGCTGGAATGAAAAGTTTGCAGTTGATATAGACAATAACTGTTTTGTGTCTTTAAATATCAGCTGTATTTGTACGAGGCTAAGAAACAAGTGTAATGCGAGCTTCAGTGAGCTATTACTCCTGTTTCCAGCCGAGTACAAATACAGCCGAGTACAAATACAGCTGATATCTAAAGACATTACACAGTTATTGTCTTTATCCTGCAATTACTTTTGTACATTGTTTTTGCTTTGAAAGACAGGAAAACATTTATTGCATTTATTTTCGATTTAAAATCCTTTGGAGTCCGCGTAGAAATATTAAAAAAATCACACAATCAACTGATGACCAGTACAACACTCGTCAACAGCAATACACAAAAATAGTCCGGCAGTGGACGGAGCTTTAAAGCGATATCTGTATAGTATACAAATACAGGCTAGCGATATCTGTATAGTATACAAATACAGGCTAGCGATATCTGTATAGTATACAAATACAGGCTAGTGATATCTGATTGGTTGTTAATGTATGATATGACACCCAATTGCAGGATAAATTGAAATATAGACTTCCCTTGAATTTGTTAGAGTGGAAGGTATGCTCCCATTTGCACAAATTTATGCTAACTGCCTGTCCTAAGCAGCGATTCAAAAAAAGGTTTTTAGTAAGTGGAACATTTTATGTCCCATCTACAATAGTAGGGGGGCATTCTGTTTTATGTCCTTTGCCCATTGATCTGTCCTGTATCAGGTGAAAGTTTTTGGTCAAGGTATTTTACTAGGAAGTTCTTGTCACATAGAATTGAATCTTAGTACACAAGTTCATTATGATGTGAGATTTTTATATGGTATCTGAAATTTCTTAACTTTTTGCCACTTTGATGACGTTGAGACAGCAACCCAAAAACACAAAATATTTAAAGGTCAAAATACAGTCTCCAACAAAAATCAATCATTAATTGTTTAAACTTCAAAAATGACAATAGAATTATTACTAATTTTCAGCTCGTGATGTCGTTGCCCAGATGTCCAAAGACAATGTATCCAGTCCCTTTGATTTTGATTGGCTAGCTCAGTTACGTTATTACTGGGAAGATGATGTCATTGTTAGAATGATAACCACAGATATCAAATATGGTTATGAGTATCTGGGTAACTCAGGACGTTTGGTCATTACACCACTTACAGACAGGTGTTACAGGTGAGTCCTTATTGCTATCCTGATCAATATCTTTTCAAATAATTTAGGAGACAAAGTTCAGTCAAATGTCATGATTTCTGGCTCAGATAAATCTGACCACTTGCTTTTTTGTCTGGGTAATTTGAATATTTTAATGACTGATAAATCTTGATTGATGTCTGCATTTCTGACCTCTATTGTCTACAGCAGCTTTATGTTATTCTAACACATTGTTAAGTATAATTAATGATTACTTCATAATATTAAGAAATTGTGTTAGTTACTGACATTAAACATTTTCTGTTTGACTTGTGTCTTGTCAAGTTTGTGTTTATGGAAATCAAATATGTTTAAACTAAACATTGTATAAAAATGAGATGTGGTATGATTTTCAATGAGACAATTATCCACCAGAGTTCAAATGAAGTGGTAGTAAGCAATTAAAAAGGCCACTGAACGGCCTTCAACAATGAGAAAAAACCATACCGTATAATCAGCTATAAAGGCACCGACTTGAAAACGGTAAAACAATTCAAACGAGAAAACTAACTGCCTAATTTATAAAAAAACAATTGTACTGTTTTCAGAACTTTAATGGGAGCTCTGAAGTTGTTCCTTGGTGGAGCACCTGAAGGTCCAGCAGGTACAGGAAAGACAGAGACTTGTAAAGATTTAGCCAAAGCTGTTGCCAAACAGGTAAAGTTACACCATCTTTAGCTTCATAACTTCCAAATTGATTTTACTGATTTCTTTTTTTCAGCATTTTAAATTTGTGAAAACATAACATTTATTTATTCAGTAATCTCAGGTCTTTAAAAAATTTTGTACAGATTAATAGGAATGAAGATATATATTTCAAATGTTATTAAAAGGTTACAACTAAAATTTTACTTAGAAGCAAAAATGCTTTCTGTGTTTATTTCATGTAAATTTGATTTCTTTGATGATAATCTCACTTCTATCTGTTTGTATTTCAGTGTGTGGTATTTAACTGTTCAGATGGTTTGGATTACAAGGCTATGGGTAAATTCTTCAAAGGTTTAGCCCAGGCCGGAGCATGGGCATGTTTTGATGAGTTTAATCGTATAGAGTTGGAAGTATTGTCTGTTGTGGCCCAACAAATTCTTAGTATCCAACAGGCTGTAGCAGCAGGACTAAAGAGATTTGTATTTGAAGGGACAGAATTAGCTCTAAATCCTTCCTGTACATGTTTTATTACAATGAACCCTGGATATGCTGGCCGACAGGAATTACCTGATAACCTTAAGGTTTGTATTTAAAGATCAGAAAACCACTAAAAGGATCTAGTGGTCATAATATGGTCTGATAGACAAGTGTCTTTACTATTTGTCAAGTTCTAAATCAAGTTTATACAAGTTGTAAATCAGGCTAACAGAGACTACAAAAAATCTCTCATAAAAATAAACCAAATTCTTTAAACAATAGAAAGACATAACCAAAGAGAAACTTAATGAGGTTCTTGATGTGATCTTTTAATGTTAAAAAACGTGTTTATTAGTTTTAGAGCGTTAAAAATCTAGAATAATTTGATTTACCAGTCATGAAAGGCCTTTTTTTATTTCACTGAAAGAAACATGAAACTATATTTAAGAATTACGTGTTGCAGGTAAATTTTTTATTAATATAACTATATTATAAGGGTTTGTGTAAATGACAAGAAATTGAATATTGAAGCAATCTGTTATAGGTATTATTTAGAACAGTAGCTATGATGGTGCCCGATTATGGTATGATTGGGGAGATCTCATTGTACTCTATGGGATTTGTAGATGCCAGAAGGTAAGATATAGATATATTCACCATGGATATTGCTAAGATTGTTTGTTGAATTATCAGTACTTTTTATCTACATCTCAGCTTGAATCATATATTGGTGAATCTGCAGTATAAAAACATAACTCCTATAAAAATAAGGAGATGTGGTATGAATGCAAATGAGACAACTATCCACCAAGGACCAATATTCAAGGATGTAAAAACAACTATGTCTCTGTATGGCCAACAATGAGCAAAACCCATACTGTATACTGTAAATTCAGAAATTATTGCGATTGTTGAAGAAAGGACAAAAGTGTGAGATTAATTATTGCGATTTCACGAAAATTTGCATACAAATATCTGTATGGAATCAGAATGTGAGTTTTTATTATTGGGATACTTACCCATTTGTATTATTCCCAATAATAAATACCTGACAATAATTTGTGAATTTACAGTAGAAAGCTATTAAAGGCACAAGGATAACAAAATGTGAAACAATTAAAAAGGAAAAACTTACAGCCTGATTTAAGTCGACATGTTATTTTCCAATAAACAAATTTAAACAAAATTTATGGATGAAGAAATGATGGAATTTCATTTTAATAGTTACGTCATTATAATTATCTCTATAGAATAGTTTAGAAGTTTCAGTATTCTTTATATTGATATCAACTTTCTATTTCAGTTTGGCAAACAAAATCGTAGCAGTATACACATTGTGTTCTGAACAATTGTCCTCACAGCACCATTATGATTATGGAATGAGAGCTGTCAAATCTGTCTTGACTGCTGCTGGTAACTTGAAACTCAAGTACTTAGATGAACAGGAACCAGTTCTTCTTCTGAAAGCCATCATGGATGTCAATCTTCCTAAATTCTTAGCCCAGGATGTGCCCCTGTTTGAGGGTATTATTTCTGATCTGTTCCCTGGTGTGGAATGTCCTAAGCCTGATTATGGTTTATTCATGGAGGCACTTAAAGACAATACAGTCAAGAGGAAACTACAACCACATCCATGGTTTTTGGAAAAAATTATTCAGGTGATAATTGTTATACTTATTTATTGTAACTTTTGATGACATTTTAAAAAGTAGTTTTAGTGAGTAACTGACTAAAAATAAACTAAAATCATAGATAATGATTGGGTAAAAAGTTCACAATATTCATGCAATAACCCCTGTATTGTATAGCAAAGCTGGATAAACTGTTTAAAACCTATTTTTGTCACTGATGACATCGATAATTTGAAGCTTTATTTGTAGTTGTGCAATAAGTTAAATTATCATATACTCAGAGTAAATAACTTATAATTTTTACAGTATGATAATAGCATTAAACTTACGTGAATTCCATATTTTCCAAAATGGTGCTTAGCGGTCTGATATGAAAAATTTATCAACTGCTTCCGGCTGTTATCGCATGCCTTTCCGTAACAATATCGCATGGCATTTCAGCGTTACTCAGCAAATTCCAGAAAATACATCTCAATGGTACGTTTTCAGTGAAATACATAACAAAGTAGGGTACAAAACAAATATTAGGAAACAGTAAAATATATAATGTAAAATGCAAAACAAATGATACAATAAATGCATTTTTCAAAGTTTCCAGCATAATTTAGCAAGTTACTTTACAAATGTTGATTTTTCCAAACAGTGTTCATTTTGTTTTGTTGATTTTTTTTATCGTGAATATAGAAATATATTATACTGTTGTTTTTCTCCTCTGTTGAGGCATATGATAGAAAGATTTCATAACAGATGTATTACATTTGGGGTCCGTCGTCCGTAAACTTTTCACTTTTTGAACTTCTACTTGAGAACCACTTAAAAGGAACAATATATTAAACTGTTATTTTTCTCCGTTGTTGAAGCATATGATAAAAAGATCATAACATGTTATTTTTCATATCAGATGTATTATCAGCCCTCCGTCAATATCAGCTGGGCTGATATTGAACCTTGGGCTGATAATACATCTGACCTTCGGCTCTTGGGCTGATATTGAACCTTGGGCTGATAATACATCTGATATGAAAAATGCCATGTAATAATCTGATAATATTGCACGTTGACTTTTCTGTGTGTATTATTATGTTGCTATGCAATTAATTCATTTATCTCACAGTAAGAACCCAATATCCATTAATAGATAGAAAAAATATGATATGTTAGCTTACAAAATTTCATTGACACATTTTAAGTCCTAATACAATAATACACATAAAAAGCTAGGTTAGCTATAAAGGCTTGGAGCTTTTTCACAATTAAAAATGAAATGAATAATGTGTTTGACAGGTATATGAGATGATTTTGGTAAGACATGGTTTGATGATAGTTGGAGAACCATTAGGTGGTAAAACACAGGGATGGCAAGTGTTAGCTGATTCCCTTACAGATCTACATGCCTCAGGACTCTACCCTGAGTCTAAGACAATATACAGAATAATCAACCCTAAATCTATCACCATGGGCCAGCTGTATGGATGTTTCGATCCAGTATCTCATGAATGGACTGATGGTATTACATTTATTCTATTTTATTTGATAACATTTATTTGGCATATGTGTGATCTTTAGCTTGAAGCTTCAACGTTTAAGCATACATTTATGTGATAAGATTTAAATGATTGGTTGAGACACGAAAAAAGATGAAGATGAAGTAAGGGTTTATTATTTTTATGAACTTTTAAACCAGAACTTATGACATAAACAAACCTGCTGTAACAATGAATTTACAGCATGAACTATACATGAAATGTTATACCTGTTTTTGTAAAATGTTTAATGCAGATTTTTGGAGTGCTACAATTTAAAATTGAAATGATTTAAATGACTTAAAATTGCAAATTTGTATTTGTATAGTACAAAATGAATAAAAGTTTCATTTTTAGATGTCCATAAGACATATTTTTATGTTTCAGGTGTACTTGCTAATACATTCAGAGAATATGCCAGTAATCCAAATGAAGACAGGAAGTGGATTTTATTTGATGGACCTGTTGATGCTGTGTGGATAGAAAACATGAACACTGTATTGGATGATAATAAAAAGGTTTACAAAAATATATGAATTTGACTATTTTTCAATTAAATTTTTTTCTTTACCATCATTGTAAATGTATAAAACTTTATTAAAATAGGATTTAATTTACGAAATGTCAAACTGTTCTTAATCCATAAACTACAGATTAATCTTACAATCTTATGACAATAGGGAGAGAGACAGTGAAATATAAATAATTCAGACGTGGGTTATGCAGATAGGCTTTTTATAGACAATGTTAAATGACTTTCATGTTTTATTGTGATAAATAGGTGGATATTTAAAATGACTGTAATTTTTGAATTTTTTTACAGCTTTGTTTAATGAGTGGTGAAATTATTCAGATGTCTAATGTTATGAACCTGATATTTGAGCCAGCAGATTTAGAACAGGCTTCCCCTGCTACTGTCAGTAGATGTGGTATGATCTACTTAGAACCACACCAGCTTGGCTGGAGACCATTCAAAGAATCCTACATGATGTATGAACTTCCACATAATTTATCACAGGAAGATAAAGACCTAGTCAATGACTTGTTTGAGTGGTTAATTGACCCATGTTTATACTTTATTCACAAGAAATGTAAAGTGTTCATGACAACATCAGATATGCACCTGGTTCAGTCTTTAATGAGGCTGTATACATGTCTATTGGACGAGATTAAAGATACATGTGCCAAAATGGAGAAAAGTGAAGAACTAGAAGAACAATCAGATATACTTACTAAACAGCAGGTACAGTTTAAGAACTTAGTCTATATATCAGTTTCTGTCTTGACTGTGTCAACAATTATAACAATTGTGAGACATATCTCTGTGTCAACAGTTTATGTGTTATACAGAATTGTTCCAACACAAAAAAACATTGCTTGTTTTTGCAATTATATCGAAAACCAACACATGGATTCTACATTTTAAATAGTTTGAATTAATTAAATGGCAGTTAAAAATAACTTTCTATAAGGTATTAATTGAATGATCATGCATTTACATACTTCAAGTAATGAAGTTTTTGCTGATGAATATCATTTGTTATAATATTGATACTTAGAAGATGACAATGACTGTAGATATCTATTTCAGATAACGTTATGGTTACAAGGATTATTTTTATTCTCCTTGATCTGGACCGTAGGAGGAACTATTGCTGATGATGGACGTAAATTGTTTGATACGTTCTTCAGAAATATTGTCAGTGGTACAGATCCTGATCATCCTAAACCAAAGTCAATCAAAATTACCAAGGTTTGTCACCAATAAAACTCAACACAAAAACTTATTGCCTCTTGTTCTGGAATATCTCTTTATACTTTAAAAACTTTTCTAGCAGAAAATTGTGTTGTTTTGACATGCTGCTCATGGTCAGATTGGTCAAAATTAATATCAATGATAACAAAAATTAATGTAGAACATATGATAAATATATTTTGCCATGTTTCTATTTAATATAAGGTTCATAATGGTTGATAATTATGCTGAAGGTTTTTTTTTTTTGAATTATCATGTAAATCTGCTAAATTTCAGTCCATTAATAAAACTATATTGTTCTATGATTTCAGAGCAACATGATTCCAGAGAGATCCTCAATATTTGACTTCTGCTTTGAGAAGAAAGCCAGTGGTAACTGGATTGAATGGATGGATACATTAGACAGAAATAAAATGACAATTGCAAAGGATGCAAAGGTAAGACTATTCCATCGTTACAGATGCTTTTGAAGTTTTAATTTAATTAAACAAGACATTTTAAGAAAATCCTAAGACTGGTAAGTAATGTATTACTGTGGATTCATTTATTTTGTGGGTATCAATTTTCGTGGATATAGTAAAAAAGACATTTTGTGGAAAACGTTATTTCAAGAATCATTGTTTCTAAACAAAATAAACATATCTCAGATACATTAATTTGTGGATCTCTGTTTGAATAATGATAAAACAAAAGATACAAATTTATTGAAATTTTGAATTGAAAAAATCCTCTCTTAAATCTTCGATTACAAGCGTGGACAAATACAACTAATCATTTGTTTGCTTAACTTATAATTTCTTATTGGAATTTTATAAAGCTTTCAAAGGCTCTTTGATGTACAACTGATTGAAAGTTATTTTCCCTTATCACGACATAATAAGCAGTCATTAGAAAATTATCAAAAGTATAAGAAACCCCCTTACGAATGTTTGCAGCCCAAGTTAAAACCTATATCATAAAACAATGATACAATTTACTCATCTCGCAATCCTCACAGTTTGGTTACATATATATATATATATATATATATATAATCTGGGGAACATGTAAAAGGCTATATTTTCATTCTAAATTTTAAGTTTCATATCGGAAATAGTTAATTCACATGTAATTGAAAAAATGTCATTTGGTCCAGAATACATAAAAATGCATGCTTAAACTACAAGTTATCTGAAATTATTTGAAATGCAATTTGTGTGTCCTACTTGAGCTACCTTATTAAAAGTTTGTCAATAAATTTTTAAGTCAAAGGTGTGAAAATAAATGTTCCTGTCATAAACAAGGCACGGGACGTTTGCACTTTTCCTAGGACATTTGCGCTTCAATATATAGGACATTTTCTCTTTTTTTAATGGACAATTGCGCTTCAATTTATAGGACATTTGCGCTTTTTATATAGAGCATTTGCGCTTTTACAATATTTGATTCTTATGACTTCCCTTCTATTTTATCAGGGCTTAGGACTGTTAGGTTTGACCTAGCAGAGTTAAAGTCATAATTTTCATTATGTTTAAAAGTTTAATAGCCATTTCATATTTCATTAATACAGTTATATATAGCTAAAAGTAAACATTTTAAAAACACAGACACATATAGTCATCACAGGTCAGTTTTTGCTTGATATCTGAAGTACAGGAAATGAACAAATTTAGTTCATGCAATCTGTCCTGACTGGTATTTTGCCCACTTTTCAAATAACTATTCTAGTTTCTCTTTCTCAATTCTTGACTTAGGTCCCTATTTATCAATATAATGAATTTTAATATATTTAGCCAACTGTTGTTCAATGATAAAAATCATTCGTGACATATACATTTTTTCCTTTACTAGTTTATAACTTTAAACTCTATGTTTAAGACTGTGTCAATGTGAACTAACTAGCCAAAAATATAAGTTGAATTTATTTACGTAATGATGTCCATAGTGTTTGGAGCGTAAATGTCCTATCGTGTTACAGGTAAAAAAGCGCAAACGTCCTGTGTCTCATGAACAATATTACCTACGGGCAATGTCCCATTCTTAATCCTATTGATTTATAATCACCAATAAACCATATTTTGACAAGGTGATTAACAACTTGCATTTATTTTTCGAAAACAATTAAAAAAAAAAGTAAATTTCTCACTGATATTCTAATCTAAAGATTTTATTACTTATATAATCAAAAATACTTTTATATTTTATTTCAAAAACACGTTTTATGTAACATGTTTATCACAAATCAACACTATACTAGAATTACACAACATAGCCGGAAATGAGCATCTGACTCAGTACACATTTTTCGGGGTTTTTCTTCGTTGAATTCTTAAATTCATGGTTTGCTTTGACCAACAAAACCCATGAAAATTGGTTTACCACGAATATAAATGAATCCACAGTACTTGTATACAGATAGCCTTTTGCAGTTTTATCATTCAAAGTTGTATATATGTTACTGACATTTGAATAACTGATACAACTCCATGTTCCTTACTATATGTATATTTTTTGTAGATTAATGAAGTAATTATACAGACTACAGACACAGCCAGGCAAGCTTTCTTCCTGACTACATACCTTCCACATTCACAGCCCATGTTGTTTGTTGGACCTACTGGTACAGGAAAATCTGCTATAACAAATGGCTTCCTTCTAGATCTACCTAAAGAACAGTAAGTTTTATCATTGATATGAGAAAAAACTTTTTAAATGGTAAGAAATTAAACATATAATATCTAATTTATAGCCCATGGTAGTACTAAATTTCATTTTATTGTGGTTGCTGTCTTCATTTCTTTTGGATTTTAACTTCATAGTTTGCCACAAAGGGAGACAATTGGAGTATTCTGAGCCTTCAGTTATATCTGCAAACAGTTCTTAAGACCTCATTGATCTGCAGCAATTGAACTTAATAATTAGGATTGTTTGACACTATCCAGAACAAGAAGACACTTTACCCATATTTAAGGATACAGTTCTCAGTTATACATATCTATCAAACTAAATTTTGCCTTGACTTTTGTTCAAATACTACTTAAGCTAACTAGTAATTTTAATGTTCATACAATCATTGAAAAATAAAAATCAGTTATTTATAGATATCCGGCATTTTTTGTTGTTTGTTTATAGGTACATGCCAAACTGTATCAATTTCTCAGCCAGAACATCAGCCAATCAGACACAAGATATAGTAATGTCTAAACTTGACAGGTAAGAGTAAAATTTTCTTATTCAATACATAGAGCTAAATATTTATGATCTAAGTGAAGACTGTATATACATTCAATATAAAACTTTTGGCTTCAATCATATTTCTAAATTTTTATTCCACAATGCTATGTCATTTACACCAGTATTTGTATCATATTAATATTTTGATTGATTTAGAAAATTATAGCATGAATTGCCATTTTAATGCAAAAATAAAACATACAATTATCAGGAGAAGAAAGGGAGTGTTTGGTCCACCAATGGGAAAGAAATCTGTCACATTTGTTGATGACTTGAACATGCCAGCTAAAGAGAAATATGGAGCTCAGCCTCCTATAGAGTTATTGAGGCAGTGGTTAGATCATGGACATTGGTATGACAGAAAAGATACAACTAAAGTTTTCCTAACAGACGTGGTATGTATCCGTAAAAAAATCTTATAAATCCTTATAACTTTGCAATTCAGAAGGTGTGCTAATGGCCCAATCTTACCTAAATTTTGAAATATTGCAAAATGATGTCAAATATGATACATTGTGATAATGGTCCTTAAATCCTTATTTAGATTTTAGCTAGAAATAGGAACCATATTGGGGCCTTTCAGAAGCTCCTCCTTTAAGCATACTTTTTAAATATAAATCAAAACAAGATCATTCCAGATTTTTAGATAATTGTAAAAAAAAATGAATGTGAAATATGCTGTAAATTTTTCATAGGTAACCATATTTATGCAACAGAACTGTATTTTCACTTTTATAAAGTAATGTATTACAAAAAACAAACATTTTTCAGCTACTTGTAGCAGCTATGGGTCCACCTGGTGGAGGAAGGAATGACATCACAAGTCGTTTTACCAGACATTTGAATGTTGTATCAATAAATGAGTTTGATGATTCAACAATGACCAGAATTTTCACATCAATTACAGATTGGCATTTTGCCAATTTTGAAGGATCATTTGTAAGGAATGGAAAGGTAAGACTATTATTGGAAGTATACAAAAAAAGAATTAAAAAAATTTCAACCTTGCAAATCTCATTTGAAAATTTTTTTTTTGTCCCCCTCTTCCTTTAAAATTAAAAGTTTGCTTCCTTATCATGATCTTAAAACCTGGTTTGGTACCTCTTCTTGGTTAGATTGAGAGTTTGATACAGAAAACCAATTAAATACTAATGTATTACATGTATAGAAATAAGAAATAAGAAAGCATGGAACACTGGGAGTTAGGTATCGAGCTAAAGGGTTACACTGAAAACATTAGAGGTCTATGCAGCTTCTGATCCAGAAATGTTCGTCCTGGCTTTTTTTCATGAAAGTTAAATATTTAAGCTTTTCTGTTCTATTTCAGTTATTGGTAGCAGCCACAATGGGAGTATACAAGGAGGCTGTTTTAAATTTCCTTCCGACTCCAGCTAAGAGTCATTACGTGTTCAATTTGAGAGACTTTGCTCGTGTAATTAGAGGCGTATTGCTAGTGCCATCAACCCATTTACAGGACGCAGATAAACTTATGCGTTTGTGGGTCCATGAAGTTTACAGAGTATTTTATGATCGTCTTATTGATCTAGAAGATAGGTAAAGTCCAAGTTTTATTTACCAACAATTAAACAACTATATTGTTATTGTCAATTTGGAATGAATTGAATTATTCTTGTCATTTGGGGGAAGGTAATCTATACTTTACTCAAGTAGGAATAAACTATTCTCTTGTGAGTTGGGATTTTGAAGCATTATCCAAATTTTCTACCATCAAGCATAACCTTTTTCAAAGTCCAGTATTGATAATTTTTCAAAGCCACCAATGTAATATATGTTGTATACAAAGTATTACCTTCACATTGCTACCAAGGCTTCTAAAGAAACATATTGGCAAACTTACTCAGCTTTATATATTCATGTATTACTGAATGCAATGTTAATAAGTTGAAGACACAACAGATGCAATATGTAAAAGACAAACAAACAAAAAGACAGATACAAATGTGTAGAAGATAAAAACAAAAGATATTTATTTAAATTTTTCAGGGAAATGTTTTTCAAGATAGTGAAGGAACAATGTTCAAATAGTTTTAAGATGAACATAGATAAAATCCTTGGACATTTATCAGCCAGCGGAACTGTTGTAGATGATAACATTCGTAATTTGTTCTTTGGGGATTACATAGTTGCCGAAAATAAAGTGTACGATGAAGTTACAGACTTAAAACAATTAACAGAAGTGATAGAAAAGTAAGTCTAAGATTTAAAACAATTAACAGAAGTCATAGGAAAGTAAGTCCTAAGATTTCAAACAATTAACAAAAGTGATAGAAAAGTAAGTCTAAGATTTAAAACAATTATCAGAAGTGATAGAAAAGTAAGTCTAAGATTTAAAACAATTATCAGAAGTGATAGAAAAGTAAGTCTAAGATTTAAAACAATTAACAAAAGTGATAGAAAAAGTAAGTCTAAGATTTAAAACAATTAACAGAAGTGATAGAAAAGTAAGTCTAAGATTTAAAACAATTAACAGAAGTGATAGAAAAGTAAGTCTAAGATTTAAAACAATTAACAGAAGTGATAGAAAAGTAAGTCTAAGATAACAGAGTTTGTAGAATTTCAGATTTTTTTATTTTCAAAATAGATTTCAATTGATAGACATGGCAATTTGTTGTTTGATTTTGTTTTCAGTGGTCTTTTACATGGAAATTGTGCCAATTAAAATATATAATGCATCCAATCAAAAATTTTATGAAGAATGTTAAATTGAAAGAAATTTTGAAATGGCAATGCGTTTTCAGTATCTTCATCATTGACGCTTTGTCTGCTTTATTGCCATTTTGATACATAAAATTTGTTATGAACTATTGCTAGCATGAAATATTGTATTTTTAAAATGAATTGTAGATTTCAAAACTGTTCAATCTTTCCGTTGTTTCAATTTTTCTAATAGCACTGTTATAGGGTCATATAAATAATTTTATTAAAGTTGGCTTGTGCATATAGTTTAATTATAGATGGTACACATTCCTATCATTATATTTTACAGCTATTTAGACGAATACAATATGATCAGTAAAGCACCAATGAAACTAGTTATGTTTAAATTTGCCATTGAACACATATCTCGTGTCTGTCGAGTATTACTTCAGGATAATGGTCATATGTTACTTGTGGGTATGTATAACTATAATAATCTTTTTTGTATGTTCCATTATCCAGCATTTATTGTCCAGTAATTCTAGTATAGAATTGATGGAGTATAGTTGAAAATAAGATAATGTATGATAGTTTCTATGTTTTTAGATATGTGTAAGCTATAATTTCTTTATAATGTAAAGAAGAAAGGAAAACGAATAGTTTACCATCCTTGCTCTTACCAACATATTCTGTTAATAGGGATGTCTTAGTCTTGTTACCTGTACTTAACAATTAAAATATTCATGTGTTCACTTTATTACAAAATAATATATAAAAAATTTCCTTAACTTAAATTATGGTGCATTCCGATGTATCTGTGCACCTAAGACTTGGCTTCACTTTGGTAATCTCATAAAATAATTAGATAATAATGTGTGAACAAATTCATGACATACTTTCATTTCATGAAATCTTCTTTATGTATGGTTTCATCCTTAAGATTTAATGTAATTTGTGTCCAAAATTAGGGAAACCCCTGTTTTGACAGTTGTTCAAAATGAAATGTCCGGTGATTTCGTGCATGCCTTCTGAAAATAGCTTATTTTGAATACAGGAAAGACTTTATACTACGAAAAATAGTTCAGTTTGAACCAAACAGACTTCCAAGGATGCCTAGCAAAATTTATTTCATTTTGATAAAAATTTGACTTAAAATGAAACCAATTTTATCTGATGATGTAAGTTTTTTTAATGGAAAATGGCTAGATATAGTTAATCATGGAATTGCAATTATAAATTTATGCTTTAACTCATCAATTTTATTCTTTTTTGTCCCTTCGGAAGCTTAAAACAATTACAAGAATGATTCTATTTGTGTGACAAAAATCAAGTAATGCACGATATCACCGTCTGCACAGACACATGATTTCACTGTACACATGAAGTCTGTCTATGTGACTCATAAACATTTTTTATTTTCAAAAATTTCTAACAAATTGCAATATTAATTGATATGATTTTGTAGGTATTGGTGGTAGTGGACGACAGAGTGCGGTAAAACTGGCCACTTTTATGGCAGACTTTGATATGTTCATGATAGAAATCACTAAGAATTACACTACTACAGAATGGAGAGAGGATATCAAGAAAGTATGTTTATACTTGATAAATTATGGGTTGTAAATGAAGATTACTATCACATGAATACTATTATAGAAGTCCCGCTGTTATATGATTCCCTCACCAACGACCACCTCCCTAATTTGACCAACAACCACGAATTTTGTTAAAACAAGATGAAATTTACACTTTAACCATAAGATTGGTTTCAGTTTTGATTCAACCATAATAAAACATTAATTGACTATGCCCTAATTAAAGAAAATTGTATCAAAAATAAGGCTACAGCTTCCTTAGGCAAAGTTGCATTCAGACAATTTTGGTCATTCTGTTTTTGCCCATGAATTTGATGCTCTTGAATGATGATTTATTTGGATAATCATACTTTTTTTTCAAGCATAACTGATGAGGGTTATTCAAGAAATATGTCATTTTCAATGAAATCTTTATCATACATTTGTATTATTAAACAAAACACTATTTCTACAATTTATTTAGTTTGAAACACTATTTTAATTTTTTTTGCAGCTTCTTATAAAAGCTGGGGCTGATGGTAAACCAATGGTATTCTTGTTTGCTGATACACAGATCAAAGATGAATCTTTCATGGAGGATATAAGTATGATTTTAAACACTGGGGATGTTCCAAATATCTTTGCCTCAGATGAGAAAGCTGAGTTAATAGAGAAAATGCAGGCTGTTGCTAGACAAGAGGTATAATAATCCTTTCCATTAGCGTTCCTCTTATACTAAGTGATAGATTTCTAGCAATCATTGAACAATTTATGGGGGAAGTATTTTTACTGGAAATGTATAACTAACATATTGTTTTGAATAGATTTTTTTTTTTTTTTTTGACAGAAGAAAGGCAAATATCAGTATCAGTATTTAATTTCATTCTTCCTATTTTGTTACTGACTGGTCTATTCAAATTTGTTTGATCAGTTTCAGTTGTAAATACTTTAGGCCATGCCAAGTCAATACCTAGTTTGTTTGAACAACATGTTATAAAAGGTGTTTTTTTAAGTTTGTGGTTACACCTTTGGATAGCTCCTTATTTTTGTACTTTATCTTTATAACCACTTTGTTAACATCCAGTAGAAATGTTTCTGTTCAGAGATTATTTAAAAAGTGGTTTTGATCAATGGATATACAAATTAAACTGGAGAGCTCATACAATTACTAAAACTTCATAAACTAATATTAATGAATGTGATGTGCAGTGTTGTGTGTCTAGTGTAGTAATAAATATATGCATAACTACAGTTTTTATCTCACCTGTGAAGAATGCTACAGACTGCATGACTAAGTGATGCCAATATGGGGGCAATGGCATAACCTATTTGTGTAACACTTAATATTTCAGAAGTTAAAAAACTTGAATAATGCATATCTTTTAAACAGAAACCTTATGTTTTCTGAAGTTTCCATCTGGCATATGTCCATAGGCCTTAACCTAATTTTAATGGTTCTGGAACTTCTTGAATAAACTGTACTGTTTTTAGCTCATGTAATTTTCACACTTATTATGACTAATAAGACAACTATATTTGGTATATAGATTCATTGCAGGGTATACATATTTGTCAGACAGGGTTCACCTGACCATAATATGAAAATTGCCAATGACCTACACCAGAGGACCAAATGAAGTTAACCTTATTGCATGGATCAGTGATCAACATTAAGTATTGGCAGTTAGGGCTGTTTCACAAATACTATGAGCAATACATTAAATATATTAAATATTAAATATATTTAATGTATGGAATGATTGTAAGGTGTTTAAGTTCATCTGGCAGAGGTCATATGACCTTGACCTCATTTACATGGTTTTTTGGCCAAGTTTTTGATGGTTAGGTTTATTTCTCAAATATTGTGAGCAACAGGTCATTTATATTTGGTGTATGGAAGGATTGTACAATGGACATGTCCATCTAGTAGGGTTCACCTGACCTTAACCTCATTTTTATGGTTCATCAGTCAAAGTTAAGTTTCCATAGTTTGGTCCTCAAAAGCTCAAAAGCAAAAGGTCAACTATATTAGATGCATGTTATGATTGTAAGGTGTAAATGTCTGTTTGGCAATTATCATCTGACCTTGGCCTCACATTCATGATTTATTGGTCAATATGAAGTTTTCCTGGTTAAGGCTGTATCTTAGATACTTATTATTAGCTATAGGCCAACTATATTGGGTACACAGAATGACAGAGAGATTGTAAGGTGTACATGTCTGTCTGGCACCTGAAGTAAAACCTTGATCTTAATGACTCAACATAAAATTCAGTCATGATCAGTTAAGCACAAGTTGCATTCAAATGTGAAGATTGCTACTTTAAAGGAATTTTTATAACAAATAACTTTCTACCTCATAATATGTATTTAAGATACATCAATGTTCCCCCCAGTGCATTTTAGCATCATACTAATGTGATGGCACAATACATATATTGACTGAATTTGAATCTTTATGAAATGATTTTGTTATAGATTTTGTTATGGATGAGATGCTATAATTTTCTGAAACATGAATGTATTTCAAAATTCCCTGCTAACTAGGATGCTCTGTGAAATTTGTTGGTAGAACACTGTAAATGGATAAATAAACAAAATAAAATTTAATTAGCAAATTTTCAAAATGATTATTGAAGGTGGTATGAAATCCCCAAAAAACCCTGATTTCATAATGTTATACGAATAATTGTTTTAGGAAATAAATGCAGCTGCCAAAGCTAAAGAGGCCAAAGAGAGTGGCCAAACAGCTCCTCCAGAAGAAAAGGCATTCATTTTTATCATACTTTACTTCCTGTTTATGTTCATGATGCTATTCTTGGAAGATTAGAAGTTTTTACTAAGCATTTTTTTGTTTTTATGTAAAAAATATCTTCTGAAATAATTGATATAACAGAATCTGTACTTCTATGATTTTGAATCCGTTAAATCCAAGTAAAAATACCAAAAATTAACATGTTGCATTTGAAATTATAATGAATGTGTTGTCACAGTGAAACAAAAAAAATAAGAAATACCAAATTTTCTTGAATAGCTATCATCCATTTTACTTTATATATATTCATTTTATTTCATATTTTTGTTCACAGCCAAAAATGATGCTAAGAATAAGCAAGTTCAAGAAGATGAATTTTCATTGGTACATGTAATTCAAGCAAGCCAAATATTCAAACTAGAAAAAACTGATTTGTCCCATTATGGATATAGCTTACGTCAGGAATTAATTGTAGAATTTTTACCAATCCCTTTCTTAGCTTCAAAAGTAAAATGAGCATGAAATATAAGAATTTTGTTGGGGGGAGGGGGATTAAAATATAATCTGGAATAGTGTCCATTAAAGTAAAAATATTTTACACCAGGCATTCTGAAATTTCAGTGCTTTGAATAAAAAAAAATCTTTCAGCAGTTTTCCATTTCTTCCTTAAAATGTTAAATTGATATTTTCTCATACATAAGCATCATTTCAATCTAGGCATTACTGAAACTTGATTCAATAAAGTTGCAGAAATTTTAATAAAACAGTTTATTTTTTATCTGTTTTCCTTGTACTCCCAACCATAATAAATTTATGTTTCATTTCTATTCATTTGCATTTTCAGTTACAAAATGCTTGTATGTTGTGATGTTGTGAGGTGAGATGTACACCAAAAGTTACCACTCAAACACAATTCATAGTATTTTGAAATGATTTTTTTGCTCCGTCTATGTTTAGGGGGGAGGAGGGGGGCATTATATTTTCAAATCTCTGCGTCCCTCTGTTTGACCATCCCATATCAGGTTAAAATTTTTGAACTTTTTAAATTTATGCACTGTTAGGGTTTGACCCAGATTCTGTGGTTCATTTCTATGCCAGGGGAGCTAATTCTTCACTAAATTCAATATGGGAAAAATATCAGGTGACTCATATTAAATGACTATTGTTTCACCATGGTAATCAACATATAACCTTTAAAGATTATGATAGGAAAATAAAAAAATAGGTTGTTTTGAGCAGCCATTTTGATTTGATGAAGCAGCAAACTGTTTCATAATTAAAAAGTGAACAAACATATAAAGACTAACTTTTGAAAGATTTTATTGAATTTCCTAATGAGCAACTCCCTAAGAAATGTCCATTTTTATCTCTGGCAGCATTGAAAATACAACTCTTGTTGCAACATGGACCTCATAATTTATTGGAATTAGAACATGGCTTTGTTTAGAGTGTAAAAGAAAAGAAAGTGTCATAGTAGAATTGAAAGCATAGCATACAATGTCTTCCTAATTTTAAACATTTAATGATATGGGAATATCTAAACAACATTTGGAATTTACTAGATGTGTCGTGCACAAAGACATGCAATCATTTAAATGTTTTGTGCACATTCTGCTTGTGTTCAATGAACTTTAAACAGTGACTATATCTGAACATTATCAAGAGACAGTCAGGATCACAAAGTTTAAATGAATGCAAACTTTATAATATTGTATTTAAATATGCAAATAAGAACTCCAAAGCTGAAAAGCCTGTATTTTGAATGAAGGTCTGCTGGATTTATTGAAAGTAATTAAGTGCTCTCGACTGAAATTAAGAATGTTTATATATTTGTTCCTGCTATTTTAATGGTTTTTTTTTAATTCTTTAATGACAATTTCAGGAGAAGTATTCAGTAAGTACTGTAGTAATCATGACAATACAAGTCATGTGATACATTAGTCTTGTTGCATGATACTATATACAAGTCATGTGATACATTAGTCTTATTGCATGATACTATATACAGGTCATGTTATACTTAGCTTTACAAATAGCATAATTATAAGCATGGGTGATATATCTCAGCTTTTGAAATGCTACAGAAAGTTCAGAATTTGGCAACACCTTCTATTCTGTATATTTCATGTATATATTTATGTGTTACATATAAATTGCCTAATTCTGAATTTAAACTTAATATTATTAAATGTGTATATAGAACAAGCACTTTGACAAAGGTTCTCACATCTATGTAGACACTTAGTCTTCTCTAGTTAACAAATTATATCACAAAAGTATTATAAGCATGAATCAACTGTAGAAATGACTCCTGGGTTACATAATAGATTTATATGTTTCTGTTCAAATAAATTGTAACTGTATTGAGCAGTTAGAACTAGAAACAGCATGTTTAGTTTTAGTAAATTCTACTCATAAAATCTATAATCCTTAATTCATGAAGGTAGGTTTCACATTCATGCATATATATGTATCTAATATATCAGAATAAGTAATTAGCTAGCATATTCAATTTTAGTTACTGACAGTTTTGGATTCATTTATTTTCATGGACACCAATTTTCCTAAATTGAGAAAAAATAGTATTTTTCGTGGATATTCAATTTCATGGTTTTACCAAAGTCTGCATACAGGCTTATGGAAATTTTTTACTTCCTTGAAATATTTAAATTTGTGGTTTATCCAAGTAATCCACGAAAATTGGTATCTCACGAATTAACATGAATCCACAGTACATGAAAAAAAACTCTTAGTACTAAGAACTGCAAAATCAGTTCTACAAAAAAGATAATGTAATTTTTTCTTTCCTGGGATGTTTCTTTTTGAAAGGTGTCCTTGTAGTCAACACCTAATTCTAATTCACCTGATTAGGTCTATAATGGAATCAGTGTAATAAAATGAAAGAACAAAATGTCTATGCAACTGTATATTTTTTAAATGTTTGATGTTAAGTTTTATCATAAATAGTAAGACATGTATTCAGTAGATTGAAAAAAAACGTTAAATATTATTTTGGTTAGGCAATAAAAAATTAATGCATAGCTTATGAAAAAGCCAAAGTATAAAATATTAAGGAAGGTTGCAAACACTTGTGAAAATTCTGTATTTTAGTGTCTATTTTAGTATAGCTGTTTTTTAATGAATACTTGAATAGGGTTATATCATTTAATTCTCATCACAATATTTACAGGGCAAAAAGATGGATGCCACACCCTTGGCTATGTACAACTATTTCATTGAACGTGTGAAAAAGAACCTTCACATAGTGTTAGCCATGAGTCCTATTGGAGATGCCTTCAGGAATCGTCTTAGAATGTTCCCGTCACTGATCAACTGCTGTACTATAGATTGGTTCCAGGTGAGTAGACTTCCAGCAATAATATCAACAAAAATTTCAATGTCAGCCAAAATGTTGTCAATGTGATAACAGTAGTAAAGATGAAAGCGTTTAACACATTTGATTTGATACTTGTTTTTAAGAACATACAAAGAAGAGTTGTATGTTTCCAGAATACTATAACACATATTTATTGTAGACCTGGCCACCAGATGCTTTGGAAATGGTAGCTAATAAATTCTTAGAGGAAGTTGATTTAGATGATTCTATAAGGAAAGAGAGTGTGGTAATGTGTAAAATGTTCCATGAGAGTGTCCGAGAACTTTCTGTCAGGTATGGAATAATCAGTTAGTTGGTCTTGGTATTATAAAGACAGTTGTGATTTGCGACAATGATATAATGAATTTTACACTATATTGAAAAAATGTTGACAGACTCACCTTAGAAACATATCCATTTCTAGTATCTAGACGAAAGGCATTATAAGAGTATTAAAATTAAGTATTTATGTTTCTAAATAGAATGTTGAATATGCTTTAAGTGTTTTTGCTACGATTGATTTTTTGGAATTGGAAAAAATAAGGTTCTTTCTTTTTAGACAAATTGATGCTTTTAAAAATGTGAACTATGAAAATAAATTAACTAACATATCAGTTAAATAAATTTTGAATGTCTGTATATATTGGTACTTTCAGCTTTATGGACCAACTAAGAAGACATAATTATGTGACACCAACATCATACTTAGAACTGATCATGACATTCAAGTCTCTGTTGGGTGTCAAACGTGATGAAATTCTTACCCTGAGGAATAGATATTTGGTTGGTCTTGAGAAGCTGGATTTTGCTGCATCACAGGTCTCCATTATGCAGACAGAACTTCAGGCCTTACAACCAGAGCTCATTAAAACTTCTGCAGAGACAGAGAAGTTAATGATCAAAATAGAACAGGATACTGTGGAAGTGGAAGCAAAGAAAGAAGTTGTAGCTGCTGATGAAGCTGTGGCTAATGCTGCTGCAGCTGCAGCTCAGGCTATCAAAGATGAATGTGAAAGTGAACTGGCTGAGGCTATCCCAGCTCTTGAGGCTGCAATTTCTGCCTTAAACACTCTGAAACCAGCAGATATTACATTAGTAAAATCCATGAAGGTATACATTGATGACTTATTATTGTTATATATTATAATAGATATAAGAAGATGTGGTATGAGTGCCGATGAGACAACTCTCCAACCATGTCACACTTTGTAAAAGTAAATCATAGGTCAAAGTATGGCCACATCAAGGGCCTAAGGGTTCACCTGTCAGATATTTTAGGATGTTTACCTGTGTTTCAGACTTTCTAAAAAAAAACTTTTTTCAGCAATCAGGAAAGTTTTCATGTTTTTTTTTTTTTATCTTTTATCTATTTGATTTTGCAATAGAAAAAAATTGTATTGCTTTCTGTATCTTCTGTATAAAGCTGAGAATGTTTGAAATGATTTTTTTAGTCAATTGATCTTGAATTAGTTAGTTGGTAGCCAAACTTCTAAAAACCTCTCTACGAAATAATGATTAACAGAAGAAATAGAAAAGATGATAATGAATGATTTCTCTTCTAGAATCCACCAGCACCTGTAAGGCTAGTTATGGAATCCATATGTGTAATGATGAATGCCAAGTCTGAGAGAAAACCAGATCCAACTGGTACAGGAAAGATGGTAGAAGATTATTGGGGACCTTCTCAGAAACTTCTGGCAGATTTCAAGTTCCTGGATAGACTGAAGTCATATGATAAAGACAATATTGCACCAGCTATTATTAAAAAGATAAGAGAAAAGTAAGATAGAATTGATATATATATATATTTAGATTTGTGTATAGTGATCATTGTGTCCATTCATCTATTTTTTTTTAGCTCACCTAGCCCAAAGGGCCAAGTGAGCTTTTCTCATCACTTGGCGTCCGTCGTCCGTCGTCGTTAACTTTTACAAAGCTCTGACATGGTATAAAATTGTTTATCAGGTCAAGATCTATCTGCCCTGAAATTTTCAGACCAATCAGGCAACCCGTTGTTGGGTTGCTGCCCCTGAATTGGTAATTTTAAGGAAATTTTGCTGTTTTTGGTTATTATCTTGAATATTATTATAGATAGAGATAAACTGTAAACAGCAATAATGTTCAGCAAAGTAAGATCTACGAATAAGTCAACTTGACCAAAATGGTCAGTTGACCCCTTAAGGAGTTATTGCCCTTTATAGTCAATTTTTAACCATTTTTCGTAAATTTTTGTAATTTTTTACAAAAATCTTCTCCTCTGAAACTACTAAGACAAATTTAACCAAACTTGTCCACAATCATCATTAGGGTATCTAGTTTAAAAAATGTGTCCGATGACCCCGCCCGCAAACCAAGATGGCCGACATGGCTAAAAAATAGTACATAGGGTAAAATGCAGTTTTTGGCTCATATCTCTGAAACCAAAGCATTTAGAGCAAATCTGATGAGGATAAAATTGTTCATTAGGTCAAGAACTATCTGCCCTGAAATTTTCAGACCAATCAGGCAACATGTTGTTGGGTTGCTGCCCCTGAATTGGTAATTTTAAGAGAATTTTGCAGCTTTTGGTTATTATCTTGAATATTATTATAGATAGAGATAAACTGTAAACAGCAATAATGTACAGCAAAGTTAGATCTACAAATAAGGCAAACATGATCAAAATTGTCAATTGACCCCTTAAGGAGTTATTGCCCTTTATAGTCAATTTTTTACAATTTTCATAAATTTTGTAAATTTTTGTAAATTTTTACAAAGTATTTTCCCCTGTAACTACCGGGCCAAGTTCATTATAGATAGAGATAATAGTGAGGAGCAAGAATGTTCAGTAAAGTAAGATCAACAAACACATCACCATCACCAAAACACAATTTTGTCATGAATCCATCTGTGTCCTTTGTTTAATATGCACATAGACCAAGGTGAGCGACACGTTTATTCCACCATCAGTACGTGTCTAACTTCTAAAGAAAGTACTAAGATTTTCTTGACACTATCAAAAATTTTTCAGTAACTTATGCACCTCTTATTTTATTTATTTGGTGTTTATTTTTTTGTGCAACCAGAGTTGAGGAAAACAGTCTTTTGTATAGGTGTAGAGGACAAAATTATTGATTTTCTGAAAAACATTGATGTATAGTAGGAAATTTACATTAGCTCTTTTCTATTACATTTTCCATAGTGTTTATGCTGTCAAAAATTTTACAACAACTTCCTTACATTTGAACCTCTAATCGACAAAAGTCAGAAATTTACTATAGATCTTTTCTATCACATTTTTCCATCTCTATAGGGTTCATATTTTCTGTCCCATTTTTCACAATTCTCTATCATTAGAACAAAGCATTTGGTATTGGGTTTCTTTCAGGTTAGCTTCACATCTTTATATTTGGTGATTAACTTGTTCTAGGTTAGCTACGCTTCCTTTTGCTAAATGCAGAATTTATCTATAAATAAGGCATACCTATTATTAGAAAGTGCAATTAAGATATTGTCACATTTTTATAAAGCTTTAGTGATTACATGTACAAGGAGCCAAAAAATACATAATTCATTGATTGACTTATATGCTTGAAAAGTTTGAATAATTATTTATTTATTTATTATTTCAGATACATATCCAACCCTGAATTTGACCCAGTATTAATTAAAAATGCATCAACAGCTTGTGAAGGTCTTTGTAGATGGGTAAAAGCTATGGATATTTATGATAAAGTTGCTAAAGTTGTAGCACCTAAGAAAATTAAGTTGGCAGAGGCTGAATCAGAATTGGCTGTTCAGATGGAAAAACTTAATGCTAAAAGAGCACAGCTCAAAGAGGTAAGTGTCATTCATTCTGACATTTTTTTTTTAGATTTTCTATCGTTTATTTTGAAAAATATGGATAAAAGCAAAAGTTGAGATTTACTTTCAATATTTTAGTTTTTGTATTACGAATGCTTTCAGATGTTTGTATTATTTTGGGAACTACTTAACTCAAGCTAAGTTCCATTATAGCTACAGCCTAACCTCGTTATGTCGAAGTCAAAGGGACCGGACTAAAGTATTTCAACTTATCCGAGGTTCGACTCACCCTAGGTCGAGTGTCGTCATAAATTTGAAATGCATGAAATACGATATGAGATTTGTGTAAATTAGATATTTTGAACAGTGCGTTTTTTTTTTGTAAGCTGATTAAAACTTTATTTTTTGTAGATGAAGTAAAAACATTATTTTTTATCCTTATTGTACAGGTAACAGATAGGTTACAAGCTTTAAATGATGAATTTGAAGCAATGACACAAAAGAAGAAAGAATTAGAAACCAATATTGATATTTGCGAGAAGAAACTGGACAGAGCAGAGAAACTAATAGGAGGATTGGGTGGTGAGAAAGACAGATGGACAGAGGCTGCTAGATTATTAGGAGATAGATACATTAACATCACTGGTGATGTCCTTCTGTCATCAGGTTTAGTGGCATATCTTGGAGCTTTCACTGTGGATTATAGACAGGTACACTATTATTCCCTTTTGAATCCATTTTTGTGAGGAATTTCCATTTTGTCTGTATTTTAAGTTCAAAAACTAAAATTAAAAGTGTCAAAAAACCAAACTCAAATATGTTTCAATTGATATCAGATAGACAAATGTCTTGTAATAGATTTATAATAATATAGTATTTTTGAATTCAAACGGCCAAAAAAGGTGATATCTTTTCTTTTGAAATATTTTATTAACCCTTAACATTCATTTGATTGATATATAAGCCCTTTCATTTAAAGACAATCAGTAGCTAACTTGCTGGTAGATTTCTACCTATTGAACAACACAATATTGTGTGTGTGTTGCTATATCTGCTTATATTTAAAGCCATGCATTCAATTACAGGAAATAATTGCCAAGTGGCACAAAGCCTCAATTGAGCGTAACATTCCTTGTTCTGAGAATTTTTCACTGAATGCTACCCTGGGAGAACCAGTGAAGATTCGTTCCTGGAATATAGCTGGCCTTCCTGTAGATACCTTCAGTGTTGACAATGGTATCATTGTATCCAAGTCTCGAAGATGGCCATTAATGATTGATCCACAAGGTCAGTTTCTAAAAAACATTTCTGTCCTTTTTTATATCTTGTATGTAATAATTTAATGCATTCATCATCAAATTTAACATGATTGATTGTCTTAAAGGTTATTTGAGACATGCAAATGTGTAAACATAAATAGAACAGCCTTTTAAATAATATTCTATTGCTGTCAGGCATGGGGTAATGCAAATTTGTAATTGTAATGCATGGTAATGCATTACATTTTTCCAAGTAGTTGCATGTAATGTGTAATGCAGCAATTTATGCATTACATGTAATTGTAATATAATGCATTACTTTAGCAAAAAGTTGTGTAATTTCATGCATTACATGGCATTACATGTCATTACTTTTTTCACATACTACATCCTTAACATATTGTTGGAGTTTTAACTAAACCAAATTTAAGATTTCTTGATTAACTAAGAATATGTTAATCATTAGAATATATTCTTTATTTCATCTTATTTCATATATTTTCCTGCATAAAAAGATTGATATTTGAAAAGCATAACTGTATTGTTGTCATAAGATCACAGAATATCTTGTCTTGCTTAAATAAAAGATAATTAAACTTTGTTATAAAACCTAATTAGTTTGTTTTACAATCAATATTTTCACCATTTAGACAATTGTTCATTAATTAAGGTCTATGTTTATTTTATAATTAGGGAAGTAATTCACAGTAATTAAATATTTTTTTTAAATTAAAAAAAAACAACAAAAAGTATATTTATAAAAGTAAAGTCAACATTAAGTTAAAATAATTAAAATTGTAAAAGTCGAATTAACTAGACTTTTTACATGTATACTTATATTCAATTCATGGAACAGTTACTGCATATGCTAGAGTCTTTTGTGACTTCTAGTTGTTTTTCAAAATGTTTAATTTTTCTATTCACTTAATAAAATTTTCAAATGTAATGTGTAACTCAAGGCATTACTTTGCAAAAGTAATTGTAATATAATGCATTACTTTGATAAATGCATATAATTGTAATTGTAATATAATGCATGGTTTGGTCAAAGTAATTGTAATATAATGCATTACATTGCAATGTAATTCGCCCCATGCCTGATTGCTGTGATATTTTATTGAAATTATTTTTCTTGCAATTAAAATATATTTAGTCTGATATATAATATATATCAGTTTATATTATAAATTAATGCAATTCACCATCTAACTTTACACTATCAGTTGCCTTGAAGTGGATTTATGACATATTAAGGTTGCCATTTAAATACCATATTCTTTTGATATGTGACCATTTCCTCAGAATTATTTCTTATATTGTTTGGATGTTTCAAGAGAAAAATATGAACAAAAATGAAACGAGGGGTGACTGTCAATAAGACAACAACCCAATTTATCTCTGAATTTGTTCAGGGATTTGTTGTTTTCTTATCTCCATTGTTTACACTAAAAACAATATTTTACATTTTAAACAGGACAAGCCAATAAATGGATAAAAAACATGGAGAGAGAAAACAAACTTGGAGTAATTAAACTTTCTGATGCAAATTACCTGAGAACTCTTGAGAATTCTATACAGTTTGGTACACCTGTGTTACTGGAAAATGTGGGAGAGGAACTGGATCCTATACTGGAACCAATCTTACAAAAGCTTACATTCAGACAACAGGGTGTAGATTATATACGTCTTGGAGACAATGTTATTGAATATTCAAAAGACTTTAAACTGTATATTACAACTAGATTCAGAAATCCACATTATTTACCAGAGATATCTGTCAAGGTATTTATTCAAGAATACATATAGATTCTACCACTGCATCAAATAGCATACAATATTTCTCAACTTTATTTTGTAAATTTTTAAAGTAATAAAGAAACACTAAAAACAATAGAACATTCCACATCTTGCAATGGTAGAATCTGTTTGATAATTTTTTGTATCGATTCATGATCAAAATTTTGACATCGATTTTTATTTATTTTTTTTTCCTGCTGTAAAGTTGAGGGGTTCACAGTATTACTCCTGTTTTCTTTGTTTTGTTAATTGTTGAGAATTGCTTTAATTCAATTAAACACCAATCAAGGGAAACAAAAAAGGAGACAACATCTAGAGTCAACATACAGTCTTCAGCATTAGACTCTTTTAAATGTGTCAACCACTAAATCACACTGAGGTTTAAAAAGTTGTGACTTCAACACTCAATTTCCCCAATGAAACATTAAGATATAACAAAAGACACTCTCTGACAAGGTTCCTGACTTCACTGTGGCAAACTTAATAGAGGAAAAAATAGCACCGTAAACATAGAAAAATACAGGAAATGGAAAAATGCCTTATGAAGTACTTTCTTAGTTATTTTTTATCAAGAACAATTGAGCCACATATATGTTTATTTGAATGTGAATTTTACAGGTATGTTTGGTTAACTTTATGATCACACCTCAAGGTTTAGAAGACCAGTTGTTAGGTATTGTAGCTGCTAAAGAGAAACCTGAACTGGAAGAGAAGAAAAATCAACTCATTATAGAAAGTGCTTCAAATAAGAAACAACTCAAGGAAATTGAAGATAAAATTCTAGAAGTTTTATCATCATCAGAGGTAATTATAAGGATTGATTACTCCCCTGAAAACAGGTTTATTACACATACTTTTGATAAAACTTATCCACTTTTTATATTATTGTAATTCTGACAAAAAACAGATTTTTATTAATTCATGAAAATCTATAAATTAAATGGTAGTATGCTGTATTTCCAAGAAAAAACTAATACCCTTTTACTTTGATACAAAAGGCTTCAAATGTGGCACACAATAAATAGGTCAACAATATTTGATGTTATGATTCTTTGTAAAAGAGTTCATGTCCATTTGACACATATAATATGGCCTTGACCTCATTTTCATGCTAATTGCTTTTGGATGAAGTCTGTTTTTCCCTTAATTTATATGCATAACATATCAACAATATTTTTAAACATGGCTATTCCCTGTAATAGTACAAATTAAAATAACTCGTTTGTGTCATATGACCTCGACCTCAATTTTTTAGAATTTTTATTTTTTTGGGTTTTTGTATCGGTTTTAAGAAATGGTGATAGCAAGTTAGACATTCCATTGTATCATCTCTTGCTTTGGAGCAACTCAACATTTTTTTAATGTTTGACATGTAACATATAACATACTGTTTTTTATTCTCTGCTATGAGTGGATTTTATACACTTACCAGAATTTAAATAAATTTGTTTTATTTATACAGGGTAATATTCTAGAAGATGAGACAGCCATCAAGATTTTATCTTCTTCTAAAGTTCTGTCTGAAGAAATTTCTGCTAAACAAGAAGTTGCAGCAGAGACAGAGAAAGAAATTGATGAAACAAGGAATGGATACAAACCAGTGGCCATCCATTCTTCTATTTTATTCTTCTGTATCTCAGATCTAGCCAACATAGAACCTATGTACCAGTATTCATTGACATGGTTTATTAATCTCTACCTTCAGGTAGGCTTTCAATTATTACAATCATTAGTAATATAGTATCTCACATTGTTGATGATATTTTCATTGAGGCACATTCATGTTTCTACTATTGACATTGTCTACAATGAATTTTTTTTTACACCAAAATAACAATTTTGTCAAGTTTACTTTACTTTATTTGTGAATTGAGTTTCTAAATAAATTGTTATTTTATTATTTATTTCAGTCTATAATGAACAGTAGTCCATCAAAAGTACTGGAAGAAAGAATATTCAACCTGAATGATCATTTCACAAACAGTATCTACAGGAATGTCTGTCGTTCATTGTTTGAAAAAGACAAGCTTTTGTTTTCCTTCCTGTTATGTATTGGTATACTGAAGGGAATGTAAGTTCAATTTATCACTTAAAATTTTTATTCAGGCACGAAAATTCCAATGTAATCATCTCATTTTTTACATAAAATTTTGTTAATCACAATTATTCCTATGTAATCATCCCCATATAATGGATACCCAATATATCTCCCAGATATTTATCAAAAAGGTTTTTAAATATAGACAAAAATTAAGCAAGTTTGAAGAAGTAGATAGATGGGCAACCTTAAATAGATTAACTTAAAAAGAAAGAATTTCACCGTTTAAAGATTTTTAGTGTAAATACAAATGCACATTTCTGCAGAAAATGTTATGTACACAATGTGGATAGAGATATGAAACGGATAAAAAGAATTTTTTCGTAATTTTCGTATGATGATATACTCCAATAATAATTAAAAAGGACCACATAGGAAAATGTGTAGTTCTCTATAAGACCGTCATATTTTTTTTTCTAAAGGTTTTGCAAAGTTTTTGTAAGATTAAAAAAAAAAATTATTTTGACTTTTTTCGTTTTTTAAATTTTTATGCCCCACCTAGGGGCATTATGTTTTCGGTCTGTGTGTCTGTTTGTTCGTCCATTCGTTTGTTTGTCCGTCCGTCTGTCCCGCTTCAGGTTAAGGTAGTTTTTGATGAAGTTGAAGTCCAATCAGCTTGAAACTTAGTACACATGTTCCCTATAATATGAACTTTTTACTTTTAATGCCAAATTACAGTTTTGACCCCAATTTAACGGTCCACTGAACATAGAAAATGATAGTGTGAGTGGGGCATCCGTGTACTATGGACACATTCTTGTTTATTTACTTCTTTTAATACAATTATGTAAAATAATTTTTTTACTTTCATTTTGTCTTGAAAGAACTGTAAATTTATGTTTCAGCTTGTTTCAAATGTACCTTAAAATGCAAGGGCTAGTTGAAAAGCTTACATTCAGACCTTATCAATCTCCTATTTTTGTGTCTATTATTTGATTGTGTATTATCATAACTTGTTTCTTACAAAACTAAAAGATTGTTGTGCAGTTTTCTCTGAATATCGTCAATTCTCATTAATGATAGTCATCCCTTAGTAAGTGAATACAATATAAAACTGTCAAATTAGAAATAATTGTGTGCCTTTCTTGTTCTTCATGAAACAGATAGATTAATGTATGCTATTTCTTGAACTGCTGCATACAAAGAATGCTCTACAAATTAAATATGTGAGGTCTTCTTAATTGCTTATCCCATGTCTTTTTTTTGCATTATAAAATGGCAAAACATTTTGAATTTTCAGTAATTGTATCAGAAATATTGGTGAAAACTATACTATACAGTGTACCAATTTTCTGTTTAGAAGATTGTATTATTGCAATGATATTAGAAATTGTAATGAATATTTGATTAGTAATTTTGATTATTCGTTAGGAGTAATCCTGACATAAATAAGTAAGTATAGACATACAGACAACACAGGTTCAAATGTATGTAGTTTGGGAGCACGTTATAGGAGCTATCTTCCTTATATCTTTAAAGTCCAATCAAAGCTTTTATTTGAAAGGAAAATTGTAAAAAATGTATTTTGGTGGTAAATTAACACTAGACTTTCACTTTTTTTTTAGGTACAGAAACTTTTGTTTATTTTGTTTTGATATTTTATTATTTGATAAATCTTATCAATCTCTTTCTTTTACAAGTAGAAAATGTAGCTATCCATGAGAGAAAGTTTCAGCACACAAATTTTATATATAATGTATACAAAAATACATTAGAATCAGAAATTTAAATCTGATAGACAAATGGGGATGGGTGGTGGGTGCTAGCATGAAGCGTTTACAGGAACAAAAGCTACAGTATCATGTAATCTAGACACTTGTGGTGTTGATGTATAGAAATGTACAATAGCATGTAGTACATAATTTTAATGGGCCATAATTAGAATCTGTTACATCTATTTTATAGGTCATATGCAATTTTGGGAGATAATCCACGACATTTGCTTTTAAACGGTAGTTTGATATAAAAGAAAATAATAAATAGAATGGAAATGTATAGTAACTGTTTCGTTTTAAAAGCTTTCAATAATTTTAAATTCTTGGTGCAGCTTTCAACAAATATTTCCTGATTACGATGTAATATACCATTTGTTCCCAGAATCCAGTTAAGCGTTACTGCTGCATGGCAACTGTAGTTCGCACTGATGCTATCATCACCTTCAATTTTATTTTGAATGATTTTTTTTTTGTATGTTTTCAATAAAGGTCACGTTATGTCATACAGAAGCATGCTTTCTAGGGGGACATAACTACAGTGTTGTTTTTTATTACTGTCTTTACAAAAATCTATCTGTAATTTTATCTCATTTTAATACTTTCATAAATTTCGTGAAAATATTCATGCTTATAAAAAAAAAGCTTGCATATGACCTTTTAACTGATTTAAATACATGAATGAACAGTATTGAAATTGTTAGCCTGCTACAGTGTATCGTTAAATAAAAGTGCCTATCATATAAGTATTGTAAAGTAACAGTTCTAAGTATGGCCTACCATGTTATATAGATATTATATACATGTATTATGTTTAATAGTAAATTAAATCTCAGTATAGAGTGGAAAGGGTGTCTTGTCTGCTTGCTTAGAGATATATATATATAGCAAATTACATATTGCTTTCACACTGTTATGTTACATGTAAAAAGATGGTATATGTTGTTAGCTTTTTTATAATTGTACATCAAGTTTTAATCATTTATGTTATTCAATTGCCACTGCTTATACAAAATACACAGATTATTTTTGCTTGATAAGTAGTGAGAACAAATTAAAAACTCATTCATTACCTTACCCAGAAGTTATGTCGTGCAGATAGTCTTCCATAGTTTGAAAAATAAGAAAAGACTTGCCTAAACAGAAATTTTGATATGATTTGGTAAAATTTAATGTTGATTAAAAACATTGAAGATGTTATGCCTGATTATTCATTTAAAACCAAAATATTAAGAACTGACAGCCAATGACCTTGAGATAAAATCACTCATAGTGTTTAAAACTAAAAGCATTTGCAGCATTTAATAGTCACAAAAAAATCATGCACATCATTTTAAACATATAAGATACATCTAAAAATATAATTTCTATAAATTTCAGCTAACAAAGTTTTGAAAATAGGAAAACTAATAAGCAGTTAGAAATGGATAGATTTAAAAATTTGATGTTTTGTTGTTTTTAATACAAATGAACTGCACTATTTATGATAATTTAAGGTCACTAGAAGTTCTGGTTACTTTCCTAATGGTGGTAAACAATTGTTTTCCACACTCCAAAAGATTGCTATTCTCCTTGATAGATAGAAAAAGATATGGTAGATAGGCATTATATTATTGCTGAAGTTAATCTTTTATTTGCAACAAAGCTAACTGACCTTAGTCAAAAAGTTTTACAAAATATTGCAGATTAAAATTTGCTTTTAAAAGTGGTAAACACACATATATTGGCTTTCAAAGTTTATTTTATTATATGAGTGCTTATGATTATTATTTATTAATGTTGCTAAATGTTTTGCTTTTTATTTTCTACATTAACAAAATATCAATACTTATAATATGAAAATTTCAGTAGCATGATTTGTTTTTACTAGGGGTCGAGTGGATGATACCATCTGGCGTTTCCTGTTAACAGGCGGTGTGGCCCTAGAAAATCCCCATGCCAATCCAGCTCCAGTATGGTTGAGTGACAAGGCATGGGGTGAAATTGTCAGAGCTTCTCAGCTTCCTAATCACAAAGGATTCTTCAAACGTTAGTATTTTGATCTATAAAAATAATTTATTTCTTCTTTCTTTGACTGGTTATTGTCTCGCCTGCGACGAAAGTCGCAGAAAGTGAGACATAGGTATTACTATCCGGCGACGGCGGCGTAAACTATTTGTATAAAGCTTTATATTTCAAAAGGTAGAAGACCTGGATGCTTCATACTTTGTATGCAGATACCTTATGTTACGAACTTTCCGTCTGTCATATGTCCAATGTCCTTGACCTTATTTTCATGGTTCAGCGACTGCTTGAAAAAAAAGTTTAGTTTTTTTGTTATGTAAATTTCTCACTTATTATGAGTAATAGGATAACTATATTTGGTATATGGGTTTCTTGCAACGTCTACATGTCCATCAGACAGGGTTCACCTGACCTCAGCCTCATTTCATGGATCAGTGATCAAGGTTAAAGTTACGTGATTAGGTCCGTTTCTCAGATACTACAAGCAGTAGGTCAGCTATATGTGGTGTATGGAATGATTATAAGGGATACATGTCAGTCTGGCAGGTTTCATCTGACCTTGACCTCATTTTCACGGTTCATTGGTCAATGTTAAAGTTACGTGATTAGGTCCGTTTCTCAGATACTACAAGCAGTAGGTCAGCTATATGTGGTGTATGGAATGATTGTAAGGTGTACATGTCTGTCTGGCAGGTGTCATTTGTCCTTGACCTATTTTCATGGTTCATTGGTCAATGTTAAGTTTTTGTGTTTTGGTCTGTTTTTCTTATACTGTATGCAATAGGTCAACAATATTTGGTGTATGGAATGATTGTAAGGTGTACATGTCCAACTGGCAGGTGTCATCTGAACTTGACCTCATTTTCATGGTTCAGTGGTCAAAGTGAAGTTTTTGAGTTTTGGTCTTTTTTTCTAATACTATATGCAATAGGTCAACTATATTTGGTGTATGGAAATATTTTATGATGCACATGTCAGTCTCGCAGGCTTTATTTGACCTTGACTTCATTTTCACGGTTCATTGCTCAGTGTTAAGTTTTTGTGTTTTGGTCTGTTTTTCTTAAACTATAAGCAGTAGGTCAACTATATTTTTTGTATAGGATTGTAAGCTGTATATGTCTGTCTGGCAGGTATCATCTGACCTTGACCTCATTTTGTTGGTTCATTGGTCAATGTTAAGTTTTCATGGTTAAGTTTGTTTCTTGGATACTATAAGCAATAGGTCAACTATATTTAATGCATAGGTTGATTGTAAGGTGTATATGTCTGCCTTGCATGGTTCATCTGACCTTGACCTCATTTTCATGGTTCATTGGTCAATGTTTAGTTTTCTTGGTTAAGTCTGTTTCTTAGAAATTATAAGCAATAGGTCAACTATATTTAGTGTATTGAATGCATGTAAGGTTGATAGTTGTAGTAAAGCTTAATATTTAGGACTATAAACATAAAATCAATGGTTAGTAAAGAAGGCGAGACATATCAGCGTGTGCACTCTTGTTGATGTTTTATATTGGTTAAGACTGTGATTTCAACAATATCAATATTTGTTCTTTCTTGGACTGGTTATTGATGTTTTATATTGGTTAATAGTGATTCCACCAATAAAAATATTTGTTCTTTCTTGGACTGGTTATTGATGTTTTATATAGGGTTAAGAATGATTCCAACAATATCAATATTTTTTCTTTCTTTGACTGGTTATTGATGTTTTATATTGGTTAAGACTGTGATTCCAACAATATCAATATTTGTTCTTTCTTTGACTGGTTATTGATGTTTTATATTGGTTAAGAGTGATTCCTCCAATAAAAATATTTGTTCTTTATTGGACTGGTTATTGATGTTTTATATTGGTTAAGAGGGATTCCACCAATATCAAGTTCATGCAAGCACTAATAAAACAGTATGTTACAAGATATTCACTATTTTATTCACACTAATGGAAAGAAAAAAAATCCTTTTTTTCCCCCTTCATTTAGTAGAAATAAACATTTTAGTTGTTCAAATTTTTCCATGCAACTTGTTTGACAGTTGTTACAAAAACAAATTTGAGTATATAAGCTGTTTAACATTTCAGATGTTAGTGACAACATTGGTCAATGGAAGCCGCTGTATGATTCCTCCAAACCTCAGGATTTCAAGTTACCAAGTCCATTCAATGTTCTCACAGGACTGGATAAGATGATAGTGTTACGTTGTTTCAGACCAGATAAAATTGTTCCAGCTGTACAGGACTTTATCACAGATAATTTAGGACAGTCATATATTGAACCACCAACCTTTGACCTGGGTGGATCATTTGTTGATTCTAATAATTGCTCTCCGTTAATTTTTGTTCTTTCCCCTGGTGCTGATCCTATGATGGCTTTGTTGAAGTTTGGAGAAGATCGAGGTTACACCCAGTCAGGAGGAACTATACAGACTATATCACTTGGACAGGGACAGGTAGTTATATAATTGAGCACATATCCATTTTTTAAAACAGTAACCAAAGATTGTAGTCAAATGGTACAAAGTACAAAGTTTACAGCTTAAGAACAGAGGTTCATCTTTTAGTGCCTGCACCATCTGCTTTATGATTGAAAGAAAAGTTGTTTATAGGAACAAAAATTAAAAAAAAGATGTTCGTAATTTGATTGTTTTTTATTAAATTTCAGGGCCCTATAGCCTCCAAGATGATAGACAAGGCAACTAAAGATGGAACATGGGTGGTGTTACAGAATTGTCATTTAGCTACAAGCTGGATGCCTGCTCTAGAGAAGATTTGTGAAGAAGTCATCAGACCAGAAAATGCACATGAAAACTTCCGACTCTGGCTCACCAGTTATCCCTCGGATCAGTTCCCTGTTTCCATTCTACAAAATGGTCAGTTTTTCATTAATTTATCTTTGATATTTTAGTAAGACCACCTTTTTAGTTGCCATGTCAAAATGTTTTCCAAGTTGCATATTGACGTTATCTTTTCAAACTGAACTCAATGCTAATAAGAGGTTGTTGGCATAAAGCAAGTGTAGTGTATTGAAAATATGCTTACCATCCTGTTCCAATGATTGTCTTTCTGTTTCATTAGAAGATTATTCATAATGTGACAGTTATCATAAGAAAGAAACAGTGTTTTTTTTTAGTTTGTTGGTGCAAATTTGATTAAATTCAAAGAAAATTTAGTCCAAAATATCTTTGAAAATTTATCATTAATATGAAACAAGTGACAACATACAGCATGTATTTTAACTATTTGTATTAGATTATGAATAAATGTAATGATTGCTCATATTTATGACATTGTTTTGCCATTTGTGACATCTGAACATACATGGACATCTCATTGACATCTCATTAACACACAGAAAGGATGGATACTAATAAAGTGTATATTGCCATTTGTCACATCTGAACATACATGGACATCTCATTGACACACAGAAAGGATTGATACTAATAAAGTGTATATTGCCATTTGTCACATCTGAACATACATGGACATCTCATTGACACACAGAAAGGATTGATACTAATAAAGTGTATATTGTCATTTGTCACATCTGAACATACATAGATATCTCATTGACAAAGAGAAAGGATTGATACTAATAAAGTGTACAAAAAATGTATATTGCCATTTGTCACATCTGAACATACATAGATATCTCATTGACAAAGAGAAAGGATTGATACTAATAAAGTGTATATTGCCATTTGTCACATCTGAACATACATAGACATCTCATCGACACACAGAAAGGATTGATACTAATAAAGTGTACAAAAAATGTATATTGCCATTTTTCACATCTGAACATACATAGATATCTCATTGACAAAGAGAAAGGATTGATATTAATAAAGTGTATATTGTCATTTACAGGTGTAAAGATGACAAATGAACCTCCAAAGGGAATGAAAAATAATCTGTTGAGATCATACATGAATGACCCAATTTCTGATGCTAATTACTTTGGCGGATGTAATAAACCTGAAAAGTTCCACAAAATGTTGTTTGGTTTGTGCTTCTTTCATGCCTTGGTACAAGAGAGAAGAAAGTTTGGACCACTTGGCTGGAACATTCCTTATGAGTTCAATGAATCAGATTTACGTATCAGCTTGAGACAGATGTTGGTGAGTGCATTTCTTATAAATTTAGTAAATGTGACTTAAATATCAACTGGAGACAAATGTTAGTGTTTAAATAAGTTCAATTAATCCGATTTGATTAGCCTGATGCATATTTGAGAGTACATGAGTAAGAGTTTAATGAATCAGATTTCTTTATCAGTTTGAGACATATATAAGTGAGTTATAATCAGATATTTTGCACATGTATTTTAAAGAAAACTTACAGAAAAATTCATTTAACATCAATCCTTTATAATAAATAAAAATTAGGAATAAGAGTTAAAAGTTATTTAATGCACTTGCAGATTTTGGTTTCCTTGTTAGTTTTTACATCCAAAAAAGGCACGTTCTTAAAAAGCTTATTAATGAAAGGGTAAAAGGAAATGTGCAAGAGAGAATATTCCATAATGTGCAGATGTTTAAAATCGTTTTCAAACTTTGAGCACTTCCCAATGCTTAAGTAGGTAATCGGCTTTGTCAGGTTCTGAAAAAAACTGAAGTCATGGGAGGGGCACAAATACTCACAAGTCAAAGATTGATAGCGAACATTATTGTCAAAAGAAAATATTAAAAAGACAGTCCACAGAAAGTCAGATTGAGCAACATGCAGTGCACTAAACCCTGGGTATGAAACCATGTGCTTTGGAAAGGTAAATAGTTCCTTCTCCTCTGGTTCACCAGAAGAGTAAACAGTTTTTGTTCCACTGGTGCTCCAAAACGATAAACAGTGCTTGTACCTCTGGTGCTCCAGAACAGTAAACAGTTCTTGCTCCACTGGTGCTCCAGAAAGGGGAAACAGTTCCTGTTCCACTGGTGCTCCAGAAGGGTAAACAGTTCTTGTTCCACTGGTGCTCCAGAAGGGTAAACAGTTCTTAATCCACTGGTGCTCCAAAAGGGTGAACAGTTTCTGTTCCACTGGTGCTCCAGAAGGGTGAACAGTTTTTGTTCCACTGGTGCTCCAGAAGGGGGAACAGTTCTTGTTCCACTGGTGCTCTAGAATCGTGAACAGTTTCTGTTCCACTGTTGCTCCAGAAGGGTGAACAGTTTCTGTTCCACTGGTTCTTCAGAAAAGTGAACAGTTCCTGTTCCACTGGTGCTCCAGAAGGGTGAACAGTTTTTGTTCCACTTGTGCTCCAGAAGGGTGAACAGTTCCTGTTCCACTGTTGCTCCAGAAGGGGGAACAGTTCATGTTCCACTTGTGCTCCAGAAGGGGGAACAGTTCCTGTTCCACTTGTGCTCCAGAAGGGTCTGTTCCACTGGTGCTCCAGAAGGGTAAACAGTTCTTGTTCCACTAGTGCTCCAGAAGGGTGAACAGTTCCTGTTCCACTGGTGCTCCAGAAGGGGGAACAGTTCTTGTTCCACTGGTGCTCTAGAATCGTGAACAGTTTCTGATCCACTGTTGCTCCAGAAGGGTGAACAGTTTCTGTTCCACTGGTTCTTCAGAAAAGTGAACAGTTCCTGTTCCACTGGTGCTCCAGAAGGGTGAACAGTTTTTGTTCCACTTGTGCTCCAGAAGGGTGAACAGTTCCTGTTCCATTGTTGCTCCAGAAGGGGGAACAGTTCATGTTCCACTTGTGCTCCAGAAGGGGGAACAGTTCCTGTTCCACTTGTGCTCCAGAAGGGTCTGTTCCACTGGTGCTCCAGAAGGGTAAACAGTTCTTGTTCCACTGGTGCTCCAGAAGGGTGAACAGTTCCTGTTCCACTGGTGCTCCAGAAGGGGGAACAGTTCTTGTTCCACTGGTGCTCTAGAATCGTGAACAGTTTCTGATCCACTGTTGCTCCAGAAGGGTGAACAGTTTCTGTTCCACTGGTTCTTCAGAAAAGTGAACAGTTCCTGTTCCACTGGTGCTCCAGAAGGGTGAACAGTTTTTGTTCCACTGGTGCTCCAGAAGGGTGAACAGTTCCTGTTCCACTGTTGCTCCAGAAGGGGGAACAGTTCATGTTCCACTTGTTCTCCAGAAGGGGGAACAGTTCCTGTTCCACTTGTGCTCTAGAAGGGTCTGTTCCACTGGTGCTTCAGAAGGGTAAACAGTTCTTGTTCCACTGGTGCTCCAGAATGATGAACAGTTTCTGTTCCACTGTTGTTCCAGAAAGGTGAACAGTTTCTATTCCACTAGTGCTCTTGAAGGGTGAACAGTTCCTGTTCCACTGGTGCTCCAGAACGGTGAACAGTTCCTGTTCCACTGGTGCTCCAGAACGGTGAACAGTTCCTGTTCCACTGGTGCTCCAGAAGGGTGAACAGTTCCTGTTCCACTGTTGCTCCAGAAGGGTGAACAGTTCCTGTTCCACTGTTGCTCCAGAAGGGTAAACAGTTTCTGTTCCACTGGTGCTTTAGAAGGGTAAATACTGTGGATTCATTTATTTTCGTGGGTATCAATTTTCGTGGATAGAGAAAAAAAGACGTTTCGTGGTATACGTAAATTCGTGGATCGCTGATTACAAAAAGAAAAAAAATCAGATACGTAATTCGTGGATTTCTTTTTAATTTAAAAGATCATATAACCTCCTTGGTTTGATCCATAATAAAACAAACAAAAAAGAAGGAATTCATTGAAAAAGTTTTGAATTGTCAAAATCCTCGCTTGGTCATTCTAGATTAAAGTGTTCATTGAAAAATTCTATTACATATACATGGACAGAGACAACTAATTACTTGTTTGTTTTACAATTTATAAATTCTTGTCGGAATTTTATAAGGCATTAAAAACTCTATGATTGAAAGCTCATTTCCCTAATCACGATATAATAAACAGTCATATAAGTAAAAGGTGTGAAAATAAATGTTCCTGTCATAAACAATGTTACCTACGGGCAATATCCACGTACTTAATCCTAGTGATTTTTAATCACCAGTAAACCACACTATGACACGGTAATTAACAACTTGCAGTTATTTTCCATGAACAGTTTTATTCAATTTTAAAAAGTAAATTATCACTGATATTTATTATTGATTTAATCAAAATACTTGTATCTTCTTTTAATAAAAACACGTGTTATGTTACAATGTTTATCGATAGTCAACACTATACTAGAACTGCATAACATAACCGGAAATAAACATCCGATTCCATACACATTTCTCGGGATTATTCTTCGTTGAATTCTTAAATTCGTGGTTCGCTGTGACCCACGAAACCCACGAAAATTGGTATACCACGAATAAAAATGAATCCACAGTAGTTTCTGTTCCACTGGTGCTCCTGAACGGTAAACAGTTCCTGTTCCACTGTTGCTCCAGAAAGGTGAACAGTTTCTGTTCCACTGTTGCTCCAGAAGGGTAAACAGTTTCTGTTCCACTGGTTGTTCAGAAGGGTTAATAGTTTCTGCTCCACTGTTGCCACTTGTTATTTTGGTCTTGACAAATTAAAAACAAGGATAAGTCTTTTTGATGATAAATCATTAAAAAGTAAGGGAGGAGGGAATTGGGCCTATAACAAATGGAAAAGTTTTGTGGTCCTTTGCATAGATATTTTTTAGTAGCCAACATGGCATCATGGCAATCAGAATTTTTCAAAAGGATAACTTCCGTTTCCAATTTTAAATCCCCGCTTTCTTGTCTAATAGGATACACATGTACACAATCAAGGTTCTAGTATTAGATTATAATTTCATGACATAAAAGAAGCTTTATCAATAGAGTAGGGTTTTAATATATTAACATATTTATTTTAAAATGATTACTGACTGATTGTAGATGTTCCTGAATGACTATGATGAGTTACCTTTACCTGCTTTGTCTTACCTGACTGGTGAATGTAATTATGGTGGACGTGTCACTGATGATAAGGACAGACGTCTACTCATGTCACTATTGGCCATTACTTATGTAGAAGATATTATAACCAATCCAGATTACAAGTAAGTTTTCATGTGCAAATATATAGAATTCTTTTAATGGAAAATTGTTAAATTGATGCGGTTAAAGAATCAGTTTCTTAATGATTTTTTTAGAAAATAATTAACTTAACATGGGTCTGTTTGTGTGGTGTTGGAATCATGTGATTAGAATTGACCTTCACCTTTTTTACCATTCAATGATTTAATGTCATGTATGATTTATAAGAAATCTAACAAATGATCTGGAATGATAAAAAGGAAGAAGCAATTGATGACAATGTTTTTGTTATTTACAGATTTTCTGACAGTGGATTATATTACTCCCCTCCAGATGGTCCTCATTCAAGTTTTGTAGAATATATTAAAACTTTACCATTAAATGCCTCACCAGAAGTATTTGGTCTCCATGAAAATGCAGATATCACTAAAGACAACAAAGAAACAAATTTGGTAAGGTCATATTAAGTTTTCTTTAAGTTTAATACAGAGATTATATAAATGTTAGGTAAGCATAAAAAGATAGCATACTTTTCATTAGGACATTTACATGGATGATAGTATAAAATTTTTACAATCCCATTTGAAATCAAAGTTCCTAAAAGTCCCTTTATACGCAGATGTCTCTGATTGACTAATATGTATAACATTGTCCTTTATCCCAAAACATATAATTTGAATACATCTGTTGTCATTCATAGTACTACATAGATAGAAGTGTTAGTTGTCTATTGTATCATAACTGAAGCCAACTATTCAGGTTTTTTGGCTTTTAACGTAAGGTATGCTTTATCAACACAATGAAGAAAGCGTTAAAAATGCTTAAATAACAGTTTTAGTCATTATTATCAACTTGGGCAATATCCTTCATCATAAATCAGTACACTTAAAAATACCTCCCTATTTTAAAGATCAGTCTGTACCTATCATTTCTTACACCTATACAAAACCAATTGCAACTAAAATTTTCTATTACAAACACATGTTGCAAGATCTCAATATTAACCACAAATCAAATATCCACAAAAATTATATTTTTCCTCAATCAACAAGTTGGGACCCATGAAAGTAAATGAAATCCACAGGTATAGATTATAATATGACCCTTGTTCTTCTGATATTGTTTATTTATTATCATATTACCTTGTTCTTTGTGGAATATGTTAATTGCATGATCATGATATTATCTTGTTCTTCAGTTGTTTGAAAACATTCTGCTTACCTTACCAAGACAGTCAGGAGGAGGAGGAAAGTCAACTTCAGAAGTCATTAAAGACTTAGCAATGGATATCCTTAGTAAAATGCCTCCATTGTTTGATATGGATATGGTATGTTTATCAGCACTTTAGAATACACTTTTATTACATAAAGATTTTAATTAAGGATGTTCGCTGATCTTGTCTTTGACTTTTTGTCAGATATTTTGATTCCTCTGGTTTTATCCATGTAGTGCCATTAAAAATTCTGCCTGATAACCCCTTCTTTTCTTTTCATAATTTATACATAAGGTTTAAAAAGCTATTTTTGAAGATCTCACAAGATCTTTGTTATTTTTTCATAGTTTTTGAAAGAAAAAAGTGACCAATGTTAAATGTATGAAAAATCTAGGGAGAATCATCTGCCGCCAAATTTTCAATGGCTTTGATCTCAAAATAAGGACACAGGCCTTTAATTTTTTTCTGCCTTTTTAGTTCTTTCATTTATATACTATCAATTTATAACAGTCTATTAAAAATCTTGTTATTTTGAAACAGAGTAGCAAACATCCCTAAGAGTATTTTTAAATATTTGAAAAACATACAATGCCTTGTCTAAAACATAAAACCTCTCCACTGCGAAAACAACCTTGATTTAAGAACAGAAGTCACCCTTGATAAATTTCCACTGTAATTTGGCCAATTTCAAAGGCAATATTCCTTCTAGTTATATAACTCTATATAATGTCAATATATTACAAATATAATTTATCATATGTTGATATTGGATATTAAGAATACTCTGGGCGATGAATATCAGCAGTGATACTGCAATACTGTATTTGATATCTGAATAACATAACTTTCTGAGATAAACTGGATATACTGAAAAATATTTACAGTACATGAATATGTATTGTCAAATGATACCACTGGGTCTTAGTAAAAAAATGAAAAAAACATTTCAATATTTTTAAGTATTTTTAGGTTATATAGAAACACCCTGTGGTGTGTAATGAATTCAGGACTACTGTCCTCTATCAATGGTTTACTAGTTTTCTATATTTATACTTTCAGGCTATAAAGAAATACACTGTAGTGTATAATGAATCTATGAACACTGTCCTCTACCAATGGTTTACAAGTTTCTATTTTTTATACTTTCAGGTTATAAAGAAATACCCTGTAGTGTATAATGAATCTATGAACACTGTCTTGCGTCAGGAATTAATCAGATTTAACAGACTGACACATGTAGTCCGTGTTTCACTGGTCAATCTGCAGAAAGCTATAAAAGGTTTAGTGGTCATGTCATCAGATTTAGAGGAAGTGTTTGACAGTATGCTGAATGGAAAAGTACCAGCAGTATGGGCTTCTAAGTCTTATCCATCACTCAAACCACTTGGCAGTTACATTAATGACCTGCTAGCTAGGTAATAATTCACCTTATAGACTTAGGTAAAAATCTGTTCAAGTCAAACATCTTGCTTTCAAAACACATTAGAATTATTTGTTTACGCCCCCGCGTCAAAATGCTGAAGGGCATATTAATTTACCCCTGTCCGTCTATCGTCCATCCATTTGTCCATCCAGATATAGGTACATGGTTTGTCCAGCTATCTCCTCCTACGGTTTTTGAGCTACAGCTTTAATATTTTGTAGGATGTTTCTACACATAATAGAGTTGTGCATGACCACAGGATTTTGATTTTTTTAAATATTCTCAAAATGCCAGGTATTTGGACTTACTGTAAATTCAGAAATTATTGCGATGTTTTTATTATTGCGAAAAATGTGACAGGGTTATAATCGCAATAATTTAAACTTGCATTTTGAAATTTTTTATATGAATTAAACAGGATTTTTCTCAATATCACAAAATTTAAAATCGCATTTTAGTCTAAAATGACAAAATCACAATAATAAATACACGCAATAATTTCTGAATTTATAGTAGTAATTTTTTGGTACTAGCTGCATAAAGAGATCATAGTTTGTCCGGCTATCTACTCATACAGTTTATGAGCTACAGCTAAAATATTATGTAGGATGTTTCTACACATAATAGAGGTGTGCATGTCCACAGGATTTTGATTTTTTTCAAATGTTCTCAAAATGCCAGGTATTTGGACTCAGTCATTTTTTTGTACTCAGAATAAATATAAAAGATAGATCATCATACATAGTGTTAAATTTATAATTTCTTATGGTCAGGCCGGTGCAAAAGGTTTAAGTTTTACTTCAACATCACTGTTTGTCAAATCTAAAGTATGTGGAACTATACTCATGCATATGGTAGAGCAGAGGGGGCATTGTTCATATCTAGTTTTATTTTGAAAAAATGTAATCCTACTTTTTAAAAAATGCCACTTTTAGTGGTTTTGATATGAGATAGTTGTCCTGAAAGTGTGTGTTCTAAGTTTCACCCATTTTGTGTTAAAGAGATTTTGGTTCATTTTCAGGAAAAGTCTTTGATGTTTCTAATAAAGATTTGTTTTGACTATTTCAGACTAAAGTTTTTGACAGACTGGATAGATAATGGTTCTCCACCAACATTCTGGCTATCTGGGTTCTACTTTACTCAGTCATTCTTAACAGGTAATTCATTCAGATAGGAATATTTTATGAGAGCATGCATGAATAGTTTTATTTCAAATTATCCATCTTAACTTCTCTAAATTGCAATTACATACTGAATATTAACAGTTAAGCTCCACAACAAAATCACTGGACTGTACTTTTTTGCTAATAATAAAGTTTTGGACATCAAGAGAAATCAAACTACTTTTGAAGAATTTCTTATAACTTTTTTTAGTTCTTTAAAAAAAACTAAATTTTAACCAACAATGAAAAAAGTTGAAATATTTTTTAGAAAATTGAATGCCACTTTATCCAAAAAAATACTGCTGAAACTTACTAGTGTACTATAAGGAGAGAATAAACAATTTTTATATGAAATATATTGAAATACACATTTAATAATTATAGGTGTATCTCAGAATTATGCCAGGAAGTATACAATCCCAATTGATACAATTGGTTTTGAATTTGAAATAGTCCTAGAAGGTGATGTTGATACAAGTTGTAAGCCTGAGGATGGAGCTTATGTTTATGTAAGTCATATTTTATGTTTGAAATGTTGCATACTGTAATTTATTATATATAAGATTTTTTATTTTCTCATTTCAAAAACAAAAAGGGTTTGAACACTTGATTCTAAAGGTCTTTTTTTTTAGCTCATAAGTTTTTTTTTAAGGACTTTAAAACTTAATAAAATATTTTACACAAGTGTTTAATCAATATTTTAATCAAGAGTATTAGTTTCACAAAAGTACCCACAAGGAACTGGTTATAAAAATTTTACTCTTAAAAAACTGAAGAAAATTTATTTCTGAACAGATTACGATTAATAAATGAGGAGCACAAACATTAAAAAAACAGATTTTTAAACATTTATAATGTGTTGACAGTGTTGACAAGAATCCTAGTCGTAATAGGTGTTTTGGTCTGTTTTTCAATTTTGAAGTTTTGATTTTTCTGTCTTGTCTGTATTTATCAAAATACATACTAAAGCAATAATTTTATAAGTATATAATGTTACAATATTTTTTTTACATGTAAATATCTCTTTTGAAATGTAGTGTAGTAACCATGTAGTGAGGCAAAAGGCAAAAAAGAATTGTTAATTGTATTGATCATTTGTTATATCTTTTTCAGGGTTTGTTCATTGAAGGGGCCAGGTTTAATAAAGACACTCGTAACCTTGGAGAATCTTTACCGAAGATCTTATTTGAAACTCTGCCAATTGTATCCTTTTCATTCCATTCCATTCAACATATATACATGGTCAGGTTTTACTTTGAATTTAATAATTAGCAAATCAGAGGTGACCTGTGCTTAGGCCAAAAAAAAATATATGTCTGTTTACGGTTACCCTACCGACCCTACTTTTGAGCGCCGACCCTAAGTCATTTAATTTTTAGTGAACTCGTGTCAAAAGCAAAGTTAGTGTTGCAAATGATATAAATCAATTGCCTGATACATCCCAAAGTTCACAATCGTGAATATGACAGCTGTTTTAAGGAAATTCGCAAATCATGTGATGAAATAAACACTTTGCCGCCATTTTTTTCCAAGGGAAATAATCCAATCATCAAAAATACGGGTAAACTCGGCCCATGATCAACTCGGACCACGACAAGTCGAAACAGCATGGCTCAAAATCATGTCACAAAAAATAAAATGAAAAAATAAAATAAAATGGAAATACCAACCTACCTACCCTATTTTTTTAAAGTATGTAACCTTAAACAGACATTTATTTTTTTTTGGCCTTATGATGATATTTTTGCAAATACAAAAATTATTAAAACAGATGTGTGGATAGAAAAATCTTGCATTTTTAAAGCATTGACTAAAATTGGTTATTAATGAGTTAATTTTGTCTGGACTTAAAAATACTGCGAGATCACACAAGTGTTCTCACCAGAATATTGGTCAATTTATAACAAATATTTATATCAGCAATGTCTTGGATGGGTTTAGAAATTAGTGCTGATCAACTATTTTTAGATGAGTTATGTCCCCTAGAAATGTAAATTCTATGAAAAAAATGCAACAGGCCACCTACAGACCCCTCAAAGAGTTGTTTCAAGGGTTCTTTAAATGCAGAGAGCATGGTAATCTCTCTACACAAGCATCAGATCAAACTTCCCCATTCTGCTGCATATTTTTACATCCTGTAGAGCCAAACCAATGCTCGACTTTGCCAGGGTTTTTACTGTCAGTCAGAAGAGGACCTAAAGTGACCATATTTCAATACCCTAGTCACCCTTGGGATACTTGGAAGTAGAAATTATATGGAAAATTGAATTGAAAGCAAACCTCAAGCCTACATATCATATAGGGCTTTTATGAAAAAAAATTGGAAATATATTTGAGTTAATGCCCTTTACAGATAAAATATGAGCATCAGTAGTAAACACTCGAGAGTAGACATCAGAGAGCTGTTCTTTTATATTACCAAAAATTAAAGATCGCTAAACAAAAAACAAAAAGGCAACATTTTTGCATTGAAATTGATTAGTTATCTTGAATCACGTCGAACACAGAAAATGAAAATTGCATAAAAATATTTGGAGATCATTTGTGCTAATGATTTGTCCTTAACCAGATTTTTAGATATGGATGAGGCCTAATGAAAAATCTAAGTTTACTCTTAATCCTCATTACAACTGTCCAGTATACAAGACAACAGCTAGAAGAGGAGTGCTGTCCACAACTGGCCATTCTACCAACTTTGTCATGTTCATGAAGTTACCATCAGACAAGCCACAGAAGCACTGGGTTAACAGAGGTGTAGCTGGCTTATGTCAGCTTGATGACTAAATTTTGTGGCATTCATTTGGAACTTGTTGTTGATACCATTCCGTCCTTAATAGATCAAATGTGATATTTTATTATTTAGATGTGACTGATACATTCAACTGCTAAAGAAAATAATCAAAGTTATTTTTGCTGTTGATAGATAATTTATAGAAATAACATATTTTACAGAAATGTATATATTATTGTGAATGTTTTCCACAAAGTGAATTCTAAAACTGCTGATTTGAACATAAATGTGTGTCTTTTTCCACAAAGTGAATTTTAAAACTGCTGATTTGAACATATATTTTTGTATAATGGTGCATTTATTTGTACATTGTGATTGTTTGCTTTCATTAGTTTATTTTTCACATACGTAATGTTTATAGTCCTGATCTCCGAAACATATATATATAGGAAACAAAAGTACATCAAAGTACAGGGTGTGCTAGTATAGTATTGTCAGCATTAGTTGCCAAATTGGAAGTCAAGATTTTTTACAGGGTTAGAGTTATTCCATCCACTTTCTTTGTTTGACTATGGTTTACGTATTGTAAACAAGATTTTACACAGGAGTGTCCAATCATCTGTCTGTGATATCTATTTTTGTGCTATTTTTACTGTTTGAACATTCCAGTCATATTTATTTTTAGTTTTATTTTGTAAATAAGGTGTTTCTCAAATTCGGCATAGTTCTGCTGTAATCATTGAGATGAAAGGTGTTATACACTATAACTTGGATGCACAATTAAGATAGTGTAGAATGGCGTACAGTCCTGTGTTCATTTAGACAGCTGTACATAAGTATATTGACACCCCTATATCTTGTAATCTGTGATAGTTATTTTACTCTTGTTTTATTTCATAAATATATTTTAATATGATTATTAATTCCGTCCATATGAACTAATGTCCTTGGTATTAATTTGAACTATATATATGATATATCTCAAAGAAATATTTTTTATTACTTGAAGTACTGCTGATTTAGACGATATCTGCTGAAATTTCTGCATTAATTGCCAAATATGTGTACAAAGGGTTAATTTTTTTCAGAAAGAGGTGCTTTTTCCCAAAACATAGTGATTTATTTCATTTGAGTTAAAAGGCAACAAGAGAATACATGAATGAGACGAAATTTATCCTTTGTACATCATTATTGTTTTTGTTGTGCCAATTAAGTTTACAAATAATATTTTGTTTGTCTAATCCTTCATATCGTGAAATAAACCATATTTGTGAAAACTGTGTTCTTACTTTTAAAATTCCTCAGTAGGCTATCAATTGTTGAATTCGTATTTTGATGGATTACATCTCTCATTTTTACTGATTGAAATGTAAAGACCAGTGGATTGAATGACCACAAAGAAATTTAAACATTTGTTGTTCTCTTATATCCTCATCAATTGTTGTTATACTTATGGATATAAGAATTCAAATTTTATCAAAACTCACTTATTATAAAGATTGGGTCATTCCCGTATTATCCTTGGTCGCTCATGTTTGTCCTTTTTGCTACTGTTTGTGCATGGAACTAATTATAAAGATAAGAAGATGTGGTATGATTACCAATGAAACAACTATCCACCAGAGACCAAATGACGAAGAAGTTATGAACTATAGGGCTTTCAACAATGAGCAATCCCTTTTGAAAATTATGTTAGGTGATTCCAACAGACATCATATATGACCTCAACTACTGCTGAAAAAAGAAAGTTTGACAAAAAAGAAAATTAATCAGAAAAATGGCTACCAAACTTGGTTAATGATTCATTATTCATGAGATTTATGAATCATGGTTAATGACACCAATTACCATCAAAAATGGTTGCTACCATTACTATTCTGAAAAATGAAATGGCCAGTATGAACAACAAAATGTATCATCATCACTTGGTGTCTGCCTGTAATTTTTATGGCCCCGCAACAAAGTAGTCCGGTTGTGATCAGGTTTCATGTTTGGTTAATGAATGTTGCAGGATAACAACATAACGTGTGGTTAATTTTAATGGTTGGTCTATGAGTGCTGCAGTAAACAAGATAACGGCTGTATTCAGATAACATGCTTGTTCTATGAATGTAGTTTGATAACAAATTTCCACTCCTAAAAATGGCTTCAAGTTTTTTTTGCAAGCAAGGCCATTGGCGTTTTTCCGACACATCTAGTTGTTTGAAACTTCTCCTCTAGAACTGACACTCCAACTAAATCCAAACATGATCAAAATCATCCTTAGGATGTTTAGTTTTTTATCCACCCTCTTCATTCTTAGGATGTTTAGTTATTTATCCACCCTCTGTAGGTTGCAATTCTGTAAATATAGACAATGCAATTTCCCATAGGAACTCCCTTTGCGGCTAAAACTGTGACACTTTTACTATGAAGTTTCGTGAAAAATAATATCCCAGAACGGAAAGTTTATATGCACTACTATTTTATTCAAAGGTCAAAATATAGGGCTGTGCGGCATATTTTCAACATTTATATGCCCTGAACTTCTAAGAGTTTAAACTTATACTAAAATTCTATACTATCCTTACCTTCATATTTGGACCTCCTAAGAATTAAAATTTAGGCGCTACCATGTTTTTTTATACTGGTTACATTCCCAAGTGATGTCTCTATGAGATGAAACACAGAGATCATAAATGGGAACCAGTACATTAACAAATTAACATATCTATGAATATTATATATCTCCCCAAAAGAGGCGTGGTTTGAGAAATAGCTGTATTTACAAAGCGCAACCTATACAAACATTTATTCAAATAGAAAACCTTCTAAAAACACTTTTTCTCACAACAATACTTATTTATCAGAATTATAGCCTTAAGGAAATCACTGCATATACTCTAAGTTTCCTTTTACAGTACATTTTATACCCCTACCCCTATTTCAGTTTTTTAAAGAATTTGAAAACAAGACTTGAATCATTACCAGCTTACCCTATGTGCATGTTTTCTGACATAAAATGTCTAAAACATGTTTGAAACTATTCTGATAACAAATTGAAAGCATTTTAGAATACTATAAATGTATTGTTTAGTAGTTAATCATTCCAACATTCAAGATTATACAAAGTATCCAATCCTGCCTGTGTCTCCAGTCCACATCTTACTGTATGTCTATTTGTCAATGAAAGTTCACAATTTATGTCTCAAATGGTCAGTTAAGAATTCTTGTCACAACAGCATCATCTCTAACCATATAACTAACATAAGTTAGTTAATGTATGAACTAGAAGTGTCTAAACAAAGCCATATTTGCAAAATTTTATTTAAGAAGATATCAGTCTGGTGCATAAATTCACTAAAAGTTTGATAGAAATGACTGCTTACATCTTATTTTTGCATAACTTTCCAGCACAGTTATTGTTTTGTTTACAAAAGACCTTGAAAATAATAAAATCATAGCATTTACAAGTTAAATTATCTGTTTTATGACCCAGGGTAGGCATTTTTTTCTGTTTTTTGCCCCCTGGGACCTCACATTTCCTTAATATTTTCCCTGTTTCTAGCAATGTGGAGTATTTAGTATATATTTAGGATAGAACACACTATTGTAAGTTTTATTGAGGTCTTTTTGTAATTCTAGCTTGTACTTTTTAATGCCGCGGTCACAAAAAAACACATTTAGGTGTTACGGCTTACTTTTGGGTTATCGACACAACAAAAATAACATAACAAAATTATTTAGGAAGGATCAACGAGTTTCAATGACTGCGAAGAGTAAATATAGGCACTTCTAAACAATTTAAATCACAAATAGGCATATATTATGGATTTATTTTGAATTCATGGATTGAAGTAAACCATGCATACTGTAAACTGTGAATTTATGCTGAGTCATCATAGTTAAGGCTCAGGATTTTCTCAATCTTCATGAAATATTTATAAAACTTCATATTTGAGTTAAATTCTTTAAAATCTCTGAGATAAACCAGATTTTGTGAAATTCTGTATGTTCTATTTTTTAACCCTATATAGGTTGCAATTCTGTAAATATAGACAATGCAATTTCCCATAGGAACTCCCTTTGCGGCTAAAACTGTGACACTTTTACTATGAAGTTTCGTGAAAAATAATATCCCAGAACGGAAAGTTTATATGCACTACTATTTTATTCAAAGGTCAAAATATAGGGCTGTGCGGCATATTTTCAACATTTATATGCCCTGAACTTCTAAGAGTTTAAACTTATACTAAAATTCTATACTATCCTTACCTTCATATTTGGACCTCCTAAGAATTAAAATTTAGGCGCTACCATGTTTTTCTATACTGGTTACATTCCCAAGTGATGTCTCAATGAGATGAAACACAGAGATCATAAATGGGAACCAGTACATTAACAAATTAACATATCTATGAATATTATATATCTCCCCAAAAGAGGCGTGGTTTGAGAAATAGCTGTATTTACAAAGCGCAACCTGTAGAGGTGGAATTTTTTTGTTCTCATACAACTAAAATATTTTTGAATAAAAATCAAAACTCCTTTGGGATTATACTTCTTCCCCTAAACCTAAAGAAATGTCATATTTATCGAGCCTTCGACTTTTGTCGAAAAAGGGAGACATAGCGATCCTACATTCCGTTGGCTTCGGCGGCATCCACAAATATTCACTCTGTGGTTAAAGTTTTTGAAATTTTAATAACTTTCTTAAACTATCCTGGATTTCTACCAAACTTGGACAGAAGCTTGTTTATGATCATAAGATAATATTCAAAAGTAAATTTTGTAAAAAAAAAATTCCATTTTTTCCGTATTTTACTTATAAATGGACATGTTTTTCTGCCAGGAAACATTATATTCACTCTGTGGTTAAAGTTTTTGAAATTTTAATAACTTTCTTAAACTATCCTGGATTTCTACCAAACTTGGAAAGAAGCTTGTTTATGATCATAAGATAGTATCCAGAAGTAAATTTTGTAAAAAAAAAATTCCATTTTGTCCGTATTTGACTTATAAATGGACTTAGTTTTTCTGCCAATTAACATTACATTCACTCTGTGGTTAAAGTTTTTAAAATTTTAACAACTTTCTTCAACTATCCTGGATTTGTACCAAACTTGGACAGAAGCTTGTTTATGATTAAAAGCTAGTATCTAAAAGGAAATTTTGTTAAAATTTTGTTCCATTTTTCTGTATTTTACTTATAAATGGACTTAGTTTTTCTTCCAGTTAACATGACATAACAGTCTGCAGTTTAAGTTTTTAAAACATTTATTAGATTCATAAACTATCCTGGATTTTTACCAAACTTGAACAGAAGCTACTTACAATCAAAAGATAGTATAGAGAGGAATATTTTTATTAATTTTTTTCCTCATTTTTGTTGAGCCTGTGATTAACAGCAAAAGTAGGCGAGACACTGGGTTCCGCGGAACCCTTACAAATTTTATTTTTGTCTAGTGTTTAATTATTTTCTACAATTAACAAATAAGACACTAATTATACCAACATTCTAGGCTATATTGCAATCCCCTTGTACAGATTAGATATACTGTAAATTCAGAAATTATTGCGTGCATTTATTATTGCAATTTTTTAAGAATTATCAAAAATGTGAGTTTAATAAATGCGATTTTAAGAAGAGCTTCATATATACATTTGTATCATATATCAGAGTGTGAGTTCTTATTATTGCGATGCTCAAGGAGTTGCATTATTCGCATTAATAAAAACCTTGCATTAATTTCTGAATTTACAGTAGTTGACCAGTTACTCAGTCACTGAGAAACTGACATAATGCAAATTTAAGTTGATAAACCATGAAAACAAGGTCAAGGCAGGGAGACTTCTGTTAAATGGAACAATAAACTTTATTACAATGCTTCAATTGACAAAAATTACAGTTGCCTTTTTACCTCTCAACAAAGTTGAGCAGGACTTTTGAAGTGTTCAACGTGCTTGTTTGTGTCTAAGAAGGTTTTCAGATAGTCATATAATTTTGTGTGCAGATGCAGATTTGAAAGAATGACCATGTGACCTTTGATTAGGTCTTGTGACTCAAAAATAGGAAACTATTTGTATAAAGCTTTGTATTGCAGAGGGTAGAAAGACATGGATGCTTCATACCAGTACCTTGTATAGATGGATTTGGTTATGTTTTTTTTATTTGTCCTTTGTGGTCATATAGTTCTTCAACTGTGTCGGTTCTTATACATCCTTGGCTTTCAAATATTTTACTTTGAGCATTCCTGATGAAGGTAAATCCAGAAAAGTGCTATAAACACATGAAATTTATAATGTGTTGTTTTCATTTTTTTCACAGCACTGGGTCGATACCTCTGCTTGTGGACTATCAGTCTCTAGGGTATCCTCAGCTCAGTAGTCAGTACTTTGCTACTGACATGATTTATAACAAACCTTTCTAAAATTGTCCATTAATAAATTTTGAAATTATAAAGAAACTAAGGTTTCAACTCCCTTAAGTTGACCTTAGATTGATTTTGCTATTTTTTTAGGTCCTCTTTGGTCATATAGCTCTTCAACTCTTTCAGTTCTTTGGCTTTCAAATATTTGACTTTGAGCGTTCCTGATGAAGGTTAATCTAGAAAAGCACGTCTAACGCATGAAATTTATAACATGTTGTTATCATTTTGTATACTGATACCTTATGTTTTTGTCTTTCCATTGTCCTTAACCTCATTTTCATGGTTCAGTAACTGCTTAAAAAATGTATACCGGTACCTTTTTTGTCACTAGTTTCTCTCTTATTTTGAGTAGTAGGGTTATCTATATTTTGCATATGGTTCCTTGCAAGGTCTTTATGTCTGTATGTTAAGGTTCACCTGACCTCAACCTCATTTCATGGGTCAGTAATTAAGGCTAAATTTACTTGAATAGTAAAATTGAGAATGGAAATGGGGAATATGTCAAAGAGACAACAACCCGACCAAAGAGCAGAAAACAGCTGAAGGCTATCAATGGGTCTTCAATACAGCGAGTAAATCCTGCACCCGGAGGAGGGCTTCAGCCCTCCCCTAAACAAAAATGTGTACTAGTTCAATGAAAATGGACGTCACACTAAACTCCAAAACATAAATAAACTAAAATTAAAAAACATACCAGACTAACAAAGGCCAGAGGCTCCTTACTTGGGACAGGTGCAAAAATGTGGCGGGGATTAAACATGTTTTGTGAGATCTCAACCCACCCCCTATACCTCTAGCCAATGTAGAATAAACAAACACACAGCAATATGCACAGTAAAACTCAGTTTAAAAGAAGTCCGAGTCTGATGTCAGAATAGGTAACAAAAGAAACTAAGCAAAATGACCATGATACATAAATTAACAAAGGACTACTAGCAGTTACTGACATGCCAGCTCCAGACCTCAATTAAACTGATTGAAAGATTATGTCTTCATCATATGAAAATCAAGCACAATCCTTCCCGTTAGGGGTTTAGTATCATACCGTCATAAAATATATGAGAAGAACATAACCCGTATCATGCCAACAACTGGTTTTAGAATAAATGTGTTTATTTCTGATGCAAAGACCCTATGAGTGAATGTCTGTTTCTTAGTTACTTAAGCAATAGGTCAACTATATTTGGTGCATGGAATGAGTGTAAGGTGTACATAGTACTACATACCTGTCTGGCATGCATCATCTAACTTTGACCTTATTTTCATGGTTTGATCTCTTTCTTGGCTACTTTAGGCAGTAGGTTAACTATATTTGGTGTATGGAATGATTGTAAGGTATGCATGTCTATCTAATAGGGTTTATCTGACCTTGACTTCATGTCATGGATTATTGATAATGTTAAGTTTATGTAATACTTGAAATAAAACCTTCATCTTGAAGACTTTCAAAATAATAATCAATCATGAACAGTAAAGCAGGCTAGACATTTCAGCGAGCGCACTCTTGCATAAAATTATATATGAACTACTGTGGATTCATTTATTTTTCATGGATTGAGTTAAAATTGTATTCAAATGGATATCTAAGTTTGTGATACCAGTTTATGTCAATGAGACAGCAAGCCAGGAACATGGATAAAAAGGTATGTAGTTTGGTCATTTTAACTGACATTCCATGCTTCATCGACTTTTATTGTCTAAATCCAGAGTCCAGTTCTCAGATTATAAGTAATCTACAATGGTATTACTTTGTTAGGATGAATTAAGAAGAGAGTGACAGGAACCTACAACAATGTATCTGACCTACATTTCATGCTCCAGTGACTGGTTAAGTTTTTATACAATAAAATCTTAAGACTTTTGTTGAGCCTCAATAAAGCAACTTGATGCCAGGATGAATCCATGGGAGTGTATCAGTATTCTACTAACATTAAGTCACTCCGATTTGCACTTCAGTCATTTTGATGATATTTTACATCAAAGGTTATGTAATGATGTATTTCAAATTAATCCAGTGGTTGATACCAGCCCCATCAAATGCAGTTATTATGGCCTATGTTTCAGTGCTTTTTGCATTTAAATTTTTTATTTTTTATACAAGATTTGTTTATCAAGGCAAACTTTATAATCTGGGATTACTTATGTTTGCTTGTACTACTGAAATAATAAAAAGAACCTTAAATAATGATAAATTGTGAAGATGAGGTCAAGGTCAGGAGAACATTATACGTTTTCCATAAACAGACTGGTCTTTGATTTATATGCTACTCTCACCACTAAAATGGTACAAAGTGATGTGCAAAAATAAAACATAGTCCAAAAGTACAGCTTATAATTTCCATTATTGATGCTTTCTATGTTGAGGCTTAACCTTATTCACAGTTGTATTTGCTATCAGCTTCTTACCATTAGAACAACACTATTACCAAGATTCTGACAATTTGATCTGGTGTAGATATCTTTATAAAAATAAAATGTGGTAAGATTGCCAATGAGACAACTATTCACCAACCAAATACTGTATAGCCTTCAATAATGACCATAAACCCATACCACATAGTCGGCTATAAAAGGCAGTAAAATGACAAATGTAAAACAATTCTGTTTACTTCTAAGATATGTTATAACCTAAAATCATCTGACACTTTGTAGTAAATAAATCATGAGTTTATCCACCTCTTACACAACAATTAAATCTACCGAGATATTTTAGCGCCTTTAAAAAGTAGGCAGTTGTTTTGCAGCTGCCTTCTTTTAGTCATTCTAAAAAACAGGGCAAGTATCTGTCTATTATGACAGCCTCAAATTGGTACTTCCATTACAAACACACATGCACAAGATTCCATCAAGGCTCTAATTCTTGATGTTGCATGCAATAAGTGTCCAATAAGCACTCATAACTGGATCTATGTGTAGCTCCCAAAATGTACTTTTATAAATAACTCTAAAAGTTCACCTGCTGGTGTATTCAATCTGCTATCAAATATCTAAAGTGTCAAGGCAATTAATCATACATATTAATGCATAGATAATTTGCAAGCTATGCTCAATTTTTCAGGTGGCATATATTCACCTGAATTATAACATCACAGAGGCCATGTTGAAAATCTTACTTTTTTTCATTTTATTATTAATTTCCTAGAATTAAAAGCAGGGTAATTTAGAAACTAGTCAAGAAAACAGCAAAGGGGCAACAAATCATGCTCTCAAAAACTGTTTTCTACTTTCATAAAATAAAAACATAAAAAACTATTTTCTACAAAAGTTTATTTTATAAGAATTTATAAATCTATCTATACATATATATCTGATAGCTTTAATTACACATAAATTACACAACCATCTGTGGAATGAAAGCAAAATCACAACCAGTGTGGAAATATTTTCTATTGTATAAAAACCCAAGTATAAGATCAAGCTTCAATATGATATGGTTAACATCACTGACTTTTTCAGCTATAGTATGGTTGATATGTTAATCTGCTATCAATGGAATACAATTCTCAAAGAAAAGCCTAGCCATTGGTATATAACACCTTTCTTCTTATTTTCTAAGTTTTCACAACCAGTTCATGATATGTTTACATTTAAATCTAAAAATTAAACCTTAAACTGGACTAAAATTTATATGGACAATTGTAAAATGTAATATTAATATAAATATTGAAAAAATATATATAGTATCATAATTGGTTATTTAATTTAATTTTTTACCTTTCATATATTTAACACTTTTCAAGTTTCATTTGCAATTTACTGTCAACCTGTTGTATAGTTTAATTTATTTTTCATTAAAAAAATACAGATTTTTGTTTGATTAAGATAATTATTTTGATTGGAAGATTAAAGCAAAAAGTTTTTTTTTTCCCTCTTTATTTTAATTTTATAAATTGCAATTTGAATAAAAGAGGAGATATGGGGTGAACATCAGTGAGACAGCAACCGGGTGACATAAATAACCAAAAGACATCTAGGGGGCAAACATATATTTACCAAAAACAGAAGTACGAATTTTCAAAGGAAGATGGAATGTTAAAGTCATAAATATTTATACTTCTGTTAATTTCTTTGGAGGAAAATAATAAATATTTATTTATTTTTCCACTTACTTTGCATTCACAGTATTATATGAGGTAAACCAATTTCATATTCACATGTCATATCTAACATTTTCAATATTTATTGGAATGGTAGGAATTGTAAAATTTCTGGAATCAATCTAACATTTACCAATCACACATACTTATACACAATGTATACAATAAAATTATCTAAATATACAATCTTACTAAAAAATTATTTACATCTGATATGTTAGATATGGGTGGGGGCATCCACGCCTCCCTGTATCACACAAACTATACTAAAACATCGTTGAATTTATCACAACCACAATGTTTAACACACACATATAAAATGTTATCAAAATATAAAATTGTTCAATTAAAATCAGAAAACTTTAGTTTTGGACTGGACCGTTGTATAAGCTTGTCTGGATGGAAGATTAAACATTAAATTTATCATTTTATTTGTCAAATAACCTTAACTTGAATACATAGCACCATTTGGTATTAAATAATTTCAGACAGACATATTACTAGTAACAGTATGTAGTATTTTACAAATTATACATTATAATATATATGTATATAGAATGTCTTTCAAAAATTGATAAAAAATATAAATTCATTAGTTTTGGTACAGTATAGTGTCAATTCAGCAAAACATCTTATATGATTACATCTTTGGCCTTAGAAGTGTTTTTTTTTCTTTGAGTCACCATGAAGCTTTGTTTTTTTATACCAAAATAGCAAATTTAAATTTAATATCAAAATATAAGTTCATCATTATAACAATATATTGTACCATATAGATAGACAGTAAGTACTATAGATAAGTTGCCTAATGTGACACTTTTTCCTACATTTAAAAATTCTGCATTGACTGTTTTATGGTAATGTTTTTTTCTAAATTTGGCTTGCTAATGTTTGTAGAATTCCAATTGTCTTAAAACATTCGTATAACTTTTTTCAGAACAAGAAAATTGAACAGCAATATGTCTCCTTTGCTGTATTTTGAAATGAAAATGTCTTCATTCTTAAAAAACAACTTCAAAAATTTGTTCAATATGTTGCTGATAGCATTTTTCAGTATTTTTCAATCAGAAATCTAACCACATTGTTTTGCTTGTTAACATTTTTTTTTAGCATATTATAAAGGAAGATATTTTTAATTCTTTTCTTTCAGTAATGAATTCCTTCTTAAAAAGTTCTACAATTACCGACTTTTTCTATTTGACAACAAATATATAAAACACTGTTATTTACATTTTCAACGTCATACAACCATTAATCACACAATTTCCACATACACACGCTCACACCAGAAGCATATAGAGATATACTATTGAAGTTTATAGAATAAGAGGTCTGGGATGTAAGAAAATTCAAGATAGACCTTATTGAAATCAATAGAAACAAGAACTTTTGAAGTGTACAGAAGGTGAATCTCATTTCTTGTTCTATGGTTCTCAGGGGCGGATCCAGCCATTTATAAAAGGGGGGGGTTCCTAACCCAGGATAAAGGGGGGGGTTCCAACTATATGTCCCCATTCAAATGCATTGATCATAAAAAAAAGGGGGGGGTTCCAACCCCTGGAACCCCACCCCCCTGGATCCGCCACTGGTTCTTCAATGAAAATGTTTGTTATCAACACATAGAACAATTATTACCAGTATTTTAAAAAAGGTTTTGCTGTTTAACATTGGTAATGTACATTGAAATGGTTAACATAATAGTTAATAGCCAATACTTTCAATAAGCACTCTACCATGCTCTACACTATGCCTAGACCACAGCTGCAACTGATGAATGACAAAGGTTAAATAATTGGACTAAAAAAAGCAGAAAATAATGGTATGAAATTATAGAACAAAATGTATGGCACTGAAACAAACCCCAATATTTACACAGAATTGCATAGAACAAAGTGACATTGTCTAACTCAACTAAAGTGTGTCACTAAAATATATAGCTGTACATGAAAATTGGGATAAAAGTTGAGGTTCCACAAATATTATTGTATGTAATATAAGTCAAGACTATGACTGAATTTTTCATTTCAGAAAAGCTATCAAATACTGTTTTTTTAATGAAAAAGGTAAAACGACTGCTTTTTATATCAATTGCTATTTGAATTAAATGAGAAAAACATGCAAAAGCAAAGAATTAAGAAAAGATTTAGTTTTCATTAGTTATACAATACAAATTAGGAGCACTCTGATATATTTTGTTTGTTTAATGTTGTATTTTCTTGATTTTTACCTCAACTTCTGTCCCATGTATGTAATATAAATGCTGGATAAAAAGCTTAAATAATTGAAATTATATAATAAAATAGAATCTACAACTTAAAACACTACTGAAGCACTCCTTGATATCCCTAATGTTATACTTATGACAATCTCCGATATTGCTTATGAATTTTGTGTACAGTAATTACTTTGTTTTGACATGACTAATAGGATTATTCATTACTCTATATACAAATTTCTGAATTAATGTGTGATGTTTCTATTTTTTACAAATGAACTATATGCAGACACTTAATAAATGTTTAGATTTTGGATTATAAGAATTTGACAAGATATGCAGTAATAACAACACACATGGCTGACAAAAGACTTAGATGTAATCCAGCAGCACTATTACATCTGTTTGATTCACAGTAACAGATCTCTCTAAACACACCCACTGTGTCCCATGACCACAGACATCCCCAGGCCACACCTACAAAAGAAAATTACAATTGCTTTTATCTACATGATCAGAGCAAATTTTGAATGTACAGTGTGACAGACCTGCAGATAGAAGAAACAGTGTGTTCATTATAGATTTGTTTTTAATTTAGTAAACATACTTGGGAATTACTTTTGTGTATCAAAGTCGACTTATTTCACCCCTATTACAAAATTTGTGCATCTTTTTATATTATAAATCAAAAATGAAAAAAATGCAGATTTATGTCATTTAGCTCTTTTACTGAACAGGTCCCTTGATATTTGACACCATAAAGTAAAATAATAATCAGGTAAAATAAATGTTCTCATTGAATCGTCAAAACTGTACAGGTAAGCACAGGAAAGTAAAACAAATAATACCACTGCAGCTTCAATCAAAATAGAATGATAAAATACCATAGCATTGAAACAGTAGCCCTATAATGAAATAGGGAAGCACCAAAAGGACCTCATATATTGCATGCAACTGAGATGCACAGAAGCTAATGCTGCTGTATATCAATTACAATGTATCAATGGACCAAATCAGACAACCTTGGAAAAAATAACAGATTCAATTTTGAAAACTTAACCTGACAACTGTATCTTAGCTACTAATCTTAAATGTACAATATGATTACCTGAATCAGTCCTTGAACCACATCTTCTAGTCACTTTTTTCCATCCTTGCCCTGTAAGTTTTAAATGAAATTTTCACAAAATCCTGATATTATTAATTAACAGGCAATTTAAAATGTTCTTTTGCAAGCATCTGTATGAGTACTTCAAGGATACCAATACTGGCTTTAATACAACCGTAGACAAGTATATCTGTTTAAAATTTGTAATAAATAGTCAATCGTATCAATTTACATTAATATAATAAGTGGTTGAATTTTTAACTAATATGGAATCTTAATCATAATATGATATTTCTGAAATCAACCAGACATGCCAGATTTCGGTTTAGATAATTTTTTAGTGTTAAGTGTGCTACGATGATTCCTCACCGACCAACATTTTCAAAAGCAGTTAAATTATAAGCAAATATGGAGATTGTAACAGAGCTACACCGTTCACATTATTATGAGTGTTTTGCAATAACTATATGTGTCAATATATACATGTGCCAGCATAGCAAGTAAAGAAATAACAATAAAGTTTGTTTTTTGCAATGTAAATGATTTTTCTCTGTCAATTGTAAGAAAAACGTGTTTTAATTATAAATCTATCATACAATGTCTAATAAATACATGTATACTCACAGCCTGGACTTTCCTGTGTTATTTTCATACAAAACTGGCCAGGTGTATGAGCTTCAAACCCATTACAATCTACAGGAGCATTTATATATGTGTCAAAGCTTTCATCAGCAGGACACTGAATACCATCTTCATTACTGTCACATTGATAACATTCTACAGCTTCTCCTTTAACACATAAAACATATGTAATGTAACCACAATTTTCCAATTTTAATATTCCATTCACTATGATTACTTTGTATAATGCATGAAAACGGTGAAAAGATTCAAATTTATGGGAAAACTGCAAGTTTTTTATTTTGCATGATCATTCATGGACTGGATTAAAATTTAAATATTCAAAATCATATCAACTCAAGTAAACTAAGAAAGTGAAGCTAATTCTAAGAAATTTAAAGTCCCTGAAAATATAATACATTTTCAGAATTGTTTTAAGTATGTACAAACTGTATAATCCATGTTAATAGTCATGGCAATAGAAGAAAATATCTTAAATGTTTTTAATACTGTAAGACAAGTCAAATAAATCAGGAATGTGTCCATGGGACACAGATGATGCCCCCGCTTTCATATAACCTTAAAAAGGGACATAACTCAAGAACGGTAAAAGTGACACTACCCAAATTTGTACTTGATCTGAGTTTTGTGGTATTAAGCATTGTGTATAAGTTTCATAACATTTGGTAGAGGCAAACTTTAGAGAATAAAAACGAGGATTTGGCAATTTTTCCATTTGTAAAAGGGGCATAACTCTATAACAGTAAAAGTGAGGCCACCAAAATTCAAACTTGATCTGTGTTTTGTGGTAATAAGCATTGCACATAAGTTTCATAACATTTGTTTGAGGTAAAGTTTGAGAACGGAAACCAATTTTGGGACGTACGGACAGACAAGGGTAAAACTTTAATAATGCCCCCTCCGCTACGGCATAAAAATCTTATTAATAACCACATTAACAAAAGTTAAAATTCAAAATGATCTACACATTTTCTGGTCTTTCCAGCAATCACGAGTACAGTTGAGGAATGAAAAAGTGACATTTTCAAAATTTTATCAGAATCTTAAAGAAAAATACATGAAATGTATACATGGTATATCTACTTTTCATTTCTAACTTGCTTCAGGTGTATGGAATGGTGGTGTAGACGTAAAATGCATAGATTCAAGTCGAGGGAGCTGGTAAAAAATTTCCAGAATAGGGATAATATATATATTTATAATAGAATATCTTAATAAGCGATTGCTCAAAAATATTATTGTTGGGGGCAAAATAATAATATACATATGTAGTTCCAAGACTCAGAATCCCAAAATCTCCAACAGATACTATGCTTAGGCCAAAATAAAAAATATGTATGTTACCTGCACCTGAATATTTTTCAAACATGTTGCTAATTTGAGGTGTTATCTCTTTTCATATAATTGATTGGTTAAAAGTCCAGTGGCAAATATTTCATGCATACATGTATTTAAGAAACAATATATCCAATTTGTGGATTGTGAAAAGTGGGTGATTGGATCAACACAAATTGTTGTTGGTTCTTTTTAAGAGTTGCCATTTTTCAAATGCGGCATGGATGGATATTGAACTTTTGTCAAGCATGTCAAGTGGCCTTTGCTTTGCACTACATCAGAAAAAGTCAAATTCAATTATATAAAATTTAATAAAGATACAGGTATGCTCTATTTAAGAGACATTTATGATTTTGCCAATTAGATCTGTCTACTTAGGTATTAACTAACAGAAGATGAGTTAACGACATTTGCTGTATGGCGCAAGCTTTTAGATTTCAACTGTGCTTATCGGTTTTATGGTGTAAGATGCCATATATGCAAGTATATGGATATAATATGATAAGAGAGTTTCATAATGAGTGAATATCTTTCGTATTGGACATGTTGAATAGATGTAAATAAATTATTTGTAAGTGTGGTGACATTGTTATGTGAACATGTGTGTATACAGCAGATTTTAGATTTTAACCATTTAAATGTAGGATGGAACTAGTGGCATATTGACTCTTAAAAGTTAGGGAATCTACACTTCAAGAAGCGGTTCATTTGACAAAGGTGAAATTTACAGCATAGGTAACAGGTTGCACTCTCCCAAGAGATACATAAATTTGGATTGAACTTTACCTCATAAATTTTATTCCAGACACACAACCTTGTATTTACAGCAGGACAATACTGAACTGCTAAACACGGGCATTTAAACACTTGAAATATGCAGAAAAGGATTTTTATATGAACAAAAACAATCATTTTGTTGTTAAACACTTTGCGGAAGTGAACAAATTCAGGTAAACAATCATACATTTTTGGCCAGTGACAAATCGTAAAGGTAAATCTCAAAAAGAAAATGATCGGTAACGTTTTAGGAACCATAGTAAATGTACAATCCTCTATGTGGTCCAGACTTTCAAATAGGACAATTTACCTGTCCGAAATAAGCATATTAATACTGCTAAAATGGAACAGGTTATCCATAACCTGTCCATCATGGCTGTCTTTGAAACTTGAAAAGCGCCACCTGTCTCATTTACATATTTTCTTTCGGGCACCTGCTAACTGGTATTTAATTTCGGGGACCAGTTCATGAGTTATTTCACCGCTGATTTTTTGAAATGCCTTAGTTTCATATTTTGACAAACATTAAATAATTATAGTCTTCTTCTTATTATTCAATGATACCAATTTAAGGGGTATTTACTTCTTTCTTACTTCTTTCTTATGTATAAGCTTCCTATCTTAGGAACACCCCTTATTGGGTATAAAAGGGAATAAGTAAGAGGGTAAAATTCTTAATTTTTTTAAATAGTTTGACATTACTCAAATGTGAAACTTGTTTGACTTGTTTTTTGTAATGTGATAACTTTTTTTCTTGCAACATATACGATCACGTGTCCGTCAAAGAGACAGCAACCCGACCAAAGAGCAGAAAACAGATTTATCTTTTTTTTATTTTCCGTCAATGCAGAGACATATTATACAAGAGATTGTATTATATGTCTCTGGTCATATGTCTCTGGTCAATGTAAGTATGTGGCTTGTACACCTTGTTATTTAGGTTAAACCGGAGACATATTATAAAAGAGTAGTTTTATATGTCTCAGGTTAAACTCTACAAATTCTGTAAAGAAATAGACTACTGTGAAAATGACACCAATTAGAACTGTTTCATCAACTTTAAATTGAATATTCACCGTTCGCTCATAAAAAATATAAGGATATTAAATTGAAAAATTGAAAATTATACTTATATTGTCGGCAACTAAAGCTTGGTTAATACTCGCTACGAAACAAAGATAAGATAAGATAAGATAAGATAAGATAAGATAAGATAAGATATATAAAAAAATTAGATATAACTCATTGACATTGAACATATGACGGCCAAGATGGGGTTTACAGAAGATATAACACTGGGCAAAAAAATAAACAGTAGAGAAAAACGGACACAAAAGAATAAAGAATCTGAGAGAATACTGTAGATGCAAAAATAAAAATAATTGAGAAAAACAAGAAAAACATAGAAAAACAAAGAGAAAACTGGCATAAAAAATAAAGAATACTGAAAAGAAGGACTCCATATCTTTACCTACATCTACATTCGGTTGAAAACAGACCTTTCCGACAAAAGAGATTAATTCAGCTTTTAAATTGTGAATTTTCCATTTCTATGTAGCAACATTTCAGCAGCGCCATCATTTTATGGAGTATATATATATCCCATGTGATACAATATTCCGGCAGAGCTTTCATTTTCTATCATTATTTCCTTGATAGAGGATTGTTTTTTAAAAGAAACATATTAAACAAGGTTTCAAAATGGTGAAACTGGAGTCATTCCTTCAAAAATTTAACGGACGCCATCACGAGCTGGTTCAGTGTTATGGAATATGTTTCACAGACGACGACAGATATGTTCCAATTGTCGTTTCAAAAATCCCATCCTCTTTTCCTCGAATGTGACATCAGTACTTCCATGAGTAAAATGACGGGTGACACAAGTAGAACAGGATCACCTGAGATCACCCACTGGTGTTGGTGCGGTTAATCGTTTTGACCAGTCTTTAGTTTTGTATGTTGTGTTTTGTAGATTGTTATTTCTCTTTTGATTGTTTTTCGTTTTATTTGCCATATCGTTGTCATTTTTCTTCAATTTCCCTTTTGTATCTTCCACCTGAGAGTGTATTTGTATATAACACAATGGCCGTGTTAAATCGCAGGGTCACATTCATTTATCAGTCCGTGAGGGGAATATTTTTTTTAGTTCATTCCTTTAACTGAAGCCGGGGCACTCAGTTATTTTAATGACAGTGTGTGAAATCGATTCTTGTTCACAACTAGTGGAATAACCTTTTATGGCTGACTATGCGGTATGGTCTTTGCCCATTGTTGAAGGCCGTACGGTGACCTATAGTTGTTAATTTCATTTGGTCTCTTGTGGATAGTTGTCTCATTGGCAATCATACCACATCTTATTTTCATATTTATTTCACGCGATCGAGACCAAAAGTTTGAAACGTTTGAATTGTTATGGAAAACAGAGTTCTCATTCGAAAATTTAACGAAGGAAATATATGATGTGTTATTTTAAGTTCAGCTTGAATCACAAGCTTTTTTTATCATGTTTATAATTGTTTTTGTTGCCCGGGGATTTTTTTTTTTTGGGGGGGAGGGGTCTATTTAACCGATATCACAGAGTGAGAGGCATTTTCCGAACAGATCTGTAGTAATGTTTTTTTTTTATTCTACCGATCGAGATTAAAAGGAAGCAGGGTAAAGTGCTCAACCACGCCCCGTGTACATGTATCTATTCCGAGCCAGGTACATTGTCTGTGGTTGTTTCCGGAATTATCTGAATGTTTTGGTACTGAAGTAAATTTGCCTTTGGTAGAGGGAACATCACTTTTTAGCAGGACACCACAGATGCGAATCCAGGATTTGAGTTTGGAAAGGAATACACGAATTCGGCGATGGGTTTGTTGGTCGTTTTTTTTATTTCTTCTTCAAATTCACATATTCCTTCATTAATTGTGCTAAATTTGGGGACACGTGGCTGTTTACATTCTTTATCCGCATCTGCATTAAAATTACTATAAACTAGTCATGGGTATCTGAATTGTTAATTTAATTTTAACCAGAGACATATATACTTGTATATATTTATGTCTCTGTTTTAACCTAGTATAATTTTACCACGAACTATCGTGAGAAGTTACAAAGTTTCAAAGAAGATACATTTAAAAGTAAATTTCAATATGGTCTATGCTCCTAAACCAACTAGATTCGGGGAGGATTTAGAGTTTGACGTATTGTTAAGACACCTTCATATATAACTGCTATGATGCAAGTATATTATTCGTTACAAGTCAACTAGAGCCATGAAAATGCAATACACATAACTGGAATTCCTATATAACATCATAACATGATTTAACTGGCTGATCTATGGTAATTTTCACAATAAAACTGTTTGAATTAAAAAAAAATGAAACCACATAATCCATAATGGAATAAAAAGGTCAAGGAGAGCAGTTATATGACAGAAGAAACATATAGGAGCATTTGGCATATAAATATGTACACAAGATAGGAATACTCGAGCAACTCCATCTTACCTCATGTAATATAAGCATTATATAAATTGCAATGGCACCACCAGATAAGCATTCCTATGTCTCACATTCTGCATATGAAATTTAAATATAAGGAGTTGCAGTTCTACACTCCCATCATTTCAGGTTTTCTGCTTGGCAATCAGGAAGATCTCTGGGACATTTTAACTCTAAAAAAACTGTAGACTGTAAATACTCCTCCATTCAAAATATTTTAAAAATGACATTTCTAAATTCATGATTTTAAAACTTCATAATTGTACATAATATATGCATATTGTCTTTTGTCAATCTCCTATAGGAGGAAATAAAGTATGATGATGATGTATAAACAGTTAATTTATAAATATGACTAGATCAATGATAACTTAAAGAAAAGAAAAACAAAGATCTATAACACCTAACATTATCAATGAACTCTGAGGTCAAGGTTAGATGATTATTGTTTGACTTAAATATGACTTTTTTTTTACTTTCAATCATACTAAAGAGCTTATACTCATATATATATTTAGTTACACAGAAATTTGTCAAAGCATAAACACAGGAGCTGTATTTTAATTTTAATGACTGCATTGAAACACTGTACAAAGTTACAGATTTGCATTTCCATGTCAAAAAATCTGGAACCTCGTCAGAAGTTGTCTTTAACTATATCTAATATTTTGGCATTTAGAAAATGTTGGTGTTGATGTCAGATCTTTTCACGTGCAAACTATTAAACATCAATGATCCATGAATGTGAGTTCAAGGTCAGATGAACCCTGTCAGACAAACGCGTACACTGTCAATTTCTATACAACAAATGCAGTTGAGCTATTACTTATAGTGTCTGAAAAAACTGTCCCGAAAAACATTTCATTTTTATTAGATGAAATTTGGCTTGAACTAGCTTCAGCAACTGCAAGTATATTAGTACTTTGTCTTTTTTTTCTTTTTGTGCTTAGAATGGATTTTTCGAGTCTAGCCTTTTCTAGATAATTTTTATAATTTGTCCTAATGTTGTGTTGTTACATCTCTGTCCAAGGTCAAGGGATAGGTTGATGTTATTTGCTTTAATCAGGTTGTATTTCACATTTTGTTATCCATGACCTTTTATAGCTTACTAAATGGTCCAGGTTTTGATCATTGTTGAAGTCAATATGGTAACCTGAAGTTGTTAACATCCTTGTCATTTGGTAAATAGTTGTCTCATTGACAAGCATCCCATTCCGCCTGATTTTCATAATTATATAAAAATAATCATTAATTTTGACCAATGAACCATAAAAAAGGTGAAGGTCAAATTATCTCTGTCAGATGGACATGTACACCTTATATTGGTTTTCTACAACAAACAAAAAGTGCACATATGACTAAGAATAATTGAGAAACTGACCTTGGCAGGTAACTTTGACCATGAAAATATTCATGGTCAGATGAACACTGTATAAATGACCTGTACATCAAATGATTATTCTGTACTTTCAGAATCTGAGAAACTGACCTAATCACAAAACTTAATTTTGATCTATTAATCATGAATATGAGGTCAAGGTCAGATTAACCCTTTCATACAGAAATGTTCAATCAATCTACATTTCAAATATTGTTCACCTATTACTCATAGTATAATACAAAAGTGCACACGCTGAAATGTCTCGCCTTCTTTACTAGCCTTTGATATTATGTTGATAGTCCTAAATATAAAGCTTTACTACAACTATCACATAAACTTAACATGATCCAAAAAAAATAAGGTCAAGGTCAGATAAACCTAACTGGAAATACATATACACCTTACAATCATTCCATACACCAAGTATGCTTCAAATATAGTTTACCTATTGCACATCTAAGAAACAATCTTAACCAGGTAAACTTAACATTGATCAATGAACCATGAAAATGAGGCCAAGGTCAGATGAACCCTGCCA